GTTAGAGATAAGAAGATGAGAAGGTAAGAACACAAGAAAATAAGAAAAGCCTGATGGATCAGACCGATGGCTCATCTTCCCACAAGCAGAATTCAAGCACAAGAACACTTTCTTCTCCTGTGGTTTCTGGCAACTGGTATTCAGAAGCATTGCTGCCTCCAAATGTTGAGGCAGAGCCAAGCCATTGTGTCTAGTAGCTGTTGATAGCCCTCTCCTCCCTGAATTTGTCTAATCCTCTTTTAAAACCATCCAAGATGGTGGCCATCACTGCCTCTTGTAGGAGTGAGTTCCAGGGTTTAACCATGAAGTCCTTTCTTTTATCAATCCTGATTCTTCCAACATTCAGCTTCATTGAATGTGCACATATTCTAGTGTTGTGAGAGAAAGAGGGAAACTTCTTCTTCTTCTTGTTGTTGTTGTTTAGTCGTTTAGTTGTGTCCGACTCTTCGTGACCCCATGGACCAGAGCACGCCAGGCACTCCTGTCTTCCACTGCCTCCCGCATGCCTGTAGCTGGTAGCTTCAAGAACACTGTCCAACCATCTCGTCCTCTGTCGTCCCCTTCTCCTCGTGCCCTCCATCTTTCCCAATATCAGGGTCTTTTCCAGGGAGTCTTCTCTTCTCATGAGGTGGCCAAAGTATTGGAGCCTCAGCTTCAGGATCTGTCCTTCCAGTGAGCACTCAGGGCTGATTTCCTTCAGAATAATTTTATAAAGTCTATCATGTTGCCTCTTACATTTTCTCTTAACTATAAGGGCCCAAAAGCTGCAACATTTTTTTCATGTGTTGTTTTCTTATGATCGTTTTGGCACCTCCTTTGTTGTGCCCTGCAATTGGGGAGAGGGTTATGTCTGCTTTCATTGTGGGCTCACACACCCGCCACCTCCTCCCCCCGCCGAGGAGGGGGGCGGACTGCCTTTCACCAATACAGTGGTACCTTGGGTTACAGACACCTTGGGTTACAGACTCCGCTAACCCGGAAGTAGTACCTCGGCTTGAGAACTTTACCTCAGGATGAGAATGGAAATCATGCGGTGGTTGCGCGTCAGCAGTGGGAGGCCCCATTAGCTAAAGTGGTACCTCAGGTTAAGAACAGTTTCAGGTTAAGAAAGGACCTCCGGAACAAATTAAGTTCTTAACCCAAGGTACCACTGATCTCATGGTCTCCACATCATATGTTGAGCTCCCCCCCCCCCCCGATGGTCCCAGCAGATTTGACCATGGGATCCTGACCCAGAGGCAACTTGCTTTCTCCTCCACTTGGGCATCACGGCTGCAGCTGACCAGTTTACTCATTCAGCAGCTGTCAGGTGACATCAAGGGCCAAAAGAATTTCATCTAACTGTATAAAGCTAGGCAAAAGATGTGACTCTGGCTTGATTCTTTAGTCAGAGCAAATTGTCTCTAGAGTTGAAGCCGGCAAGTGATCAACCAGCTTCTACGCATTCCTTCTGCCTGCCTTAGGAACATAATAAGAGCCTGGCTGCTGGGTCCGATCAAAGGCCCATGGAGATGGTATATGAGAATAGCATCCTGTTCTCATATACCATCTTTGACGCTGGAGGCAGAACATGGCCATCATTGCCTTATGCTCCATCAATTTGTCTAATCCTTTTAAAAAGCCATCCAAGTTGGTGTCCATCACTACCACTTGTGGGATAATCAGTTGATCAAACAAGTTAAAGTCTTTAAATACCTCAGCCTTGTTTCCCAGTCAACAGGGTTATGGGGAGCACACCAGAAATATGCAAAGCAAAAAGTGCCAAAATTCTGACACACCTTTTCCCTACAAAAGGTTGCAATCACATACCATCAGCCCTTGAAGTGTTTAAAGCTAAACCCCTAGCACAGTTATTATATGGGGCTCAGATGTGGACAGGCCCTCACCTTGGATCTACAGAAGCTGTTCAATCTAAGTTTCTAAGGCAATTTTTTTCCTGTTCCATCCTGTGTTCCAAATGCTTCATTGCACTTAGAGGCTAACCTCCCCTCTCTTGAACTACAGATTTGGCGTAGGACATTTAATTATTGGCCCTGCCTAAATTTAAACCCCACTGGTCTACTACAACTAATATCATAAGATTGTCATGAGAGTGCTTGGACTAAAATTGTCAACCAAAAGCTTTACTTTTCTGGTTTATCAGCAGTTATTAACACTGGGCTTCAGTAAAGCAAATAGTTTAATTAGACAGCGCCTATATGATATCGAGTGACAGAACAATCTGGCCACAAGAAGCAAATTTTGTCCATGGTATGATTGTTTTTCACCTAGTCATTTTGACACTTTGGCACTCTATTTGCAAAATTTAACAATTCCAAAATACAGACATGCTTTCACTTTCAAAAGATTGAATATACTGCCTTCAGCTGTACTTGAGGGTCAATTTCAAAAAAATTCACTGGAAAAACGGTTATGTCCCTGTGGAGATGGCAGTATCGAGTCAGTGGCTCATGTGCTTCTGGCTTGCACTCTTTATAAAGATTTGAGGAGTGAGGTTATCACCCCTCTATTATTGTCCATGCCGGGTCGCTCAACCATTGCTACTGTCTCCTTTCTTCTAGCAGATCAAGATCATCAGATGACAGCAAAAACTGCAGGGCTTTTAGTGGGGGCAATGAGAATAAGATCTATTATTTGCTTATTGATGTAATCCCCAAAATGTATTTTCTACTGTATAGTTAAGTTTTTACCTCTATCTTCAGTACATTTTATTTTATTGCTATGGCTAGTGGCTGATGCAAATAAAGATTATTCTGATTCTGCACTTTAAGAAGGAGTCCTTTCCTTTGCCTGCCTAGAATCTTGGGGCATTCAGCTTCATTGGATGGCCCTGAAAACTACTCTTATGGTGCGGGGGACTTCTCCCTATCCAACTTCTCCACACTGTGCCTTTCATCACCTCAGCCAGCCTTGGACACAGCTCTGCCTCCAGGCCAGTAGCCCTGCCAGGCTGGGGAAGGAATATCCCCAGATCAGATTATGATGTGACCAAAGAGTGTGCTTTTGCCTGTTGGGTATTGCTCAGGATAAAATGGCAGGATAAAATGGACACAGTAAGGGAGAAATGTCCCTGCCACCCTGAGCTCTTGGAGAAAAGGTGGGATATAAATGTACAAGTGGTGGACTGACTGAATAAAGGACCTGTGGGATAATTGACATATAAGAGCATAAGGCAAGTCCTGCTGGATCAGTGAGAGGGGACTCATCCTGTCCAGCACCCTGTTCCAGCAGTGGCCAACTAGGTGCTTCTGAAAGCCTGCAAACAGGACCTGAGTGCAATAGCAGCCCTCTCAACAGGTAGAGGTTGTGCATGGCCATCAGGACTAGTAGCCATTGAGAGTCTCATCCTTCCTGGATTGATCTCATTGCTTTTATCTTGTAGCCACCCCCCCCCAGCCATTCTTTTTACAGTGACATAGCCTCCCCCTCTACCTATTGTCAGGTGAACTATCCTTTGCAGTTTTGGAAGCAAAAGCATTTTTGTGTTCCAGGGTGTCTGTACCATCCTCCACACTGAACTCACATTATGCTGGGGAATTTGACTCAGAACTTGGCAGGACTGTAAGACTCTCCAGGTCTGGGTCTTTTTTCAGAAGTCTCCTGACAATGTGATGGCCTTGAATGGCCCCAATTAACCTGTGCTATTAGAACATTTAAGGCCATGGGGGTCTCCCCTGGGGAGCCTTTCATGCCTTCCCCCTCCACAAACTCACTCATGTCTTCCTGTTGGGTGCTTCCCTCTCATCCTCCTTTCTTCCTAATAAGCTTCAAGTTTGGAGAAGCCTCAAGGAAAAGGGGACCCCCACCAAACCACCCCAGTCTGTGGCCCACTTTCTGCTGTTCTGTTGTTATATAATACAGTCTCCCCTGATGTTTTATGGATTCTGGCTAGGATGCCCCACATTCACCCCCAACCCCTTTGCAGGTCCAGTTCTTCCCCAAGGGTGCTAGAGGACATCCTTCCAACTGGGAAAGGGAATTGGGAGTTGACACTTTCCCCCCAGCCATCAATCTCCTTCCTTCCTTCCTTCCTTCCTTCCTTCCTTCCTTCCTTCCTCACCTCCCTGCCTCTGTCTCCCTCCAGTCAAGCGAGACACACGCAGCGGAACCTCTTCCAGCGGGGAAGGTTTAAATAAATGATCTTTCTCTCCCTCCCTCTTTTTAAAAAATTGGTGTGTGTAGACGTGGTGACCTGCGAGATCCGTTTCCCCTTCAAACAGTGTCGCTCTCCCATTAAGGTTAATGAGGGAGGGGAGAAGGAGGAGGAGGAAGAGGAGGAGGAGGAGGGACTGAAGACCCCCCCGCTTCCCGCCTGGTAGGATCTCGGAGCACAAATCGCCCACCCCGGGGAGGGCGGCGTGCTTTGGGCCGGGGACGCTGGCAGGCGAGTCCGGATTCGCCCGTGGCTGTCGTTAGGGCAGGGGGAGCGTCGGGGCGCCTCCGTCCTTTCTCTCGCTGCCTCCCCTGGATGGAGCTGCCTGGCTGATGGTGGAGGAGGCGGCCCACTGGCGGCACGTTTGCACTTTGCAGGGACCCAGCGGCTCCTCCAGCCGCCGCCGCCGCCGCCACCACCAGCAGCACCATCAGGAGCGGGAACAGGAGCTGCTCGGCCGCGTCTCTCTGGCTTCTCCTCCGCGCAGCCGAGCTGCCTCACGCCGCCTCCCAGAAACTTTCTCCGGGCCCAGGAAGAGAGACCAGCCCGGCCTCGGGAGCCCCAAGTCGGCGCTGCCCTTCTGCTGCCGCCGGGAGAAGCCAGCCATGGACCGGGAAGCGGCGGCAGCGGCGGCGGCGGCGCGGAGCTGTCCGTGGTGCTGAAATGTCCGCGCCGGGTCCGGGAGCCTGGCGGGGCTCCTCGGCGTCCCTCTGATCGGAGGCGGCCGCCAAGGGGAGCCGAAGGGGCACCCTCTTTCTCTCTTGCTCGCTCTCTGCCTGCCTGCCTCCCTCCCCATGTTGGATCGGGACCTCTGGGGCTGAAACAGCCATTCCCATGTGGATGCAGGATGGACCCGCTCTGGAGGATGGATCAACTGCTTCTCTACATCAATGCAGCCCTCCTGGTTTATTTCAGCTGTGCCGGCTTCTGTCTGGCGGATGCAGGTAAGCGGGGAAGCAGTTCCTTGGTGGGGTATTAAAAATGGGTACTGGTAGTAGGCACTCTTCCCTCCACACACCCCTCCGCCGTTCTCTGGGTTTGTGTGCTCCATTCCTTAAGGGTGTCATTCGTTTCTTGGAAAAGAAATTCTCCTCAACTTCCCAGACCTGTTGTATTCTCATGCAACGTTTGAACATCCCTTCATAAATGGCTTCACCATCCAATGACAGAAGAGTTGAGGAGGATCAACAAAGGAAAGGGGGGATGTGTGTTTAACATGTGGAACTCATTGTTACATGACTAAGGAAAGGTGAAGAAAGCACCTCTGAGAGTTCTGTTAAGATATTTGCTTTAAAAAGAGGGATCAGCACAGGGCAATGTAGTTTTTACTGGCTGTTAGTCATGCTCAGAGTCTCAAGGAGCCCCTACTTGTTGCAGTGAGATGGAATCATAGACTTGACCTCCAGCTTCCTGTTCCTTTTGTCCAACTGTGCTTGAGAAAAAGGAGCCAGCAGGTAGCTGAAGTGACTTCCCTTTCTTATAATTCAAATGATTTGTGATGATCATATGGAACCAGCTCATGCGGCACCAGGCATGTGGCTTGTTACTCTTAGAATTTGATTCCTGAACTACATGGGCCTTGTTTCTGTCCCATGTTTGGTTCTACAGAGCCTTAGTTTGTGAGTCTTCTTATTTGTGGGGGCAGGGGGAGAGACCTATGCAGGACCAGGGAGGGTCCTGAAATGTGTGGAGAGACAAGATGGAGAATTCTACATAATAGCTGCTTCTATTCAAAATTGCACTCCTGTAGAGCATCCATGATAGGTTAGTGTCCAGATACCATAGTAGACAAGGTAATATGGGCATCAGCCAAATCTGGCCACCAAAAACAACCAGCTGGACCCTCAACCCACAGATAGAAGAGCTATGCGTATGGAATATTGGCTGTGAAGATTGAACTTGTGAGAGAACCCATCGGGCTTCTCAGAGTTGCTCTTCCCTAAGGCTAAGTTACTTTCTAGGAGAGAGGAGCAGACCATTAAACAAGCACAGTTTAATAGGTCTTGTGAAAAGAACAGGTATTTGACTTGTAATTTCATAGCTTGCCTCTGGCTTTAAGAAATTCTCCCATGGGAGAACATCAGGGCCTCAGAAGGGTGCTCAGCAGCAGCCTCACTAACAGATGCATAGACTGAGAAATGTTGTTGGAAAGACCTGAGCTGTCCTGTGGATGCTGATAGCTCATGTGATGATGCGTTGTAGACCACAAGGTCAAGTTTTCTGCTAACTCCATTATTTGTGGAGGACTACAAATTGTGACACCTCAGAAAAGGGAGCTTGTCAAATAACAGACCAAGAAAATTTCCAGCTTGGAAAATTTGGGGCTCTTATTACTTTGTTTAGTGGATGTGTTTCTGTTACTCTTCTCCAGGTAAAAAACCTCTCCGTGGCTAACATTTTTGAAAAATGAAACAAAAACACAGTACTGTAACCCTAACCCTTATTATACCTGTCCAGATTATTATAGGCAGTTTTGTATGTGCAGGCACACACACACACTGACATTTGTATCCCACCTTTCTTCCATAATGAATCCAAGGAAGAGATGTTTCCCAGGCAGTCATGCATTCAAGCGCTAACCAGCCCTAGACCTGCTTAGCTTCAGCAAGGTGGGAGCCTCCTGTGCCTTTATACGAGACCCTGGGACAGAGGAATGGTCAGGTAGTGTGAAGGTTTGAGAAGACACTGTAGAGCAGGGATGGTCACTTGGTAGCCCACAATGCAGATCTGGTCCCTGAGCCACGGTGGCCCTACTAAATTTTTGCCAAGGTTTGCTCCCAGCTTTGTTGATAAGGAAAATGAAACCTTGAAAAAGTTGTAAACAACAGTGATATTCCACAAGTTAATGCTCCGTCTCTCATTTTGGCTGTGTACGTTCTGCTAAGGCAGGTGCTGTATTACTGCAGAGCCTCTCCTGCTCTCTGCTGCCAGAGTTGTTATGGAATCTGACCTCAGTGAATGGATCTGTTTGTGGGGTAAAACACCATCCCAATCTTTGGTGTCAGAGCCCAGCAAGGCAAGCAGCTTGCATTGTCCATGGCAGGCAGAGGTCAAGTCCAAAAGTGGCAACTGAGACTCTGAAGAACCAGGGGCAGGTGAGCAAAGCTGACGGTTGACTTCCAGAGCAGTTGTGGCACTTGAGAAAGAATTCAGGGGGTGGCAGTATGGAAGGGGGAAAGTATATTTCTAGGTGGGAGAGATACCATATGTTAATGAGAGATTTCAGAAATGCAGTATAAGCTCCTTATTGGGGGAGTGCCTGCCCCCTGTTGCCACCCCCAAGCTGCCTATGCTCCAGAGTAGGCAGACCAATCTCAGAGGCACAGAGGCAGATGATACAGCGCCTTTGGTTTCCGCAAGGCCCCAGAGCCTTTGTGGCTTCTTTAGTTACCAGGCCTGTCAGAGCCTACTGGAGCTACTGACAGTCACTGACATCACTTTCTCATTTTTCCTCCTTTTTCTATGCATTGGGCACACAGTAGCAAAGTAAAGCCCTGGCTGAGGCTTCAGACACCCACCAGCTGCATTTCTCCAGGATGCCATCTGGGCCATTCTGTCTCAGGGCCCAGATGCATTCTGGGGGAAAGAAGACGGTGAGTGACTGCAGCCTTGGCCAGCAGTGAGCCTTCTGCAATCAAAGAAACATAGAGGGCCCACTGCTTCATTTACTTTACCTGGCAGCAGCCCCTGCCTATGAATGTTCTTGCAACAGAGCCCCTGTTGGTGTCTTGGGCCACCTGATTGCTTGGGGCTGATCAGCTGCAGTCTTCCTTCCTGCCACTATACAGGTAGTGCTCAGCCATTCCCTCTTCTTGCAAGCTGTCCTGGTGGTGCAGATAAGAGAGATCTGCTGTCAGAGTCCCTTGCACTGGGACGTTAAAACTGAACTGCTGTCAGGATACAGAAGTTCCCTGTCTTGGCATAGAGTACATCAGGAGTCTATCTCTGCCCAGGAGCACCCTTGTTACCTGGTACTTCAGGCAGGGCTGCAAGCTGGCCCATGGTGTGTGCTCTTCCTTTTATCCTGCAATGACTCTGAAGCTTGGAAGGTATTGTCATGGCTGAGTGATCTTTGGTAGATGAAAGCATCTAACTCAGGGGATCATGGATATCTGGATCAATTCTGTGAGCTGATACAGCAATGAACAGGCACAAGAATACAGTAATAGAATCATAGAACTGTAGAGTTGGAAGGGGCTGTGAGGGTCATCTAGTTCCCTGCAATGCAAGAATCTTTTTGCCCAAGGTGGGGCCTGAACCTGCAGCCTTGAGATTAAGAGTCTCATGCTCTACATAGAAAGCTGCCTGCCCTACTGAGCTAAACTCATTGGTCCATCTAGCTCAGTGTAGTCTACACTGACTGGCAGTGGCTCTCCAGAGTTTCTGGCAGGAGACATTCTTAGACCTACCGGTACCTGAAGATGCCAGGGATTAAACCTTGGACCTTTTTCACACAATGGAGGTGCTCTGCCAGTGAGCTGTGGACCCCCCCCCCCCAGACATGCCCACACAGCAAACTTGAGAGCAGTGTGACTTGTTAAGGGCTCCCAAGCATACAACACAGCATTTCCGTAAGGATCACTAGCAAAGAGTTCTTAGCACCCTCTGATTTGGGGGACGGGGATGGGGAACGAATTCATGACATTCAAGTCAGTTTCAAAACTGCTGAAATTGGAAGTGCATTAAATAAGGTGCAGGTCTGTTTGCATCCCATGCCCATCACACCACAATGGAATCCAAAATTTTAACAGAAGAGTTTCGGGTCCTAAAATCGAAACATATCACGTTCTCTAGCAAGTTTCTAGTCATCATAGATTCACTGAAAATAACTGGGATATATTTTGCAATCAGAATAGTGAAGTTGTGTCATATAATTTTGCATAATATAGTATGCAAATGAACCATACTTCTATAACCACAAGGTAGAATTAGGGGGTGTTGGCACAAATTGGGATGAGTTGGATGTCTCTGCTAACTGATTTTATGTCTGTGAGGATGTAACACATGGAGACCTTCATGCAACTAGAACTTGCTAGAAGAAGTTGTCTCAGATACAGTCTCCATTCTGGATGTGACTGTTTCAGTTCCACACTGAGGCCTATGAATGCAATTCTCCAAATATTCTGACTCAAGTTTAGTTCCTAAACAAACAAGTCACATGATCATTACACATTTTTTCCTGTGCTACCCTTCTCCCCAGTTCTAGACAGGTGGCATCTGGTTCTTTAATCAGTATTAGGAAAAGCACTCTGCACATGCTTCCTCTTCTCTTATGTTGCTTCACACATTCCAGGTTCCAAAGCTAAACAGGGTCTCAAGCAGAATAAGTCCGGTTCTGATAAATGTTGCCCAGTGACCAGCAATTTCCTACCCAAAAGTCCAACCCAAAGGACTTTTCCTGTTCATGCAAAAATGCATTTTGCTCATGTTCTAACTGCAAAGAAATGGCAACCTCAAAGCAATGCAGATGGCAAGCATGTCTCATGCTGCTGGATGCTGCCCCTAGTTTAATGGGGTGACATGCTCTCTCCAGGCAGAGCACATCCCCCACCCCACCCCCGGCAATGCCCATCTGCTTTGCTTCTTGCTGCCCATGCTGAAGTAGACATAACAGACACACGGTTGTCCTTGACTGCTTCTGTTGTGAAGGAGCAAGTCCGGAAGTCACTTTGTCTGGGAGGCACCGCTGGAGATTTATGAAGGTGTCCTTAAAATGGTGACTGTGGGTAAGATGTGGCACACCCCCCCCTCCCAAAAGTCCTTTGCAATTCCAATAGCCACCCATTTCTCCTTTTTCATACCAACGCCATGGCCTCCTCCTCCTCCTCCTCTCACCTTATCCTTAGTTCACCTCAGATTCAAGCAGCTGAGATTGAATAAAGGAATGGGATGAAATAAAGGACTCGGTTTTTAGCTGATTTCCTCTTCTCCTCTGTGCCCTCCTGGACACACATACAAACCCTCCACAAACATTTTACTGTGTACATTATGAACTCATCCAAATGGCATTCTCTCCCCCGGCCGCCCCCTGCTTCCCAGTTAACATGAGACACAAGCCAGCAGGAACTTATCCCACATCAGCAGCACTCATAGTGTGCAAAATCCATCCCTTCAGGATGGCTGCTCTCCTTCTGCCTAACCATAGGGCCACCTCCATGTGCCATTCAAAAATCCTCCTAACCTAAGACGGATAGGAATGTGGCTCTGTGCAGGCACCCTTCTTCCAGCATGTCACCCTCATTCACCATTTTTTAATAAAGCAGATAGGAACAAACCTTTCATAACGAAAGTTACCTCTGCCCATGTACCTCTCCCTCAGCACTGGGCAGCTACAGGGTAACCCTGCTCTCTTAGAATTCAGGAGCAAGATTTCTGTCCAAAGCACATGCTAAGGACTAAACCCCAGCACCTTTCTGTTAAACACTGCCCCCAACCTCTGATGACACTTGCACCCCACTATGCTGAGGGCAACCCGTTAGCCATTTGTTGTAGCCAGTCAGCCAGCCAGCTGCTTGAGAATCCCTCTCTTTCTGCAGTTCCAGGACAGACAGCAAAACAGGAAGCTTATGGAGCTCCCAGTGGGCATTTAGCTGGCTGGATGACACTGTGCAGCTCTATGATGGCATGCAAAGCCCAATGGCAGGACTGAGAGTATGTTCTAGGAGTCTGTGGGGAGAGGGAAAGAACAAGGTGCAAAATTTGATATTGTGTTCAGAAACCAGCAAGCGGGTTCTTAGTCGTTACTGTTGTGAAGATGAGCCAGAAGTGACACGGGCAAAGTCTGTTTAAATCCCAGGAGTTGGAAGAAGCTGAGTTCAATGGTCAGGGGTGTGGCTTTGGTGCTGTACGTGTAGATCCATGTCCCTTTCTTTCATTTCCATAATTTATACAGAACCCAGCTTTACTTTACAAATGTGTGTTAGCTTGGGACAGAAATCCCAGTGTTTTGGGGATGCCCATGTTTCCTCCTTCACAGAGGGCAGTCCTCTAATTTGAAAGTGCCCTCTGCATTTTGGGTGTGTGTGTGTGTGTGTGTGTGTGTGTGTGTGTGTGTGTGTGTAGTTTGGTCCAAGTCCATTTTATATATAAAGAAGCATAAGGGCAGGGGCCTTGAAGGAGAGAGAGCAGGAGAGGTCGTGAAGCTGTCTGCCAACAGTACTGACAGCAAACTGAACTGGACACAGACTTTCCCACTTGCATTTCTATCTAAATTGCAGATTATTATTTTCTTAATGTGCATCTATTAACATATGCCCATTTTATGCAAATCTGTGTCCTCCTTCTGACAATTTATCTCCACTTCCTTGGTGATGTGTAAGTGGCCACCTTAAAGTGTTTTATTTCAAATCTTCCTTCCCAGCAGTTAATCAAGCCCAGGGATCATTGCCCAGGTTTCAGGCATTGGTTGCTGACAGCAACAGTTACAGCCAACACAGTGCAAACCTGTTGTTGGCTTGAGTGATTTGTGCAAACGCGGAAGGATGCAAACGGTCTTCATACGGATGGTCTACAATTTAGTTTCCCTGTGGTGACTTTAGCAATCTGGGTGCACAACTTGATCGCCTTCTTCCTCACTCCCCGAGGTGTTCATAAGTCATCTTTTGGCAAATGGCACACGGCTAATTTGCACCACTTTATTGGCCCTATCCATAAGCTAAAATCAAAGAACAGAAGAGCAGGATTCATTTAACAAGGGGTGTGCAGATGCCAGAAGGGAATGAAAAAGTTAATTTGGCAGCTGGCTCTGCAGGGAAAAGACTCATGCTGCCAGAGAACTTGCAGGTTTTGACTGGAGCAGAAGCCTCATTGGAAAAGTCCTTCTCCCCACCTCCCCTAATTTCTATTGTCTGCTCAAGGCAATTGCCAAGATAATATTTAAGTCATTTTTACAGCTTGGAAATGTGATTTAGCTCTGTAATAACACCAGGCCTGAGGCCTCTGTGGTGAGCCCTGGCTCGGTCCCTTAAGCCGCTGCGGAAGTGCTGCCCATTACTCAGATGCTGATGAAAGAGGGAACTGAACTGTGCACAATCTTTAAAGGCTCTAGAGTGGTGGTGTAGCAAATGGGCCCTAGGGCAGGTAAAGTGAAATGGACTTATCCTTACAGCACAAAACATGTGCTTCCACCGGAGGTGATCAGCAGCAAGGCTTTCAGGCCGTTTTATTTTCACATGTGCCCACATCAGAGGCATTTTTGCTTGCGGTGCTATCCAGAATTGTTATGGTCACAGAGACATCACATTTGAAGGGCAGTCAAGGGGAGGGGGGTCCTGCATTTGGGCTGTGAGTCTTTATTAAAGCTGAGTTTTAATGGAAATGTTTGGTCCCATTTTACCAAATATCCAGTCTAAATCTCCAGATCTATTTGATTGTCATAGCTGAGGTTTAGACTTGTCCAAGGAAAGTTCAGCTGGCTAGGGACACTGAGATGGGGAGCCATGGAGGGGCTGAATTTGCGGGAGGCAATTGGTACCCAGTTCAGATCTTACCTCAGCCATGGACTCACCAGGTAGCCACTCTCAGTTAGCCTCCTTCCCCCAATTTGTTGTTGTTTAGTCGTTTAGTCATGTCCAACTCTTCGTGACCCCATGGACCAGAGCACTCCAGGCACTCCTGTCTTCCACTGCCTCCCGCATGCTGGTAGCTTCGAGAACACTGTCCAACCATCTCGTCCTCTGTCGTCCCCTTCTCCTCGTGCCCTCCATCTTTCCCAACATCAGGGTCTTTTCCAGGGAGTCTTCTCTTCTCATGAGGTGGCCAAAGTATTGGCGCCTCAGCTTCACGATCTGTCCTTCCACTGAGCAATCAGGCTGATTTTCTTAAGAATGGATAGGTTTGATCTTCTTGCAGTCCATGGGACTCTCAAGAGTCTCCTCCAGCACCATAATTCAAAAGCATCAATTCTTCGGCGATCAGCCTTCTTTATGGTCCAGCTCTCACTTCCATACATCACTTCTGGGAAAACCATAGCTTTAACTATACAGACCTTTGTTGGCAAGGTGATGTCTCTGCTTTTTAGGATGCTGTCTAGGTATGTCATTGCTTTTCTCCCAAGAAGCAGGCGTCTTTTAATTTCCCCAATACCTTCCCCCAATACCTCACCCTAGATAATAAGAGTTGGGACTAAGGCCATTCCCTCCCTCCAGTGTCCCAGAGGTGAATACAGGGACATTGTTTTTGAGGGCTTGTAACATCATCCCACCCGTTATCGCCTCCTGCCCCTTCATTTCACATTCCTGACAAGATGGGCCCTGGATCTTTTTCTAAGCACCCCAAATGTTTCTGGTGGACTATTGATTGGGGAGGGGAATTGAACTGAGGAAACATTTGGGTTACCCAGTCAGAGTGAATTTGGGGAAATAAATGAATTTTAGATGATTTAATCTAGAGATGATTTGAAGGATAACGGATATGGATAATTGAAGGGGAATTGAATTGATTTGAAATGGGATCTGCTGGGACCTTAACTGGGATAAATGAAATGAAGAAGAGCTGGTTTTTAGTGATTTGGGGCAAATTAACTGAGGGATTTATCTGGAAAGTTAGTTGCCTTATTTCAGTATCATTCCAGGGTAACTACACTTATGTACACTTCCTTTGCAGTAAGTCCCTCTGAACTGAACAGGCTTGCTCCACCCTCAAAGGCAAAGTAAAGACAATTGAATGAGGACATTAGTGTGGGAATGTTCAGGGTGGCAGGAGAGGATATATTGCTTATTAATATCCTTCCTAACTTGAGCTAGCAAGTTCCTTTACTTAGCAGAGTGCATTCCCCTTTACACAGCAGAAAACTAGTGGCAAACTCGTGTGAGTTTCTTAAGACAATATGCAATTCAATCTGGCTTGTCCAGATTGAAATATGTTCTAACATTTTCCTGGTAAGACCCCTTGAATCCCTCCTAAAAGAATAAAGACACCAGAGTCTTATTCATAAGCAATAAAAAGAAAGTTTGCCCACGACCAATGCAGAGCACAGTGTGATCCCTGAAGGCAGGCTTTAGGCTTAAAGTTACAAACTTATACTAACAGGTTTACCCCATAAGGGAGATGACCTGGGGGACTGCTCAGCTGGCAGCCAGCAGTTCATTCCAGGAAGTTCACAGGACAAAAAGAAGATGGAAAAGAGAGACAATGGCAGCATGCCTTTGCCTTTTACCGGTCAGGAAAGGTCATGCCCACCTACTAGTCACATGCAAGTAACGATGCTCCAGGCCAGGAGGAACAGGAAGTTTCGACTGGCTGGACCAAACATTCCCTTGCATGTCCACTCTAGCAAAACAAGGAATGTTGTACTTGACTGCTCTCAGTGGATTATATCTCACAATTAGGAGCATACATAAGGTGTGGAATGTGGATCCCTGCTTGGTCAGCTGGAAGTGATCCTTCTTTGCCACAAGAAGCTAAGCAAGTGGATAATTACAAATCTGCTATTCCTCTCTGGATTGGGAGAATGACCGGAGGGCAAGAGACTAGCAGCCCCTTTGAGAGCCCTTTTCTATCCACTGCTCTAACCAGGATTGATTGGGGATTCTTGGAAAGAGGACAAACAAGATCTTAGATCACAGTGAGGCTTCGGGAACACAGTCCCTGAATGTTCAGGTTTCATTAAAATAAAAAGTCAGCCTTTAGCCATGGCCCCTTGGATGTTGCTTAGACTATAGCTCCCAACAGTGCCAGCCAGCATGGCCAATGGCCAGGGATAATGGGAGGTAGTCTGAAAACATCTGGAGGGTGGTTTTGCTTGTGGAAGATAGAAGAAAAAGAAAGAAGGCAATTTCTGCCTTTCCCAACCTGGTGCCCTCCAGATGTTTTGGACTACAACTCCAATCAGCTCCAGTCAGCTGTGGTAGCTGAGGCTGATGGAGATTGGGGGGGTCTAAAACATCTGGAAGACACCACATTGCCAAAAACTGTTGTTTTATTCAGTTACTCACTCTGAGATGAACCTCTTAAGACTGGAGCAAATAGAAACAGGACAAGATTCATTAGTAGTGATTTCTCTTGTTCAGGAACAGGGACGATTGATTTTTAGTTCCTGGGCCAGAAAGTAGACATTCTAGTAAGGGAATCTATTTTATAAGTGCCATTTCAGACAAATTAGCAATTTTTTGCCAAATACTTTGTTAGAACCTACTCCCCTGAGGGTGATGGACTGATTCCTTTAATTAGAGCCGAACATGCAAGCTGATGCAAAGCTTGTTAATGTGGGTGGAAAGGGGGCCTCTGAGCCAGCAGGCAACAGCCTCCCAACCAAAACAGAAGGACGTCAACAGTGAGTGGTGGGTGCAGAGTCCAAGAGTGGCACCCTGCTGGAAAAATGGCCCTTTGCAAAGCGACATGGGTAAACTGACAGATTGCTGCCCCGAGGACCTTGCAATCTGGAAATGTGACAGCGGAGGAGGCAATGAAGGAAGGCAAGCAAAGGCTGGGGGAAGCAGCAGCAACAGGGAGCTAGCGGAGTTACATGCAAAGGAAGGAGCTTTGTGCATACTGGGGAGGAGACGTCCTGGAAGAAGTTTAAAAGGAGGCATTTAAACGGAGTCTGTTCTGGGAGGAGCAGGCAGGATCATTGAAGGGAGCAGGGCATGGCTGGGTGACTTAGAGGGGGAGAGGGGGAAGGCGGCAACACTGTGCCGCAAATTGCCCTTAGCCAGGCAGTGGGGAAGGCAGACACTCTCATCAGGGTGCCTACCTATTTCTTCCTACTCTCCCCCCCCCCTCTCTCTCTCTCTCTCTCTCTCTCTGTGTGTAAACTGATATAGCATAAGGTGCTATCAGTCTCTAGCATGCACACTCGCTCTCCCCCTCTCTCAGAAACAGGGATGCATGAAAGCTGGTTTCTCTCTGGTTCTCATTCTCCCACTCTTTCACTTCAAGTCTCCGCATTTCCATATCAGTTTGCATATTTTTTTAAAAAAATAATAACCCTCATGCAAATTAACCATCATTTTTTAGTTCCCATTTCCCCTGATATACACATTTTCCTATGCAATTTTGCTTAATATACACAATTTTGCAAAGTGATTTCCTCTGAGAGAATGAATTTTTGAATCTTATTTTCTCTTACATTTTGAATGCACACTCTATGCTGCTATATGCATTTTTGTCCACTTTGCTCAGCTGGAGAACGGCACCACAAAAGTTGGAGAAGTGCAAATTTCGAAGGGTGGCTGCATTTCGGTTTGCATATTATTTGGGAAAGTGTGGATAAGGGTAGGTTCGCCTTTAAATGTGAACTGCATCAAATTCCTCCACCAAACCTAGGGCTCAGAAGTAAAATACAAGGCTGCTTCTGCAATGCCCTACCCCCCCCGAACTGTGGAGCCTTGAAAATCTCTGTGCTTGGTGCTTTCCTCTTTTAGAAATCAACTTCTTGGGAAAGGGGTGGAGTGCGTTCTAAACCCCCCACCACCTTGGCTGCTGGCTCCAGCTACACCCACCCATGGCTTGCTGGAGGCCTAAGATTATGGTGCCTCTGGCCCCATTTGCTGCTCAGTGGTTTTCAGAGCCGTTTCCTCTGTCCTTTCGAGAACAAAAGGCCAGGCTGCCAGGGGGGCTTTGTCCTCTCAAAGTGGCAGGGGGACAAGGTGGTTCGGCATCCATCCCCATCCATCATTCCTTCCCACGGCCTCTGCGTGACTCCAGGTCCAAATAAATGGCAGAGGTGGGCCCAGGATTTTTGTGTGTACCTTTGTCACTAAGGCACTCTGGAGAGTGCTTTCAGCCCTTGCTAAAAAACCCATAAAGCTGGCACGCTATTATTCTCCATGTGGGAGCCTCACAGAGAAGAGTGCAAAAAAGAATTCTCTGAATAGCAAAGTACACGAGGAAGGCGGGAAACCCTTTTATAGTCACACCTCCACTTCCAAGAAGGAAACAAGGACCCCCACAGCCCCGAGAGGAGGAAAGAGAATGAGAGCGAGAGCGGGGTGGTCAGGTTCCAGCTCTTGAGCGAGTGAGAGAGTGAATAGAGATCAGAAAACTTAGCAACAGAACTGCAGGTCATGTTCTTACGCCTCTCATTTCTGCAGAAAAGGTCACGGCACAGGGAACAGAAAGCTGCCACGATGGCATCTTGACATTTAGAGCTTCCTGGCAGGTTCCACTAAGCGATGCCTGGAATTAGACAAAGGCAGCCCAGCCCAGCCCACTTAGCTATAGCTTCAAATGGCAGGAGGGACATCCAGGCCAGGGGCCCAGCCTAGAGGTGGTGGCACTTTGGCACAGAAGCTTGGTCTTTGCAGCCAAGCTGGTGAAGGATCATCCCCACCTCAGTGTGGAATTGCCACCTGTTTCTTTGATAGCTCCAGAATTGAGCATCTCGCCATGTCTACAGAACATCTGTAAGCAGGCTCGTCGTTCAGACAGGGAGGTGGTAACTAGCAGGGCAGCAGAGGTTCCTTTGGCTAATCTGCATTAAGCCATTGAAAAGTCCTCCCTGAATTTCCCCAGTTGGTAAGCGTGTGAGCTGATGCAGGATCCGCGGGTTCAAATCTGATCTTAAACTTCGATGGCCTTATCTAAGGCCCTGTTTCCTCAAGTTCCCCCAGATCTGGGCACTCTTCACCCTCACAGGTCTCTTGCAAGGATGACTACATATGGGAAGCACTTTGAACCCACAGCAAATGCTGTGTGTGTGTGTGTGTGTGTGTGTGTGTGTGTGTGTATGCAAAATAAAAGTAAACTTTTAGGGTGCTTCCTATGGCTGCCTAGAACCATGAATGAATGCATAGTATGCCTGTTCATTTGCAGAAAAAAAGGAAAACAAAAGGCAGGAATCTGGAGACTGCAGGCTTTGAAACCTCCAAATCTCTTGGGTGGGAGGGCTTTTGACTTCTCTGCTGGACTGCGTGGGTGCTACTATGTGTTCGCATGAGTGTTGTGTGTCTGTATGAATAGAGTGTGTGGGAAGGTGAAGTGCAAATGGGCGGAACGCAAGTTCCACAATGAGTGCACCACCATCCGTGGCTCTCGCTTGCTGCTAAAAAGCTTTCGGCATCCCTTGACCCTTCTGGAAAGGCTCTGCAGTCTTTAAGCTTTTTACAATGTCGGGGGTGCACCCTGCAGAACGGGAACAAAGTGACCTACAAACTCCTCTCTGCCTGGCCTTGATACAAATTCCGCTGTGCTCCCTTGCTGCTTTTACCGTAAGTGCAGCTTAGGAAGCCCCAGAGCTCAAAGGCTCTCAACTGCAGCCAGGAAGGTTGCTGCTTTTTGGCCCTTCAGAGTGGCCAGCGGGGATGGGAGCTGAGCTCCAGTGCTGGTTGCCCTTGGGAGAGCTCAGCTGCAACAGCAGGATGCAGCTGCAGTCATGCCGAGACTGCAAGACTGTGCCCACTTGACCTGGGAGTAAGCCCCGCTGAACTCATTGGGATTTACTCAGAGTAGGCATGTGCAGGATTGTGCTGTGAATCCCTTTTGTCTGCTGTTTGCATGCCAAAGGAGCAGCTGCTAAATTGGCACCCATCCATCTAGTTGGCTGTTCAAAGAAGACTTAAGTTCTAATCCACGATTATTTATTTTTAAAAGTAATGCTTTAAAAGTAAAGCTTAAGGCAGTGATGAGACAGCTGTAGCAGAAATGGACATGCTCATCCTATAACTAGATATGTGCTTTCTTTTTTCTTTTTCTTTTTCTAAGAACCTTGTATTCCTCCCAAATCCCAAAGAGTAGCTATGATCAAAAACAGTGACAGGCTCTAGGTAAGCAAATGGGCCACTGGCTAGTTTCTTGCTGGCCTCCTCACACCTGCTGGGAATCTTGCAGACCCTGTTAAGTAACAGGCACCAAATTGACTGGCTTGCTTTTTACTTGGGATTGGGCTTTCCAATGGCAACTAAATATCTTGCTCCAATATAATTTTGGAATTAGAGCAATGCAATTAGTGAGAGAGAGGGGAAGAAGATATCTTCTTACTTGCTTCCCTTTGCCCACCCCCCTCATGTGAGATTTCTCAAGTGAGTTTTCCCGTCTCCGGGCGAATTCACTTGTCTCTCTACATCTCAGGACCCACCCATATCTCATCCTTATGCATATTGTGAATCCCTTGTGCCTCCTTGCCCGTGTGACGTTCTTATCCAGCTACTGCTGTCCCACACTTGCTCTTCCCTAAATCCAGAGATCCCCTTTGCTTTGAAAATTCATACAGGAGAGCTGCATCAATTGCATATAGGGAATCTCTGGATATATGTAGGGGAAAGCCTGGGACAGTAACAGTTAGAGGGGAGCACCACGTAGACAAAATACACAGTAAGATGAGGTATGGAAAACCTATTTCTTAGGACCATTGTGAGGCTAAATGTACACAAAACAGCCTCTGCCTGCATTCTCTCCTTTCCCTGGGGCATATTCTAATGTGTAAACTAGTGTGTTTTTCCTAGCGCTTATCCAGTTAGGGGCTTATCTGTGCTGCATATGTAGATCCATGCACACACACGGCAGAGTCTTCATCACCATTATTCTTGCATAATTCTTCTTCTTCATTCAAAGCATGCTGCCTACATTCTCCCAATATTTTAAGGTGTTGTTGTAAAACTGGGAGGGGTCTGTGCAGGAGAAGGCTAATGCATCCAGAGGTCTTGCTGGAGTGTCTCTTAACAGTCCTGGGCAAAGTTGCCAGATGCATCATTTATTTGGGAGACTACAGGTGATGTGTTTCCATGGGAGTTAATTGTCCAGTGATTGCTTCTTGATACAGATCCACTGCTACTGGTAAGAAGCATTGCAATGCATGGCCTCTGAATATTAAGGTTCCATTTAGCTGTAAGGGCTACTAGCTATCCAGACATGTTGCCTCCACAAATTTCCCTTCTGCATGTCTCCAAACCACCCCATCATGAGCAACCATCAGCTCTCCTTCAGGTGGGAGTGCCTAATAATAATACTGTCCTTCAACTGAGGATCACAGGGAGGTTTTTAATATAAAAACACAAAAATGCTTAACATAGTAACAAATAAAAACAATAAACCCCCCGCAGTTTAAAAAGCCATAGATTGTTGTTGTTATGTTTCTTCTGACAGTCAATTCCATTAGCTAATCATGTGTGGTGTGAAGAAGTCCTTCCAGCTTCCTTCTCTCCTGCTAAGTATCTTCTCCATTCATGTGATGTGAATCTCCCTCTCCTTGCAGACAGCCCCTCCGCTCCAGTCAATGTCACAGTCAAGCTCCTGAAAGCCAACTCAGCTGTTGTGACCTGGGACGTCCTGGAAGAAGAGGTGGTCATAGGATTTGCCATCTCCCAGCAGGTAGGTGGCAAAATCCCTTCCCTTAAAACTGGACTTTTTGCAAGATCAGAACGGAGGTTCAATAAACAGCCAATGTTGTCTAACCTACCAGCAACTTTGTGCAGTTGAATCAGTAAAGAGGTTGTCTGGAAGCAACCTCAGATTCAGAATTGTTTCTTTGCATCTAGTCCTCAGATCATAAAACAAGAATTTAACAATGGGAGCTACGTATCCTTATAAAAATAGCACTAGTTGACAAAAAATAAAATAAATAATATTCTGACTATCCCTGGCAAATCACAGCATTCCCTTTCAGTTCCTATTTTTAACAGATGTAAAAATAAAAGATATACACAAACCTGAATAAATTTATATGAAACCTGAACAAACTGTTACAGTAATTAAGAGGCTGATGCAACTCACTGCCTAAAGAGTTTCCTTGTCAATCAAACTTCAGAAAGATGCAATGACTCTCTCTTCCCTCATTCCATTCAGACATTCCCCTGTCATCAAAATTTAAAGGTCTTCTGACACCTTGTCCTGTGAGCAAAAACAAGTTATTTCAAAGCAGCAAGCAAATGATTGGGACCAGTGGCATAGGAAGATGTGCGCGGTGGGGCGGTTCGCTCTGGTTGCCACAACTGAGGGGGGTGACAAACTGGAGAAAATAAGTATTTAAAAAATAAACTTATTGTAGCACCTCTCCGAGAGGTTGTCAGGGCTCCCCGGGTCCCAGATGTCACCCTCCTTGCCTTGAAACCTTCGCCCCGCCCCCAACCCAGCTGGCCAATCGGCTGTGGCTGGGGGCAGGACGAAGGCAAGGAAAGGGCTGGTGTTCCAAGGCCGACTTGCATAGCCTCCTGCCAGCAGTGGTTGGGTTTTTTGGGCCACTGCAGCGGCCCCCACAGGCTGCTGCTTCCTGTTTCAACCACCCTGATAAGAGGAGAGGAGAGTGGTCAAAAGCAGTCAATAAACTTTGTCTCAATGAGCTCTTGCAAAAACATAGGAACCAAAAGCAGCTGGGAGGCAGGTCCCTGAACCAGTGGCCTTAGCACCTGCCAACAGCGGTTGGGCTCTGGGGCGCGCGGGCACTGCGGACGACCTCCTGGGCCGCTAAGCCAAAGCTGTTTATGCTCACAATGTTCAGTAAATGAACAAGAAAACAACACTTGTGACTCTAAGTATCTTATTTTTCCTTCTTTTAATAATCTGAATGTGTGTGGGGGAGTGACAAGGAATTTTCTGCACCGGGTACCACCTGACCTTGCTACGCCTCTGATTGGGACAGGCTTTGGTTTAAACAATGGGACCTGCTGCTGCCATTTCTCATTTGGCCCTTTGGAATATGTGGATGTTTTGCTTTCTCCCCCTGCAGAAGAAGGATGTCAGGATGCTGCGCTTCATCCAGGAGGTGAACACCACCACCCGCTCGTGCTCCCTCTGGGACCTGGAAGAGGACACCGAGTACATTGTGCACGTCCAGTCCATCAGCATCCAAGGCCAGAGTCCAGCCAGCGAACCAGTCCACTTCAAGACCCCCCGGGAAGCGGAGAAACTGGCTTCCAAAAACAAAGGCAAGTCAGGAGGAGGCTGTGGGCCCTGGGAGGTGGGAGACAAGCAGCACTGTTTGCAGGAGGGCAGCGAAGTGGAGCTACAAGTGGCAAAGGGACCCCACTGAGCCACTGCTGTCAGCTGGAATGGAGTACCAGAAGAAGGTGAGAGCCAGCAGGAGATAATTCTCATTTTGCGCACCCTGCCTCTTCCAGGAGGAGGGTGTCCACTGCTGTGGCCCCTTCCTCCAGGGCCCTCTAGCTGGTCAGATGAACATCCTTCTTTCAGCACAGCTGGGAAGTGGAAGCAAGCAGCTGGAAGGCTTAAACTGGGGCTGTGCAACATTTGCTGCTGCTGCCAACACCTCTGCCCAAGAGGGAATGCATCAACCCTGCCTTGCCACCTGCCAGGTCCATGATACAGCCCTTGGGTTACTGGGCCTTTTCAAGCACCTGCCCAGCTGGAACAAAAGGCGAAGCTGCTGCGTGTGTATTGGGGGGTGGGTTCTGCATTGTGTGGATTTGTGCAAAAGGGCTAGGGTGGTATACACCCACATCAGGCACCACAGCAGCCTTTCCAGGTTTGCAAAAATCAGTTTGGTGGCTGGGAAAACAGCAAGGAGGAACAGAATAGTGCGTGGGGGCAGGGGGGGTGGGATAACAATGAGTGACCTAGCACCCAGCAAGGCAGAAGGGGATAGAAGTTGCTCATCACTCAAGTGTGAGAAAACCTCGAACATTCTGAAATCCTCTGGGTTGTACCAAAATAAGGTTTACTCAGTGCAGACCCAGCAAAATGAAAGGATATGACTGACGTAGGGCCAGCAAGGGGTCTACTCTGAGTTAGGACAGGATGACCACTTATACATCGCGCAAAAAGAGGCCACAGATCTGCTTTCGTTTGTTTATACACATGTAGAAATAATAACTATGAATTAAATAGAAGCACAGCATATCTTCGCATAGCTGGGGAGACCTTGACCAGGTTCCTTGTGAGGGAGGGGCTGAGAGTGCCATGGTTTGTTTTTCCAAGATGAGAGGTGTCTATCTAAAAAGCCTCTGCAATGCCACAGGATGCTGCCGCCGGGGCTGATGGAAGGTGTGGTCCAAAATGCCTGGACACCACCAGCTTGGCAAAGGCTGCTATCAGAGGCTCCGAGGTACATTGGGGGAAGCCACATGGTCCTCACACCTAGGGATACCTTGCGTACTTGAAAGCCGTGCTTCACAAGTCAACTCTTTGCCCAATTCTTTGTTTAGGGTAACAAAAATCTGTGAGGGTAGGTTTGGAATGGAGCTAAGGTCCTCCTGCCATTTCTCTCTCTCTCTCTCTCTCTCTCTCTCTCTCTCTCTCTCACCCCATCCTGTGCAGATGAGGTAACGATGAAGGAGATGGGAGAGAAAAACCAGCAGCTGCGAGCCGGGGAGATCCTCATCATTGTCGTGGTCTTGTTCATGTGGGCTGGTCAGTATGAGTCCCCTAAATGCATGCAAAATAAATGCATGTATTGGGGGTTTTGGACAGAGAATTTTGTGCACACAAAAAGACCCTGAAGACATGTGCACAGGTGGACATAACTAGGCAATCATTTTCACAATATGTCCCCGCCTGTGTGCATTGGATGCTTTAAAAAGTACAAGAGGAGAAGCTGCTGCCCCAATTATGTTTCCAGTCTAAAACTGAACACAGATCAGACTGCAGTGGAAAGAGGCAGAGGGAGGGATGAATGAGGAAGAATAAGCAGTTATTTGGGTTACATGTGCTTGGGTTCGACTATAATCAAGTATAGAGATTATTAGAATTTTACCAGCTTGCACACAAGTATGGTTGTTATGTTTCTAGATTTTGTTGTGTTTCCAATGTGCTCTTACCCAGCTTGTTTCCTGGGGTGGATCAAAACACGGGGGGGGGGGGGGGATGCTATTAAAAAAAGTCAGAAGTTAGATTGTAAAAACAAAAGAAAAAAATCTCTATGGAAAATCGTGTTTTAAAATTTCCTGCTCTCTGTCGCCATCTGGTGCACATTCAAACAGCTATTTCTTTAGCTGAGAAACAGCTGAGTCCCTGGGGTTGGGACTTATTAGGAACTGAAATAACTTCACAATAGCCACTCACCTCCCTGGATAGTCCCCAGTGCCAGAAGACTCTTTTGCCTTTATTTGTCCCATCAGAGTCTTGTACAGTGGTACCTCGGGTTACATACGCTTCAGGTTACATGCGCTTCAGGTTACAGACTCCGCTAACCCAGAAATAATACCTCGGGTTAAGAACTTTGCTTCAGGATGAGAACAGAAATCGTGCTACGGCGGCGCGGCGGCAGCAGGAGGCCCCATTAGCTAAAGTGGTGCTTCAGGTTAAGAACAGTTTCAGGTTAAGAATGGACCTCCGGAACGAATTAAGTATTTAACCCAAGGTACCACTGTAAATTGCCAGCCAGTCAAGATTTCTCACTATGTGCCTTCTCTGAAATTCTGAAGAAGTCTAAACAGACAAATCAAGTGTAAATTGTCACCCTATGCCTGCCTTGCAATCCGCTCCTGTTTCTCTGTGTTATTAGTATTTTTTACTAGAGTGCCTATTTAACTACCCCCTGTTAAAATGACAGAATTGTTAAAACAATAAATGGCCTGAAGCATTATTAGAGCATAAATCAGCAGAATGGCAGTAAGCCCCAATCCTCTTAAAATCTACTACCAGGAATTGAGGGGGAGGGCAGGCGTGGAGAGACAAGAAGAAAACCTTCCTGTAAGCAAAACTGCTCCCTCTGTGACAGAATCATAGAACTGTAGGTGTTGATGTATGACCAGTTTATGAGGACATTCAAAGCACATCCAACACACATGTAAAACACAGAACATCCCACAAAGAACCCTGGGAATTTGATAAGGGTACTGGGAATTGCAGGTCTGCAAGGGGGAACCATGCTTCCTTGGTTTGGGGAAAGCAACGTGCTTTAAATGTGTGTTGAATGTAATTTGTGTTGAATCTAAGGTCTGCTTTTGGAATTAAGATTAGCTTGCAGTACTGAGCATGCTGGGCTTTTCTTTTTAGACTTCTTAAGAGATGTCATAAGGAAAGACTGCATATGGAAAAGTTAGAGGGGCAACTCCCCACCATCCCATAATGGTTCCTGCTCTATCAAAATAAATAAAAGTGTGCTAGTTTATAGTCTCCATAAATATTCAAGCCCCTTCTGCTATAATTCTGCAAGTTTACCAGCAGGTTGTTGCCAGTGTGAGTCATTTGTAAAAACAGAAGGCTTGGACGTGCCTTGAACTCATATCCTCACATTTTTACCTCCTATAAACCCAGATGTGTGGTGTAGGTGAGGAAGCCTGTACTTCCTGCACATGCCCAGAGACTCCTGTTCTTTATTGTCTCTTTTCTTCCATCCGTATCAACTGCTCTGTATATTTAGGTGTACACATATTGACGAATAATTCCCCGAGCCAATGCAGAGTATTGTCTAAGGCCGTTTCCCATACAGTCACTGTTTACGGGTGGGATTCAGTCACATCAGGCTGCACAATTACAACTGATCTGGAGCTCTTGCGAAACAAAACCTCCCCTCCACCTGGAAAGATTGGATGGGATAAGGAACATGATAGGGAAAGGCACTGGAATGAGGAGGATAACAAGGTGGATTATCATTCAATAGCTGCCGCCGCCTAATCTCTCTGCACACAAGCCAGGCTGAATGCTCATTAAGCAGGCTGCATGGAACCGACTTAAGGGGGTGAGCGATAAGCCCCCAGTTTAAATACTGCCTTGGCCATGAACAAATTCGGTAGCCTCAGGCATCTCTCACTCTCAACATCAGCCCACCTTCCATCTGCAGAATGGTCATAAATATAAGCAGTGCTTTTCTCCAGGGGATACTCAAAGGTGCGCGGTACCGGCACTTTTCCCCATTGTTGTTAAAAAGTGTGACGCTTACTGTAACAACTTCATGGGGAGTACCGACACCTATTTTTCTAGGGGAAAAGCGCTGAATATCAGGCTGTTTTACCTCCTCAAAAATAAATAAATGTTCCCTGAGCAAAACAGCTTACAAAGATCAATCATAAAAAGTCCTATTATTATTATTATTATTAATTATATTTCTATCCCACCTTTCCTTCCAAGGAGCTCAAGGTGGTGGTGTCCATGGTTCTCCCCCTCCTCATTTAATTCCCACAACAACTTTGTGAGGTAGGTTAGGCCAAGAAGCAGTGACTAGCCCAAGGTCCCTAGTGAGCTTCATGGCCGAGTGGGGATTTGAACCCTGGCCAATCTCCAAGCGGCAAGAGACTCCAGGGGGGCCTGCACTTACCCAGGGTGCAATGAGGGTCATTGGAGACTGCAGTGTCTTTAGGATATATGACTTTATTTACATATATATACAACCTGAGTATTGGATGGAGGGGCCCAAAGAACTGTATTTTAATATTTTGTTGGAAGCCATCCAGAGTGTCTGGGGAAGCCCAGCCAGATGGGTGGGGTATAAATTATTAATTAATTAATTAATTAATTAATTAACACTTCCATAGATCTTGCCTCTCCTTTAGGTCTCCAGGGAAGCCCCAAGCCACAGCTTTGGGTTCAGCACAGAGCAAGACACGCCTCTCTGTCCAGCTTCCAGCCCAGCCAAACTCACCCCCACACAGCCCCGCTTGGCCTATTGTTCTCCATACTAGGATGACCCTGGCATCCAGCCAGGAGAGGTGGGGAAAGGCCCACCCATTTGTTTCTATGACAAGGGAGCTCGCTGTTTTCAGCTGCAAATGCAGGATACTTAGCTGAGCAGCTAAGGCCATTACACTGACAAAGGGACTGGTCTGACCAGTTTAGGAAGCTTCCTCCTATAGCTTCCATCCCACCCCCAATAAAAGGACTTTTGCAGTAAGGAAAGTGATGAGAAAATGTGCTGGAAAGTGTGGAATAACAATTGCTTGTTGTGCTCTTGTATACCCCTCCCACAAACGGCTCACTTAAGAATGGATATCGCAAAACCTACTTGCCTACAAGTCAAGAGGCTCAATAATGTTGAAGGTTTCAGGAAGGAGTCAGTCTGGGTGGTAGACATACAGTAGGTCCCTTCAGATCTGTAATGTTGTGTATGAGAGGCTAAAATCTATAAGAGGAAACCTGTCAGACCAGTTTGTTTGTCAAGATGATGGCCTGGGCTGCTCAGCCAAGTGCCCATCATCTGTATCTCAACAATGAGCTCTGTTGCCATGGAGACAAGTGGGGGGCTTTCCTCTCCTTCACTGGGCTGGATGTCACATCACCCTAGGATGAGAGGGTAGGGTTGCATATAACAATAAATTGGTCAGCTCGGTAAGATAGTCCAATGGGATTATTTTCATCATCTCCCCAGTATAGCAGAGGTTGAGGCCAAGAGAGAGGAAGAGGTGTTTGGACCCACAGTGCTCTCACTCCCAGTTGTAATACAGCAACCCAGCTCCCTGCTAGCTTCACCTGTCCCTGGCATTTTGAAAGCAAGCTCTGAAGTGGCTCCTCTTCATCCCGCTTCTGCATTGCCTTCTCCTGCCAGCTGGGACTTGCCAAGCACGAGCTAATGCAAAAGGCAGCTCAGGCTTGTTTGCTTTCTGTGCTCAGCCCCCTAGCTCCATTGACAGCTGCTTTTGCCCCTTCTGCAGTATGAAACATTTATGAAAAGCAGAAACACTCTGCCAGGGAGCTTTGCAATTGCTTTCGCTGGAAGCACGGGGGAAGGAGGGCCGTTTCAGGTGAAGCAAGCAGGCGAGCAAATCAATGAGACAGCAAACAGGATAATTTACGTCCTTCTCTGGGGACGAATTTTGCCTCTCCCTTCCTACTCTCCAGCTTCCTGGCCAAAGGACTTTCTGGTTTCTTTTAGACAAGATGTGCACAGAGGGGTACAAAACAAAGCTGTTGAACAGCCAGCCCTACAGAAGTAGCTTTGCAAGCTGACATATTCTGCAATAACTTATTAATTGCTTTATGTTGAGAGCTTAGGCAGAAGGAACAAATCTAAGGCTCCCCCTTCCATTCCTATCAGCCTTCCACTTATTTGGTATTATAGGGGTTTCCGAATGAGATGGTCTGGCTTCCAGGCTGGCTCGCCATCACTTTAATCCAGAGCTGATAGGCATCTGCATGAATTTCATGGGAGGGAACATGCTTATTGGAATGGAATACTTCCCTGGATAGCTCAGCTGGTAGAAAACGAGACTCTTAATCTCAGGGTTGTGGGTTTGAGCCCCATGTTGGGCAAAAAGACTCCTCCATTGCAGGGGTTGGACCAGATGACCCTCATGGTCCCTTCCAACGTTAGGATTCTCTGATTCTCTGAACACAATACTCCACTTTTGCAGGGATGTTTTGAGCTGATCCTACACAATCTTGGTGCAACCTGGTCTTGGACTACAGCTCCCATCAGTCCTAGCATCATGTGACGCCTGTTGGGTCTGATGGGAATTGTAGGCCAAAGCCTCTGACCTGATGCAGCAGAGTGAGGAAGGCTGCTCTATCCCTGAACTGAGTTGCAGGGCTGATGATTTGGCCATGTTAATCTCTCCAAAAAAGCCTTCCTCAAAGAGGAGAACTAACACCAAGGCCTCAGCACAAGCCAGCTTTTCCTCTTGAATCTAGTCTTTACCAAGAGCGTAGAAATGTGTCCTCTTTTCGGAGCGTGTTACGGGGGCAGAGATGGGTCATTTGCACTGCTGCCCTTTCCTGCTACAGCCGTCACATCGTGTTTGCAACGCGCAAGCAGAAAGCCTGCCAATTCAAGCACACTAAAGCACGGAGGCTGTTATGGGAAATGCTGCCATCCCCTCCGTTTGTCACCGGTGCCCAGCCTGGATTCTGAGATGAAGGAATTTTTCACTGCCCTCCTCTTCCCCACCACCCTTGCGTGTGTGCCCTGTCAAACAGACACCTGCTTTTTTGCTTGCTAGCAGACAGAGCTGCCTTCCAGCCCCTTCGCACAAGTGACGCTCCAAAGCTACTTTGCTTAAAACAGCATTGTGTAACCTTTGAGGTCAGCCAGCCCACCCTCTGACTTGCCACCTGAAATTATTCCTCCAGGGCATATATGTATAACAGGTAGGCAGTGGACTACAACTCCCATCATCCCCAGACAGCATGGCCTATAATCAGGGGTGGCTGGGAGGGCAACCATATTGGCTACTGCTAGTCTATCCCGATGGGCAACTCACTGGTGCAAGCTGAGCAACTATAGATATTAGCTATTTGGAGAGCCTTTGCTGTACAGTGGTACCTCGGGTTACATACGCTTCAGGTTACAGACTCCGCTAACCCAGAAATAGTGCTTCAGGTTAAGAACTTTGCTTCAGGATGAGAACAGAAATCATGCTCTGGTGGCGCGGCGGCAGCAGGAGGCCCCATTAGCTAAAGTGGTGCTTCAGGTTAAGAACAGTTTCAGGTTAAGAACGGACCTCCGGAACAAATTAAGTACTTAACCCGAGGTACCACTGTATTATCCTTGTGGCCATGAAGCCTCTGGTGCTATTGGTTGAGCTGCTGTGACGCCATGGAACGTTCATATTTGCTGTGTTTTGGTTGCTTTTAATGTGCCAATAATTAACTTTATCAGAAATGTTGACAGAACCCTAAAGACTCCACAAAACAGCCTGAGACAGAGGGAGTGAATAATTTCCCTCATATTCACTCCCTCTAATGCGGTTGATATTTTATAACACTTCCGTCACCATCATGCCTGTCCCAGTTATTTTGTTTTCAGTTGACGGGGAGGAATAATGTTTGTTTCTTCAGTTGTGATATAAAAATATGTACAAATGCCAATAATAGACCGTGACAGAATAACACCAAAGAGACAGCCTGAGAAGGTCTGAAGCAGCCTTCGCCAACCTTGTGCCCTCCTAATGTTTTGGACTACAGTCCCCTTCAGCCCCAGTATCATACGGCTGTCCTGCTGTGGCTGTTGGGAGTTGTAGTTCAAAACATCTGGTGGGCACCAGGTTGGGGGAGATAGGTCTACATTTTTAATGAGGAGACAACTAAGGAATGACATGGAACATTCTGCACAAATACAGTTCCATGTAGTTAAGCTTCATGTCGGATTGGGGTGAGATGGGAGCTGGCAGGCGCTACCTTTTTATTTCCAGCTGCACTCCCTTGCAGACCTTGGCCTGGTTAAGGGAGCTGAGTCAGCCACAGCTACTTGGGCAGGGCCCCAGGCGGTTCATGGTTTGCCGCAGGAACAAATGGTGTTCAGGCGATACTCCTGGTTGCCCTTCTGGAAGGCAGAGGGACCTGTGATGCTTTTTCTCCCCCTCAGGGGTGATCGCCCTGTTCTGCAGGCAGTACGACATCATCAAAGACAACGAACCAAATAACAACAAGGAGAAAACCAAGAGCACCTCAGAAAACAGCACCCCCGAACACCAGAGCGGGGGCCTCCTGCGTAGCAAGGTGAGAAGGGCCAGGAATTGGGGAGGGAGAGGCAAGGCAACCAGCCTCTCTAAAAGTAGCCTTTGCTTTGACTGGAGCTGAAAGTCCATGTTCTGCCTCTGAACACACAGCCAGCCCAGTGCTGCCCATGGGCACCATGGCAGCCTCAAAAATACCCTGGTGGCTGCCAAGTGCCATGCCCCTCCTGGTTTTTTTTTTATTTTAAATTGAGTTTAAAGCTTTACTTTTAAATTGAGATGTATGCGCCTTCGGGGGGGGGGTGTCTGCTTCCTACTTTTTTGTCTCTGTTTAATTTGCTTGGGGCGATAGTGGCACTATGTGAGATCTCAATATTTTGTGAGATTTCAGTGAGATCTCTCAAGATCTTTCTGGAAATCGACACCGATGTTGGCAGAGGTGGCGGAGCGAGCAGTGTGCCCACAGGGGAGCTGCTTCAGGGGTTTCTGCCACCCGAGGTGGCACCTTCAGCCTGCCTCATGGGTGGGCCGGACCTAAGTCACAGCAAAACCTTACCCATAACAACCAGGTGATAATCAACAGACCCCCCCCCAAAAAAATCCATTGGATCCTTCTCCATCTCTCTAAAATAAAAACCATATTTAGAGTATGGCTTGCAGTATGTCAAGTGCATGATGTGTTGAGACAGCCCCTTGGTTGTCACAGCAGCCATCAAGTCCTGAGCTAGCCTAGACAAGGCAGTATTGACATGGATATTGAAGACCCCCAAAGCTAGTGTCCTGGGATTCTCCACACCACACCAGAGACCACCTCTGGCAGCTCAGTCAGGGAGGCAGCTGGGCAGACACGAGCAAGACCACTATCCTGTCCCTGCAGCCCAACACAATATACAAACCCTCACATCCAGCTCCTAGGTGGACTGGCCAATGCATGCCAAGTCAGTTATCTCAGTTCAGTGCTTCTGTAGGCACTGGCCAGAACCCTGGTGGGGTTAACATTTCCCTGAGCAATCAGTTCAAAAGCTTCTGGCACTGTTTCCATTTTATTTCTGGAAAGAACAGAGCTAGAGAGACATTCAGGTTTTCAAAAACAGAAAGCGAGACTCAAGGGAGGAGCTTGGAATATCCACCAGGTAGGGTGGGGGATGCTGTCAAAGGCCAATGCCAACTAAGGATTAGGGTTTGCCTCTAATGGACCAAACTTCATAAAATCTTCTTCACCTCTACTAATCGTGATGATGCTTCCAGCTTCCCCGTGCCGTAGCCATTTGCCCTTGCCAGCCATAACCTTGCATCAACTTTCGACAAACCTCCTTCATGTTCTGCTAACTCTGCTGTTGAAGGAATTATTCATGCCAGAGCGACAGTCTCTTCAGTAGCAGGAAAGTCACATAAGGACACATAAGGGCCCCCCGCCATGTTGGAAAACCTCAGTGTGTTAATCAAAGGGACAACGACAATTGCACAACTCCTGGTGTTTCCAAAGGAAGTCAGAAAGGGAGATACTTTCTCAGGGCAGCTCCAAGGGGGTCACATGAATGCCCCATTGACACAACTAGTGAGCTTCACCCAGTCTTTCTGGTCTGGTGCTAAAATGCTGAATCGAGAGGTTTTTTTATTGATTGCATTTTGCTTTGGCTTGACTGTATGTTGTAAAGCTGCCCTGGGAAAGAAAAATCTTCAGAACAGGAGGGTATAAATCTATTAACAAATAACACTTATAAGTCTTTGGAAGAGTCTCTCTCTCTCTCACCCCCCAAGAGAGAAATAGGAGAAATGCTCCTTCAAAGATGGTGCCTGCTGAGATGCATGCAACATCCCAAAACAACAGAAACACATTTTCTTCAGAATTAGAGTTATTAACTATAGTGGCCTTCCCCAGTTAATTTTGGACCACAACTTCCATCAGACTTGCTGGAGGGCACCAGGTTGGCAAACACTGATTTATACAGATTTAGTGTGAAAGGTGGATTGATTGCTTATTCCCTGTAGCAAGGAAGTGCCTCCTCTTAGTTATAGGAGATAACTAAGCTTAGTTATAGGAGTTAGCTATAGGAGATTCCTCCTTGGCCTCTTCCATCTTTGTTCCCTGGCTACACACCCTCTCAGCTCTCCTTTCCTTGTTCTTGAGCTGCTGTAGCTGCCAAGGAGAGATGCCCCTGGGATTTTTGCAATGATGCCTCCCCACCAGAAAACTGTCAGAGGCAGTAATGCAACAAGGTGTCTAATGTTGGCATTTCTTGAACTCATGGTTTTCCAAATGCAAGCCTTCCATTGATCCTGCTAGCCTTTTCAACATAACCATGACTGACTCCAGGCCCCTTCGATTTCTCCTTTGCGCTGTAGGACTAAAATGGAAGTGAAACACACACCATCTGTTTAATCCTAGCTTCACCTCCAGCCCTCAGACTACAGATTCTCAATTTTCCCCAGGGTATATTGACTTCACATTCCTGGGTACCTTATATTTCTCTTTCTTTCTTTCTCTCCCCCTCTCCCCTCTAGTTTCCAAAAAACAAGCCCTCAGTGAATATCATTGAAGCATGACAGCCTGATGGATGGACTCCGTTTCTCCTTCTCTGTCTCTTTCCCTCCCTCCCTCCAAGATTTGGCAACTGGGGAAGTGAAAGGTTTTCAGAGCTGTTTGGAAAGAGTTCTGTTCAGCTGCTGCAGACTGTAGCACAAGCCTTTCCTTCCATACCCTGGAGGAAAAAACCCAACAAGCCCATCTCCATGTGGGATAGAAAAGAAACTCGGTAATGTACTGAGCTACAGCATACTTTGAACTAGGCTGTGTCCCACACACCAACAAATGGGCATTTGCTGGTGGGGCTAGGAGGAGCGTCATCTTTCACCTTGGCCGTCTGTCTCTGTCTTGTCCTGAAACATTCGTCTCTTGGGAAATGCTCCAGCTCATTCCTGGTTTGCTTTCTTCTTACCACAGCTCAGTTTTTCAGTAGGAACTGCTATCCTGGATTCCAGACACGACTGCCTCCATCTCTTCGTGACAACGCTGGAGAATGCTCTGTCTCCTCTGTCTCCTCTGACCACAGACCAAACCAATGACTTTGGCTAGAAATCCCACACAGACGTCTTGCCATTTGTGCTTTAAGTAGAAACAACTGTTTGCAGGCATTCAATTTTGTGTCTTTAATACAGTCTCTGGCAATCTGGTGCCTACCAGCTATTTTGGACTACAAGTCCCATCAGTCCCAGCTAGCCAACAAAGTGAGCTGTCGTCCCAAACAGCTGGTGGGCATTAGGTTAGCGAAGGCTGCTTTAAACAAAGAGACAAAGAAACCAGAAGCACACATTTTTCCACCTGGACTCTCAGGACTCCGCTAGCTGCTTATTATAAGTTACTTTGAGCAGTTGTGAGTTTCTTATTTCCCCCCAAGTTTTGGTGTATATTTAATGTTGTTTCTCCAACTGGATAACCAACAGAGAATGCAAAAAACAAAACAAAAAAAACCACACAAAAAACCCTAACCCCAAATCTTCCAGTTCTGTAGAACAGCAAAGAGATCTGACGATGACTATAGACAAGAATGGTGGAAACATCTGGTGTTTTTCTCCCAGGGTGAGCCCCATCTAGGCTGCAAACTTGTTTTGGTTTTATTCCACTTTATTGTTATGGCTTTTCCAAAGAATCCTGGGAATACTAGTTTGGTGAGGAGCTGGAGATTATACAAATTCAGGCCTGCTGAGCCAGGCCTGAGGTGTGGTCTTGGGGGTGGGGAACCTGTGGCCCTCTAGAAGCTACTGACTACAACTCCCACCATCCCTGACAGATGGCCAGGCTGGCTGCAGGGGCTGATGGGATCTGCCATCAGCCAACAGGTCCCAAGTCCCTGGGCTACCTAGTTGGGAATTCACTTTCCAGTTGTGGGCAGCCCGGAGCCAATTAAGAAGCCCACAAGCAGGGCATAACTGTGGTGGCGGCCCTCCTCTCTTGCTGGCCCTCTGTAGCTAGTCCTGCCTGTGGACATAGGGGATTGATTTTATGCCTGTAAAGCTAATCACCACTGACAGCTTGGCCCCTCCATGGATTCCCCCAGTCCTTAACTAAGGGGATGAAAGCTGGTGACCACCATTAGCAGATGCCTGGAGTGAATTATCCTCTGTGTGAAGAAGCCCTGCTTTCTTTCCCCTCTGCTAAAATCACTGTCACTTTTATTGGATGACCCTCTAGTTTTAGTGCAGGGAATTTATCCATTGCCGATGCCAAGGCCCATCATCACCAAAATTGATAGATGCCAATTACGATTCCCAGGGGTTCCCTGGAAAGCAGGAAATGGCTGTGAAACCTGTTGTAATCTGCTCTTCGGATCTGCGCTTATCAAACCATTTCTTCTTAGCCGGGTCTGATGTAATCCGCCCACAGTGTGCCAAAGCAGCTACACTTCGATCCTTGAAAACAAACAAACACACCAATTTAATTCGCATTGTGCCAAGATTGCTTGAAGCAAAGTCAAGCACCTTTGTATAGGGGAGCCTTGCACCAACACAGGATGGATGCTCTGCAAGTCATCCCAGCAACTTTGGGGCTCTCAAATTTCAGTGGCACCCTGGGCAATGCTAAAATTTGGCACCCCTCTTGCACTCATTTCTGCGGTACTGTTGTGGCATCCCTTGAAGTGCAATGCCCAGGGCAACTGCACCGCTTGTCAGTGCATGAGAGGCCACAGAGGCCAAAGGCTCTCAGACAGGAGCTGAAATTGGTTGGAGAGGGAAAAACTCCATGTAAAAACTCACTCCAACTGGCCAGCAAAAGCTCAAGGTGGTTCATCTTCCTTTACGGATGCTGTTGGATTTAGGGGGTGGGCTGTGGTTGTTTTTAAGGGGGCTGTAAATTATGAATTTTGTCATTACTTAGCATCACTGCCTTATTGTGTCTTATCAACGAGACTTACTTTTTTTAATCCCTTAAAAATGTCTTCTACAAAATCAAAATGTGAGAATCATCAATTTGGTTCACTTACTTGAACCTGACCATTCCTTTCTCAGAGCAGTATTTTGGCCTCACAACAACCCTGTGAGGTAGGTTAAGCTGTGACACACCCAAGGCCTCCAAGTATCCTTCATTGCTGAGCAAGGATTTGAATGTGATATGCACCAGGAATATGTGCATGATCAATGCATGTAGCAGGGGGAGCTAGACTAAAAAAAACCAGGCACAGTTCTTGTGTGTAGGAAGCCATACGAGTTCACCAACTGGAATTTCAAAAAACTTGCCTGATTTTGAGTTGGAGTTCTGACCCCAAACCCATCTTATGTGCTGTAGGGTAGTCATCTCACCCACAGTATAATAAGGGCAAGGCATATCCTAGATTCTCTTTTCCATTATTTCTTTCTTGCCCCTAGGGTTAATCAAATTGCCAGATTCCTGCCTTGGTCTTTCCTGACAGAAAGGTGGGAGAAGTGGTGGGCAATTTTCTGCAATTAATAAGTTTTTCATGGTTGAAAGTGGACAGATCTGTTCATGTGGCAATGCTGTGGAAGGTGATAAGGGAGGAGCAGGAGGAAGATTCCCCTGTTGTGCTTCAGTATTAAGCCCTCTGCATGTTGCTCCAGGAAGCCTTGCATCCACGCTGGGAGAAGAGATGGGCTTCTGATTGCTCAATCAAAATGCCAAGTTGGCTTGGTCTGAAGTTTAATTCCTCCTCTGCTGAGCTCAATAACTGGGAGTTCAGGGGAGTTCGGTTCCACAGTTGGCCTGGTTCACACATAACACTAAGCCACAATTTATTAAACTATAAATTATTAACCATGGTTTTTGCTTGACCATCCTAATCTTGCCAAGCAACTTAATGATGGTCAACTACCAGCAAACCATGGGTGCTGGCTTACAAGCCTTGAATAGTTTTAACCATGGCTTTGGTGTTATGTGCACACCCAGGACCCGTCCTTAATCATGGCTTGCTTTGCCCCATCACTCAGACATGTGGCAAGTTACAAAGGTGTGAGGCAAGAGCGGGTGGAAAACATACTAAACTTTGAAGAAACAAATCGTGGTTTGAGGGATCATCTGTGGGTTAACTCACAGTTAACTGTTTCTTAAACAAACAATGGATTAGTGTTTTATGTGCAAACTAGCCAGGAGGGAGGGAGAAGGGCTTGTATGCATAGTGATTACCAGACAGAGCTGTGACCACAGGTTGGGATGCCACTGTCTTCCCTGGCCCTGTTCCTGTGCATGTAACAATAACCCTGCCCACACTCCGCATACCCAAATTAATAAGGGATGTATTATTTCTTGGCACACTGATAAAGCCATGGAATCCGTTCCACTTGCTAAATGTCTGCATGTCAGGCTCAAGGCACAGGAGACAAGGAAGAAGAAAGGAAGAAAAAGGAGTCAGTCAGACTCAGATCTCTGCTTCAGATTTTTCTTCAGTCACAAACTCTGTGTCTGGCTTGAACAAGACACTTGCAGCTAGCTCACTATCCTTCCCCTCAACCTCTAATTGGTTGCATAGGGATAATACTGGCCTTTTAGTGGAGGATAAATTGAGAATCCCCAGGTTGAGACTGTGTGCATCACTTAATGCCCGTTTTTCAGGGGAAAGAGAGAGAGGCTGTTCTGCTCATACCCTGCTTTGGGGCTTCTCAGAGGCTTTTTGCTGGCTCACAGTGAGAGACAGGCTGTTGTCCTGGATGGACCCACCCTGGAACCATCCAGCAAAGCTCTTCAAGCCCACCTTGCAGGGTTGCTGTAAGGACTGTGGAGATAACAAGTCGGACAAAGTGCTTTGGTCTCTCTAAAGCACGATATCAATGCTAGGTAGTGTTCCTAGAGATGATGTCTCCATGATGACATCATGACCGCCTCCTTTTTTGCATTGCTGTGTTTTTCCTGCTTCCAGGCCCTCCTCAGTCCCCCTCATCTCTGCCTTCACTGAGCTCAGGAAGGGCCTGCTCATCCGCAGGTGGAGAAGTCTAGTTGCTTCAGTTTCTGTCATGGTGTTAATGTGCCTCTTCAAAATTGTGTCTCTTCTCATCGGTGACTAAGTCAGCGCCTGCTCTAAAGCTTTCAACATCCACGCAAAGCCACTTGCAACCAGCCCCTCCCATCGACTTCCACACAAGGTGCCGGCAGATGGCATCCCGCACCACCCTGGTGCTTTCCAGAGGTTTTGGACTACAATTTCCATCATGCTGGCTGTAGAGTGCTGAGGATGCTGGGGACGCAGCTGGGCTGACAGGGGCTAATGGGAGTTGTTGTCCAGAACCACCTAATTAACAGCTACTCACAATGTGTTGCAAAACAGAGGAAAGGCCTCACTCCCCTCAGTTCTTGCCAAAACGATGGCCGAGAGCAGATTGTCTGCCTTGTTAGACACAGAAAGGTTGTTACCTGTGATAACAGTTTTGAGCAATAAACCATGTTTTTAAATGTACAGTGACAGGAACATCTCCTTTGAGTGTAAAGAGATTGACATTTCGAAAGGTCGCCGATCCTCAGTCTGGCCTTGTGAAAAACATGATATATTGGGGTTTGGGGTTTTTTGCATGGGGAGATGGGAACTTTCTTAGCCAGATTTTGAAGGGTTCATTTTCTGAAATGGCAGGTTTGTGGGATGAGACGTTCCCAAAGTAAGCACACAGTAACACCTTGTACAGGAGTTCTTCGGATCGTACAGTTTGAGTTAGCAAGTAGCAAGGGAGGCTTCCTGCACTAAAACAAAAACAACTCCCTGCAAATAGAAATGTAGCTTTTCAGGGCTAGCCTAGAACTTCGCTCTCTGATATGTTCACTTCCTACAGAGGCACAATTTTTGAGATGGGGAAGCATTTCAAACAGTGGCATAGCGTGGGGTGCAGGGGGGGCCGGCCGCACCGGGCGCAACATCTGGGGGTTAGGGTTAGGGGGCACAAATCCACGGGTTAGGGGGCGCAAATTACTTGCCTTGCCCCGGGTGCTGACAACCCACGCTACGCCACTGATTTCAAACATACCCACAATCTGAACTCCATCCCGAGTGAGTTATCTACCCATGTAAGACATTCCCCACAGGTTTGATATTGCTCTAGTTATTAGGATACTACAGTTTGCTCCCATGATATTCAGCTGTTTCTCAGGCCCCACCCGCAGAGGGAGTGAAAGTAGTTTGGGACTGTGGTTTGATTTAGCGCTCCATCTTTGGCTGCCAAAGGAGAGCCTCCTTCCAGCTGGACTCCTGGGCAAGCAGTGGACATTCAAACTAATTTGGCTACTTCTCTGTGCTCTATTTGTGGTACCAAGTTTCCACCGGTGTGTGTGCCCCTTGTGTTCCAAGGGCTGCACAGCAACTTCCCTGATCACATCCTTTCATGGCCAGTGCCAGGTGTTGGTTGGGTCAGGCAGAGGCCAGTGGAGGGCCCGCCAACAGCCATTTTAATTTCCTGCTTGTCTGCCAAAAAGGCTGCGAGCAGGGCTACAAAGCAAGAGCTCACCTCTCACTTCCTCTACACCCCAGAGGGGAGCTGGAGAAAGGGGCACGGGGTTGTGACTTCACTCAGAGGCCCCAGAAGCTAGGAGCAGCACAAAAGAGACAAGACACTGTCTCTGATCTTCCCAGTACCATGGCTTACCCCCAACTCTTCTAGGACATACTGCGGAAGTGGGAGGGCAGGATCTCCCATGGCTCATTGGGAACAGGTGAAGGCAGGAGGGGGAGAAAATAAAGAGTGGCAAGGGGGATGCTGAGGCAAACCTGTGGTCCTCCAGGTGTCATTGGGCTACAACACCCATCAATCCAGATAGCATGGCCAATGGTTAAGAAAGATGGCATCTGGTCCTGCAACATCTGGTGGTCAAAGGTTAGCCACAGCAGCTAGGGCAGTGATGGCCAAACTTGGCCCTCCAGCTGTTTTGGGACTACAACTCCCAACATCCCTAGCTAACACTGGTCAGGGATGATAGGAATTGTTGTCCCAAAACAGCTGGAGGGCCAAGTTTGGCCATCACTGAGCTAGGGGGTCCACTGATGGTTCTTACTTCCAGACCTCCTAGAGTATTTCCATCCCCCTGGACAGCATAGTATGACTTGGGAAGTCCCAATCTGGCACATCATCCACCACATGCCTTTTGGACTTCTTGTCAGGACTTCTGCACAGGTCTGACACACCTTAAAGCAGTACAGCTTTCCCTCCCACCCCCTCCCACAACTAGAACCTAAAGTGGGAAAATGGATGTCGAGACTCACCTACCCTTTCCACGTTCAGCATCCAAATTGGCATCCTGCGAGTGGTAGAGTGTTGGGGTGTGCATATGAGTATGTGCGTGATATCATTATCCCCTGTAATTGCAGCCTTTTAAAATGTGCGGCAATAAATGCCATTAGCGAGAGAAGAAACAAACACAGGCTGAAAGCAATTCCACGCTTCAGAGAGATGACTGTCAAGCGATCAAAAAGCACCCTCAGACTCTCTGCAGAAAGATCTTTAAAGCAGAGACGCAATCAGAACAGCTGTAGTATACAACAGAGCTGGCTGTATGTGGGGAGATTTCAGGAGGACAGAGATAAAATGCATTAAAATGAGATCCAAGGTGGTACTGCATTATTTGAGAAAAGTATGGACTGAACCACAGGAATGGTTTGTAAGGGATCATGGCAGAGGACTCACACCATACATGGAATGTCCCAGGTTCAGTCTCCAAGTAGAGTCTAAAGACCCCTGCCTGAAACCCTTGGGATCCGCTGTAGATTGTTGTTCGAATAAGGGTCTGACTTGTTATAAGGTATCCTACATACCAGATTGACTACAACATAACACTCCATGGAAAATGGTAATCTCTCTCCCCTGCCCCGCATTTGTTTCCAACAATTGCCAAGCTCCAGTTCAGAATGGACATCCAATTAAATGTCTTGGCAGGTGGGAAATCCAGATTTCAGCTGTGAGTGATTTTCTGTCCCAGTTCCAGCTGTAGTGCAAATTACATCATTAGAATTCGCCGCCTACTTCCAGCTTTAGGAGCGCATGTAAATGCAATGAAGGAGTGAACTCGCACAATATGGGGACTTCCCTTTGCAAGCTGGTGCCTCATTTACTGTTTTTAACCATCGGTTTGCAGTAACTCAAAGATGCAAAGCTCAATTTCCTGCCCAGAGGGCTGTGCTGACATGAAAGATAAGACACCTCTTGTCAACCTGTGTAGGGCCCAGTGGCGACCAAAATGCACTTAGGATGTACGCAGGGGCATTCAGTATTGCAGGTGTTCTGTGGTTCTACTCTGGCACTCATCTGTGGGGACCCAAATGCTTAATTATTGTTATTATTTTATTATTTATATGATGCCCATTTGACTAGGTTGCCCCAACCACTCTGGGCAACTCCCAACAAAATATACTTGAGAGTTGATTCAGGCTTTATGCAATTGATTCCAAAAGGACTCAAGAAGATGCTTTGCCATACAGCACAGTAATAGCTTCACAGACTGTTTGCAGGGAGCGGGGGGAGACTAATTTCTAGCAAACAATTAGACTGTGACAGTTGCCCTAGAAATATCCCAAGATGTTTTAAAACACACAGTCCTCCTTAGAAGCTTTTTGTCAGAGGATGACTGAAGTTCAGCACCTCTGCCTTTGTTCCTTAAAAGGACAATTGACTTCCAGATCTCCTCCTGCACAAGGCACTACTTGCAAAACTGTCACAGCAGTGGCAGTTTTGGGCAGAGCAAAAAACTACTCTCTTTCATACTCCCTCATTGCAATTATTTTTTCCTGCTCCTTCATCCTGTACTTTAAAAAGTCACATTACCTTTTGATACTGGAGGTAGAAAAGTCAAAACACCTTCTCTGTCTCCCCCCTTCCTCATTATGAAGGGGCATTCCTTGCAAAGCTATGGTGGCTGTTAGCTACCAACAGACCAACCCTTTTCTTTGGGTTTGTCCAGCACTTTTAAAAAACAAGCTTCAGAGTTGCTCAATGATACAAAAGGCCAGCACACCACACACACCTACAAAGTGTCCCATGAGTTGAACCTGAAACAAAATCTTGCAGGAGATGCTTGTCTTCAGCATTCAAGCCAGTCTTGTTTAGGCCGAGGTGCGTGGGAGGGCATGAGTCTTGGGGATTGACAACTTTAGAAGCAGGGAAGGCAAAAGGGACATTTTTTTCCTTATACCTCCCATTCCCTGGTGATTTACCCTTCACTCGAAACCTGTACTTGCTGGAGAGAGGCGAGTCTCATCCAAAGCTCCCTGCAGCTCCGAAAAGGATGAAAACATGCATTTCTCCTACTCCAAAGCTTCCTGTATGACAGAAAAGATCCCATCTCTTCCTCTTGCTCCTTAGCAAGCAGAGAGGGGTAGAGGGAGAGGTGGGATCTTGCCTCAAAGACCGGAGTAGCAGGAACACATGCGGTTTCTTTTTTTAGCTAAAATTATTGCACAAGTGAGAGTCTGCCTGAGAGTGTGGTAGCATTCTCTTACTGGGGGCATCAGGCAGTCACACTGGTGTGGTACTGAGCAGATAACTGATGCCTGCCTCCAAATGCACAGAAATCACTACCTTATTTTTGAGACGCTCTGTTTTGCTTCCAAATTGATATGTGATAAACCACACAATGATATCACATTGATATGTGATAAACCACACAAGTTCCCTCTTTAAGGGAATAATGCAGCACTGAATGACACTGATTTGTTCTGAGCCCATCTGCAAGACCCATTTCACAGACAGGAAGAATAATACCTCTCATTCACCCCTAAAGGTCCTCTCCATCTCTCACTACTTGAGGTCTTAGCAACTGAATGTGTAAGCTGCCACAATTACAAAACTCTTGTGTGTAATGTGACATGAATGCTTTGCCTGCAACCCTTCATGTCTTAATTCACCTCCAGACTTCTAAAAACGGTACAGAAACATATAACTGAGCTGCACATGCAAACCAGTCAATCACCCACTGGGAGGCAAGGAGGAAGAAAGAGAACACACTGCAAGATATTTCAAAGGCACAAGCATTTATAAAAATTGCCATAGCATACAGTATCAAACTGCTTGGTGAAACATCAAAATGCCAAAAATATATAAAACATTTGGCAGAGAAGAAGTTCAAGGTCAAATTGAACAAAAATTTATAACAAAAACAAACTATAAACTGGCCTTAACTTAAAAACTGAAATTAATAATAATAATGAAGCTGACAATCAACTTTGAAGCACAGATAAAAGACAACTTAATTTCAATGGTGAGACACTTCTAGCTTGGGATAGGGCTGCGCCTGAAGCGATCAGGGACACTCTCAAAACGACGGAGGTTGCGATTGTTCCTATCGACCCACTGGTCAAGGGAACATCTGTGGGCTGTACTGTTAGCTCGCTGCGCATAGTTCCTGCAGGTTAGGGGTAGAACAACAGTAAGTATAAATCAATGTAAAGCAAGTGCAAATGCAAAGGAGGCACCCCATCCCACCCACCCTGAATCCCATCTGTCCTTTGGAATATTTTCTTCTACTACACCTTGCTGAATCAGTCCGTATGTAGACCAGCACTGTTCTGACAGAGCTAAGCCAGGGGCATCTGGGAAGCCCCCAACCAGGATAGGAAAGCAATAGTCCTCCCCTGTTTCATACACCAACTACTGTGGTTGCAAATTACCACTCTGCATTTCTCTCCCATTTCAATGCTGTTTGACCCCAATGTTTGCTATTCCCACCCCCCAAACAGGTAACTGTGACTTAATGCATCTGAAGAGGACTCTAGTGCACAAAAGCTTATAACAATTGCATCAGTCTTTAAAGTGCCACAAGATTCTTAGTTCAGCAGCTTTTTTACCGTCTTGAAAACAGTTTTAAGCAAGTTATTCTGTTTCTTAGGGAGGTAAACCTGCCACTGGGGTCCTGCTGCCCTTGGTTTCATGAAGGGTGACACAGTACCTTACGGTCAGGTCTGTTGGGTGTGCAAATCCGGGTTCCCCGTAGCGGTTTTCAGCAGTCACGGTCATCATCAGCTGCTGCAACTCATTGACTTCATCTGAAATTTGGCAGAGCAAGGCAATGCAACCCTTTGTGTTTGCATCAGGTACCACAGGGGTAGGTAATGCAATGCCCTCTAGATGTTGTTGGAATTCCGTTCCTATTAGCTCCAGCCACTATGGCCAATGGCTAGGGATAATGGAAGCTGCTGTAGAGGGTACCACATAGGCCACCCCTGAGGTTCAATAAAGTTAAAAGATGCATCTTTGGCACTAGCCACATTCTAGGTCAGCTTTCCCCAACTGGGTGCCCTCTGTTTCTCAACTCCAGACAGCTGAACCATGTATGGCTGAGGCTACTGGGTGCTGGTAGTCCAAAACACCTGGAGGGCACCAGACTGGGGAACGCTATACTAGGCAGTGTATTACACAGAGGAAGTCAAATATGTAAGGATCCTATGGTGATGGTCTAAACATGCATGTTGGGTTTGGGGGAAGAAATGGCTACTGTGGAACCACAAATTAAGTTTCCTGTGAAATACTGAAACACACTGTTCTTTAGAATGGATCTTCCAAATAAGGATGAGTCATGCCAACTCAGGATAAGGGAGGCCTCAGAAGTGTTCTGGACAGCAGGTTGTAGATGCACTGTTTGAAATGCCCCATTATGCTGCTAATGACCTGTAAAAGCTAATTTCCTGAGCGGAGAATTTCAGTCAGGGAAAGGCAGGAAGTAAGAAATCTTTCCACAAACCTATACCCTGCTCCTCCCTGGCTCACTGGAGCAAACAATATCTTCAACACCAGTGATGATTTAGTTGCCTGAAGGCTGTGCAGAAGCGGAGGGTGTCTAGTGTTACTTGCAAAGAGTTGCTAGCAACGGGAATTTGCCTCCCCATCACAAGCTGGGATATTGAAATAGCTTCCAATGTTTACATTCACCAGCATTTAAAAAGCCCCATAACCGATTCAATGCACCCATGCATGAAGTAAGCCCTAACCTTCAATGCACCCATGTTTTAAAAACCAAGTCAAGGCTCAACTGGAAGACTGGTGAGGTCACTGCCACCCACTACTGTCCCCAGGAGCCAGTAGAAGCTGCATGCCCAGGGTAACAACAACAGGTTAACAGGCCCAGTCAGCCACAGTCAAGTCATTCTCTGGCTGCATTCTGGCTGTGCTCTACTTCCACCACTGTGTTCTGGCACCACCTGCTGGCAAGAAGCAGGAATGACTTTGGCCTTGCATTGTGTTCTCACACATGTGGACACATACCATGGGAGAAGTGCAACATCCATGGTCATAACCCAACCCGCACATACAAGAGGTAATCCTTTGCCCTTGCTCATTTTCCCAGGCTCTCTGCCAGGAGAGCCACACAGCAGCCTAAGTTCTGACTTGTAAGAGGGGCCTCTTTTAGGAGTTAAATCCATCACTCAGCTGTTTTCTGCCTGTCCTTACCAGGCAGTGGCACAGGAAAGGGTCCCCCCGCCCAGTTCCCTCTCCCATTTAGCGTTTACTGGTGCACTGTGCCACAGGGAAACTGCTCTCAAGCCATCTCCACGCTCATAGCAAAACTCAGAGCTACTTAAAGAGTCCCCTTTTTGAGCAGCAGCCAAGAGCCCTGATTCCTGCTCTGGCCTAGGATTGCCTCTCCTTCCCATGCCAGACCACCAATTCTATGCCTAAAGCTACCCAAGATAATACATGTTTGTGCTAATAAACAAACAGCTTGTGCACATTACACGAAGCATTCATGAGCAATTTTGGTGTGACGTGCCAGAACTCTGAATGTACACATTGCATATTAATTTGAAAGGCACAGTTAAAAAAGAAAAATAGGATCCTAATTAGAGTTTTCCTTCTGCCCACATGATTTGTCCCCAATCCATACATTGGAAGCAGCCCAGCACCTTGTTAGTATTGCATGTGCAGAGAGACAGACAGACAGACAGACTGAATGAGTTTGGGCAAGAAGCAGCATAACTGGTCTTCCTGAAAAGGTCTCTTCATTTGCCCCCGAAGAAACCAATAAATAAACCACCATTGGAAGATAGGGGGCAGAGGGGGCTGCCTTCCTCTTTACAACTCCAGGGAGAGTGTCTTGAAGAATCTAAAGGCCATCTAGAACAACCTGTGTCCTTCCCTTGACCTCCATCCTGCCCACCACTAATTTACAATGCAGTGCACACTGTGGCAGAAAGAACTGGCATCCAGTATCACAAAAGTGCTGCTGAGCAAAATGGTCATATGATATTTTGGCAAGAAAGGCAAGTTGCCTGCCCCAGGAGAGTCAGGACACTGTAGCTAGAATTGGGGGGGACGGACTTGTGGGATGTGGGTTCAAACCCTTGATCAGCCACAAAGACTTCTCAGATTTCAGCTCGTTCTTAAGTGAAACTGCCTCAGAATTTTTTGCAGTAATAAGATGAGTTAATCCCCTGAAAGCCAGGATAAAGGAAGGATAGATATAAATGCAAATAAATATGAGGGAAGGTCAGGTGAAAAACTCCTGTCTCAACCCAATTAGGTTGAGGGGCAGGTACAAAAGCAAAAATTAATTGCACAAAATTCCATGCCACCAGGTCTCCAGCTCCAGCAGAGAGAGAAGGGGGGGAAACACTTTATGAATCAACCCTTACCCAATGGCAACACTTTATGCCAGCAGAAAAAAGGAACCCCAGAAAAATTTAGATTCCACCTCCAGCTTACCTATGAGTTCAGCATGCTGAGCATGGGCAAGGACAGCATTGATGTATTTTTTCTTGCTGGACTCAAGTTTTGCCTCTTCAATGTATATCCGATATCGGGGCCTTATAGGACTGGAGGATGGGGGAGAAAATGACAAAACTGCTAAGAATTGCAAAGCCATCTGCTAGACAATTATGATGTGTTACTGAGAGAATTTAAGCACACTAAGACTAGAGGGCATGATTTTAGAGATTGTTCCTTACACCTTGCAATAACTGAAGGGTACTTTCAATCCATAATTTAGCATAAACTTTTAGCTATTGATTTTATTCATCTGGCTTTTCATAAACTTGTTTTTAACATTAAATTTTGTTTACTATTTTAATGCATATCTTTTGGAGTCCATTTACAGGTTTAATTTACAGTTCAGCAGCACATACCTTTTAAATTGAACAAATGAAAAATTGTTCCAAGCTTGCGAGGGTATACTTTTTGAAAAATTAAATCTCCCACAATGGTTTTCACAAAAATTAAAACACCCCATGTAAAGTTTGGTGAAAATCTGTTAAACAACAAAATTATGTGGGGAAGAGGAGGCAATGCTTAACTCCTCTTCAAGAATAAAAAAATTATATCATAAATAAACTATTAAATAAGGCAGAATCGGTTTATACACAAGGCAGCATTACATAATCTAAATAAGACACATTTCCACAACACTCTCCATTTGCAAGATGTAAGGCATCATAAGACTGTAGGCATCATGTACCACCACCACATATATGCAAGATCTCTTGAGAATATTAAATTCCTGGTTTTGAGGAAAGGTTTCTAGCCCTCATTACTGTCAAAGATCTCAGCAATTGAGCAACACCTTCCATTGCTGAGAATTCCATGTTTTGGCAGGAAAACTGGAAACAGAGCATTGCAGCAGAAGGAAGAAGGGAGAAAGGTGGAAATAGAAGAATATAAACAGAGCAATCTATGTGGTGAATAAGAAACAAGTTTGTCAAGCGGTTTCAGAACCACACTGGTTCTCCTGAAAACTTGGGACATATAAACAACACAAGAACCCCTTTCAGCAGTTAATTGTGTGCTTGCTACTATCTAGTGCAGGTATCCCCAAACTCGGTCCTCCAGATGTTTTGGGACTACAACTCCCATCATCCCTAGCTAACTGGACCAGTGGTCAGGGATGATGGGAACTGTAGTCCCAAAACATCTGGAGGGCCGAGTTTGGGGATGCCTGATCTAGTGCAAGGCAAAGGGATACATTATTATTATTATTATTATTAATAATTAAATAAATGACACATGAAAAGCCCCATCAGGCTTTAGTATTCTTGTGCACATACAAACATCAAATACAACCCCCTCCCACCCAGGGTGCACAGCTGCACAACAGATGCAGAGGAGAAAGCAGAGCATAGCACACCAAGACTCAAGAAAGCAAGCCTAGCTGTAGGCACCAGGAGAAGCGGTGCTGACCAATTTGGCTCTTTGATGCTGGGACCTTCCATATATGCCTTTCTTTGATCACCGATGGATGTGGAACAGGATGGTGCAGCTTCTTCATGCAAGCCAGCAGAATCCAAATCTCCTTCAGCCTCTTGTGCTGGGCTGTTTGCACTCTCTTTTCCTAGGTCCTTTTGATTCAGGGAAGCCTGTTCCTTGCAGGGCCCTTCAGCTCTCTCAGGTTTCGCCATGAGCTGTCTCACTCTTTCCAAGTTATCGTCTACCACTGCCTGAGCAGCTTCTTTATCCAATACCCCAGACACATTGTTATCTTTCTGCAGACTCAAGGCAGCTGTTGCAACTGGCACAGCTTCTGGAAGAACAGAACTGTTTGAATCCAAACCAAATCCAGCTTGGTTTTGAGACCCTGTGCTCAAGTCACTCCCACTTTCTGGACTTTCAGAGTCATTTCTGCAAGCACTTGAGCAGACTAAAGGGTCAGCTGGAGACAGTGGCTCTGTTTTTCTAGACTCTAGATCTAGAGTACCAGAAGGCTTAGAAGATCCTAATGCACACAAAATTCTAACATGTTCTGCATCTGGTTCAAATGCTATGGAATTTGAGGTCTCCGGGCAGTGTGGTTGACTATCTGACAAAAGTTCATCTTCAGCTTCAGAAGTGAGTCCAGTGGAAAAGTCTGAGAGTTCCCCATCTGAAGGCTCCAGTAAGCTGTCATCTAGTATGTCATCTGTGTTGCTATCATCAGGTTGTCCATTGGTGGCCACAGAACACACTGCAGAAACTGCTATTCCATTGCTTGATGAGGAAGGATCTGCAAGTGCACCAAAAGGCAAGCAGGAGAGTTTGTGTCTCTTTGTGTCTGGTTGCTCCTCCTCTTGAAACTCTTCAAAGGACCGCTTGCTCCTGGAAACTAAATCATTTAAGAAAGTGACTTTTAGATTTAAACGGGTGCGGAAAGTGCTACTTGCCATGATGCTGCTTGCACTGATTCTTTCTTTCTTTCCTTTTTAAAAGTAACCCTTTGCTACCATGTTCACTCCAGACTAGAAGAAGCCAAGCAAGGGAAATCTATACTCAAGGCTTCCCTTCAGCCAAAGTGGTTCTCAGTTGCCTGCAAGAAAGAAAAGGACAAAATAGAAGCTAGTTGAAGAAATCTCATGCTCTCCTTCCCCTGCAACTGCATCTGTGCTAGAAGAAATCTACTCCACTGCAATTGCTCTTCTCCTCTGAAGACTACACTACCTAACAAATGTCTCACTCAGATTCATTACAGCTGTTCTAATAAAACATTATTTAACTCACATACAAATCAGAAAAGCTGACTAAAAAATGAAACAAAGAATTTTTCATAGAGATAGTTAAATGGTATGCTTTTTTATTACACATACTCCAAAGTTTACATTTTATAAATGTAAATTTAAGAGCCAACATGGTCCAGTGCTAAAGAGTTGGAGATGCTAGATCAGAGATGAGTTCAAAAAGAACTCTATTTTACAATCACCTGTAAATAGGAATACTAGTTATCTACCTTTACATGGTTCTTTGAACCCTTTGCAAAATTAAGGTTTCAGCTTTAAGCACATTTATTTGAAAGTAAGTGTTATTGCTCTCTATGAGGATTGCTTCCAAGTGAGGCAAAAAAACTTTGTAAGCAACTGATCAGTCACTTTGCTCTTCCCCACTCCTGCATTATTGAAATCTAAGATACAGCTCACATCCAGACACGATTATATCTGAATTCTGGCTTGTGATTTGTTTGGAACTACTAAACCAATGTTCAGCCACAACCCTAGTAGCTCTCAGTAGCACTGCAGGCGCAAGGAGGAGCAATGTTGCCTCATTTGTCTCCCTGTGCACTTGCAGACTGCATTTGCACTATTGTTTTTATACCAGATGTTAGCAGCCCTGAGCCCGGTCTTGGCCGGGGAGGGTGGGGTCTAAATAATTTTTTTTATTAATTTATTATTATTAAAGTGCAAACAAGGCCACTGTCCAATAACAATCAAGTATTTTTTTAAACATTAAATTGGAACAAGAAGAAAATTCAGTCACTTTCAGATTTGATACTTTTACAGTTTACAAACACATCAGGATAACTTTTAACTGTGTTACAAAGGAACAGAGGAACCTGCCTTAAATGACCAATTCAGCCAGTTTGTCCCTCAAGTTCAGTATTGTTTACTCTGGCTGGCAGAGACTCTCTAGGGAAGTCTACTTTGAGATTTAAAGTTTCCACAGTATGTACCAGGAAATTTGCACCTCACCAGCTTATGAACAAATGAGCTACTGTTACACTAATCTTTCATGTTACTTTGTATCTGTGGGCAAAACAAGATAGCAACTCTACAGTAAAATGAAGATGTGCTTTAGAATTCATTAAAGCCTGTTTGGGCAACACAGCTCTGCTGAATTCTGCTGTTTAGGTGATGGGAAGTGACCATAGTTCAGTGACAGGGCACCACCCCTTTTCTCAGCCTGGCACAGGGACCCCTTAAGGAGAGATGGAGCAAGCTTGTCTTCTGCTGCTCCAGAGGGCAGGACCCGAACCAACTGATTCTAACTGCAAGAAAGGAGATTCTGACTAAACACTAAGAGCTTGTGGGTGGTGACAGCTGCTTGACATTGGAATGGACTGCCTGGGAAGCTGGTGGGTTTTACTTCAATGGAGGTTTTTAAGCAGAGGTTGCGTGGCCATCCTTGCTGAGGGTTGGACTAGATGACCCTTGGGACCCCTGCCAACTCTACAGTTCTATGGCCCTTTATGGAGGGGGGGCAGCACCTGGAAAGATGGGCTAGGGGATAACTGGGGCGGCCGCCTTAGGCACACCAGAAGCGAAGCACGTCCTGAGCTACAAAAACAAACCCAATTCCTGCCTCGTTTTTTGCAGTTTCTGCAAAGCGAGGGAGTCTCCCCCGCCTCCATTCCTCGGTGCCTCCTCCTCCCCCTGCTCCCCACTACGGGTCTCCCCTGCACTTGGCCAGGCCGCCTCGCCCTCCTTCCTTTCCCAGAGCAGTGGCTCAGAGCGCCTCCTTGCACCGCAAGTACACTCCGTGGGGAGGGGAGGGAGCGGAAGCCCAGACCAGGCCCCAACCCGCTTAGTCCGACCCCTCAAACCTTCCCAAAATAAGAGCTCTGCGTTCTACAACGTCACCCCCCAGCGGGGCCCCCTTTATTCCCGGTGAGAGGGGGGCGGCTGCGGCGGAGGGAAAGAGCTGCTTCCCACACTTACCCGCCGCCATCTTGACTTCCCGCAATGAGCCGGATGCGGCGCCTAAGCTCCCTGCCGTCGCTTCTCCGCCTCCTCTACTTTGCACAAGGCTTCAGGGTCGCCGGCCGATTCATCCATCGGCCGCTCTTTCAAGCCCACTCGGAGGAGGAATGAGTCGAGAGAGCCAGAGACGCCGCCGCAGTGGAAGCCCCGCCCCTCCCTTCCAGTCTCGGGGCGGGGCAGAGGCCACCAGGCTGGCAAGCAGAGCGCCGAGAGCGGGGAAGCTGATGCAACGCGGAGGCAGACCCCGGCTGGCGTGTGTCAGAGAGAGAGAGAGAGGAAAGGTGAGGGAGCGGAGGGAGGGAGGGAGGGGGGCATTGGGAGCCCCCCGGCGCCCAAGGAGGGGTAGGTGGGGGGAGGGGAGATAACGAGGGATGGCGTGGAAGGCCCCGAGTTAGTATGTGGGACTCGCTGCCACCATATGGGCTGATTGCTTTGAAGGGGATTTGAAGGCGGACGACGACCCAGGGCCTGATTTTGCTGCTTCTTTTTCCAACTCCCTCCTCAGTTCTTTTTCCTTTCTTCCCGTTTCTTTCAGATTGCAACCCAGGGGTTAGGGCCTGCTATCTGCCCTGGGAGACTCCCCCACCCCCCTTAGAGGAGAGCGGGATAAAAGCACTGCTTTACATAATAGCAGTGATACTAATAAATCAGACAAATTCATGGATGAGGGTGGCAAGTGATGGTGGCATTTTCAGTTGTTTTAATCGCAAATCACCTTGAGACTGATCGGGATCTATCTATAGGCTTAATTGACGCTTTTAAAGAACTCTTAATAGATTCCCGAAATAGACTTACCCTTGCAGTAGCCATTCTGGTTTTGCTGGGTAATTTTATATTCAACAGTGCTTTCCACCAGTGAGCCCAGAACGGAAATTTAACTAACTGGCCTGTCATTTCCAGGATCCCCCGCCTTGTTTGTTTTTGGTTGTTGTTTTTTAAGCATACTTGATTCAGGTGGGGATCAGCAGCCTCTGCTTTACACAGGCAATATGTAGGAATTCCTAGGGATTCTCTTTTACCAAGACCACCCCATTAAATAAAGGGGGGGGACATGCACAAGGAGGCTTCTGGTTCAGCTGTTATGTGGTGTTTCTGACCCCCTTCTCTTGCCTTGTGGGGACATGAAATTGTATCAGACTCTGCTGGCTTGTTCTCTTCCCCTAACCTTCTGCCATTGGGAGAGGAGAAATTTGGCTTGTGTTGGGAATGCCTGGTGAGGAAGCAGGAGACCTCCTTGATGCTTACACCTGTTTTTCTTTGATTGCCTAACCTGCATTTTTTTTTCCAATTTCAGCTCATAAGGGTGGGTGAGCAACTGCTGGCACAATGGGGCATGAACTGACAGCACAGGAGAAGTATCACTTGATCACCCGAAATTTGCAGGTACTTCTGTAGGAATGGTTGAAAATGAGGCTTAAAAAAAAATATTCCACATATGGGTGCAAAAGTAGTTTGAATAAGCATCAAAGGTTTGCCCCACTCTGTTCTCCAAAATAAGTTTTTTATTACCCCCCCCCCATTATTTTATTTTGTTATAAATACACAAGGATTGGGAACATTTGCTTCCTAAAATAAGCCTTCTTCCACCCCAAATTATTCACACTGGGAGCCTCTCCCCTATGAGATGCCCTAGCCTCGTATCTGGATGGAATTTCTCTGGGCAGAGAATTAGAAATTTCAAAACTTGAGTGCAGTTTGTGTGAAAACAAAGCTTTGGGCTAGGCACAACACTAAGATTTCTAGGGGACAGTCTTCTGGTGCTTGGTGCCTCCCCATTGACACACTAGGCATATACAAATACAAAGCTACATCTGAGTTACTACAAATTAGGAATTCTGACAGCTGTGTGGGTTGGAGGACTTTTTGCTGTTGATAAAGGGGTCTGAATCCCATAGCATATCATCCAGCCATCTTTGAGTAGATCTTGATTTGCCACAGTACCTTATTCCTAATCCAGATTTTTTACATTGTACCTTGTTGACTCAGATGTCTGGTAACTAAGGCTGAGCAATTTCTGGTTTTCAACATCATAATATATCACGATTTCTGAAATAAGGATGGAGCTATTTAGAGGCATTGGTTGACTTCATGGCTTCTCCCACATTGTGATTTTTTGCATAGCACACACATCATGATTCATGATATATTGTCAGATCAAAAATTATGAAACCGATACCACAATATGGACTTCAATCCAGTTTGGGACAATATATTGATATATCACCCAGCCCTACTGGTAACCTGAAAATTCTGGATGATTCATAGGTCCCATGTACAAATAAGGTTTTCCATCAAATCACAGACGTGCTTGTCTGTGGTAGAAGAACTGGGTTATTAATATCTTACTCCAGTCTTTGGAACATGTATGGTAATGAGGATTAGAAACCAGATGTCTTAACTGTTTCCTGTGGTTGTGGAGCTGGGTTGCTGTTTGACCTTAGTTTATTGCTTTTTCACTTGGGTTTGCCACTTGTGATGGTATCTCATGAGGTTGTAATGTGTTAGCAATAGGGCTTTCCCTACAATTTGCACTGGTGCATGTCTGCTCAACCTGAGCATTAAAAGAAAGAGAGGAATGCAGAACAGGTAATGGGAAAAGCCTGTCATTTTGTTAGGTTCATCTGTAGAAGCAAGCTGTTGAGTCACACAAGACTCACTTTGTGACTACTAATTGAAAGGACAAACATTACCCAACCATACCTGCAAACTTTCCTCTGCTATAATGGATGACTCCCATATTTAAGTCACTCATTGCCCAAAGCAATGCACCTGCCTCTCCTGAGAGCAAGTGATTGAATGACTGTGATACGCCCAATGCAGGGTTGGGGGCAGGATTATCTGTCCCCAGTAGAGGCTTATTGGAAGAGGCAATATCAGAGAATAAGCCATGCCTGCTCTATTAGTGGATCCTTCGGGCTCTCAAGAGAATTTAATTATTTATGTTTCATGTTCTGCACTTTGAGAATTGCTGATCTAGTGCTTTACCTGCCCCCTATTGTTCAATGTGATTTTATATTTTTCTACTGTGGGTGTTATATTGATGTTTTGAGTTATTCTTGTTTTAATATATATCATTTATTATATTTTGTAAACCACCCCAGAATCTGATAATAAAAGATGGAATATGAATGTTTTAAATAAAAATATATCCCCTTGCATCGCAGGGTTTTGGCTTCCCTAGCTCTCCCTTCTCACTTGCTTCTTGCTTTTCCAGCTGATATGCTGAACACATCTCTCTTTTGCTTGCAGGAAGTTCTCGGAGAGGATAAGCTGAAGGCCATCTTGAAAGAACGGGAGGTGAAGATATACTGGGGGACAGCAACGACGGGCAAGCCTCATATAGCCTATTTTGTACCCATGACCAAAATAGCGGACTTCCTCAAGGCTGGATGTGAGGTGAGACTGGGCTCTGCTTTACATTTGGTCTATTGGCTGCTTTCAAGTAGCAATGGGGCAGTCATCCTAGTGGGGAGGATCTGCTGCCTTTCAAAGACCTCTGGAAGGCAATTTTCCCCTGAACGCCATTCATGCCTTCTCCAACCTGGCACCCAGCCAGCATAGCTGAATTATGTTGGAGTTGATGGGAGTTGTAGTCCAAAGTATTTGGACAGCTCTGGATTGGGGATGGCATATCTAGGTCTGCAGGCATTTGGTCTGAGCACCTGTTGGTTCTCAAAGTGCATATAGAGGAAGGGTTAGGGTTAAGGCCAAGGCACTCCTGCTTGATATGCCCCTTCTCTCTCAGGTGACAATTCTGTTTGCTGACCTCCATGGATACCTCGACAATATGAAGGCACCATGGGAGCTTCTGGAACTGCGCACCCAATATTATGAGAACGTGATCAAGGCAATGCTGGAGAGCATAGGTGTGCCTCTGGAAAAGCTCAAGTTCATCCGGGGGACTGACTATCAGCTTAGCAAGTAAGTTTGTCTTGAGGCAGTGTTGGAGCTGCAGAACAACAAATGGGAACTTCATTGGTCAGAGGGATTAGCACCTGTAAGAACTCCCCAGGTGGTTTTAAAGTTTTCATTGAGAAAAGTTCCTAAACCTGCTAAGGTTTAATTGGATGCCAATTGGATGATTTGGAAGGGGAGATTTGCCAGAGTCCCATAGGTGGCATAGGAGAAACTGAAGGTGCTGCACATTCTCTTTTAAAATGCCACATGTCTGCTGATTCTCTGAGCTCATCAAGAGAAGCCCCGCTGCATATCCCACCACTATGTGGGGCTTATTTGGTGCCTTCTCTGTTGTGCTGTCTAGGATTAGGAATGCCTTTCCCAGGAAATCCTCCATCTTGATATTTAGCTCTAGACTGAATATTTTATTTGTCTGGCAGTCCTTTGGCCAGTTTAATGTTGGGATTTGGATGTAAAGCTAAGCTTAGTATTACGTTCATCAGCATTGGGCTTGTGTGGTCCCCACTCCTCTGGCACAGCCGCAAGGTGAAGATGGAGAGCTTTTGCTTCAGTTTTCAACTAACTGCCGTAGTTAAGGCTAACCACAGTCTGACTGGGTTCAGGCATAAACTGTTCAGGTTAGTTAAAACAAAATGAGATTGTGGAAGCTCCCAAAGGGCCTCTGCATACTGAGTGAATGGGCAGCAGAACGTCCAATGCAGTTCGGTTCAAACTGGAGTAAAGTGATACACGTTGGGGCAAAGAAATATTCATTTCATGTATGACACATGATGCCAACCCAGCTGTGAAAAAGCTGTGAAATTCCATGCTAGGGATCATTATGAAGGGAACTGAAAACAAAACTGCCAATAGCATAATGCAATTATACAAATCTACGGTGTGGCCACATTTGGAATAATGTGTGCCATTCTCATTGTCTCACCTCATAAAGGATATTGTAGGGTTAGAAAACTTTCAGAAAATAATCAGGGTGACTCCCCTGTGAAGAAAAGTTGTGCCAGTAAAAGGAGACGGCATAGAGACATATAAAATTATGCATAAACGAGAGAGATGCATAGAGATTTATTTTCCCCATCTCCATTGTCGCCTCATCTGCACAGGGTGGGTAGAGGAGAGACAGAGACCAGATTCTCTCCCACAAGAGGCAGTCAGAGCTACCAACTTGATTAGTTTTAGGAGAGGACTGGACACATTCATGGAAGAGAAGACTGTCAGTGACTACTAACCCTGATGGCTGTGTTCTGCCCCCACTGTCGGAGGCAGCATACCCCCTGAATGCCAGTTGCTGGGAAACATACACAGTGTTGCTGTTCTCAGGTCCCTCTTCTGGGCTCCCCACTGGGGCCTCCGTCTGGTCACTGTGAGAACAGGAAGCTGGACTAGATGGGCCCCCTTCGTCCCGATCCAGCAGCCAACCTCACATGTCCTTAACATTACATCTGATCCACCTGCAAATAGTAAGGCTCCTAACCTTGTAGTTCTCGAAAGGGAAGGACATTTCACCACACTTCCTGCCTTTTCTATTTAGAGAATACACGCTGGATGTTTACCGCCTGTCCTCTGTCGTCACCCAACATGATGCCAAGAAAGCCGGGGCAGAAGTGGTCAAGCAGGTGGAGCATCCGTTACTCAGTGGCCTCCTCTATCCAGGATTGCAGGTACCTGTTTAACGTCATCATGGAGGAGGCAGGGGGAAGAGATGTGGGCTTCTTTTGCTCTTGGCTACCATAGCTCAAGGGAAATGGGTGGGGCTATGGGTTAAACCACAGAGCCTAGGGCTTGCTGATCAGAAGGTTGGCAGTTCGAATCCCCACAACGGGGTGAGCTCCCATTGTTTGGTCCCTGCTCCTGCCAACCTAGCAGTTTGAAAGCACGTCAAAGTGCAAGTAGATAAATAGGTAAGGCAGGAAGGTAAGCGGCATTTCCGTGCGCTGCTCTGGTTCGCCAGAAGCGGCTTAGTCATGCTGGCCACATGGCCCGGAAGCTGTACGCCGGCTCCCTTGATCAATAAAGCAAGATGAGCGCCACAACCCCAGAGTCGTCCACGACTGGACCTAACGGTCAGGGGTCCCTTTACCTACCAAAGTTCAGAATGAATATCCTCACATGCCCAAGGCCATACAGTGGTACCTTGGTTTACGAACTTAATCCATTCCAGAAGTCCGTTCTTAAACCAAGGCATGCTTTCCCATAGCAGCAGGGGACTCAATTTAAAAATGGAACACACTCAACAGGAAGTGAAACATGTTCTGCTTCAAAGGCAAAGTTCACAAACCAAAACACCTACTTCTGGATTTGCAGCATTCTTAATCCAAGTTGTTCATAATCTAAGCTGTTCTTAACCAAGATACCACTGCATGTGTGTTTCCATAAGTGCTATTCTTCCATAAGTGCTATTCTTCCACTTATGAAAAGGGATGGGTAGGAAGAAAGTAAAAGATCCAGTAAGTATGGATGGTTCTATTTGTGGAGACACCATGCCTCGTGAGGGTTGGGATGCACCTGTTTGGTGGCAGGTATTTTTATGAACATAGTTCTGAAGTCTCTTGATATGTGAAGTATCAATTTGCCAAGATCAATATGCTTCAGGAACAGACTAGTGGAGGACCTAAGAGGATGCCAGGTGCTTGCTTCACTCAGCCTGAAGCCTGTGGAATAAAATCCTAATCTGGGAAGTGGGTTGTGCTTGGACCAGAGGTGGAATTCTTGTTTTCTTCACAGTTTGTCTCTGGCTCCCTCAGCCACAAGTGATGCTAGTGCCCCGGGGTATCCCTGGGGCAGGAAAGAAGCAACCAGTCTGCCCAAACCAGTGGGGTCTGCAGGGAGTTATTTATGCTTGTGTGTCCCCACAGGCACTGGATGAAGAGTACCTCAAAGTTGATGCGCAGTTTGGAGGAGTGGATCAGAGGAAAATCTTCACTTTTGCAGAGAAGGTGAGAAGAATGAGACACTTGCCTGGCTGCCTCTTCGGAGCGCTGTGCGATTGGTGTTGAAGGCCCCTGGATGGTTCAGCTAGCTAAACCTGTGTTCCCTTTGATCACATGCTGCACCCCCAGGGTAAGCTAGACATGGATATTTTGGGTCTTGAGGTGGAAAATGCAAAAGGCACCTCCTTTCTCTCCCTGTTTCCCCCTGGCTGGTTAACATGGGGGCAGAACCTACTAGGATATGGAAAATGTGCTGTGTCAGAATACAGTGTAAACTGCAGTCCACAGAGAAGGTATTGGGTTTCAGGGAGGCAGATAATACACTTGAACATCCCACTTTCCCTCCATCTTCAGCCTTTGTTTTAAATCCCTGTATGTTTGTTTCTCTCTAGTACCTCCCCTCCTTGGGCTATGCCAAGCGCATCCACCTGATGAACCCCATGGTGCCAGGACTGACAGGCAGCAAGATGAGTTCTTCAGAAGAGGTGGGTTCTTCAGCTTGACTCTTGCCCCTAGCAGCCAAATCCTGCAAGGAGGAGTTCTTAAAATGTGCAGGGATGCCTTGCCGACAGTCCCCATTGGCAGGGTTCTTTTTCTTTTTTCTACTCTTTGAAATACTTCAGCATTACAGAAAGGAAAAAGGAAATAGGATAACTCATCCGAAAGCAATATTCTACCTCTGGTAGTAAAAGATTCAATTTGAAAATTAAGTAACTGGTGACCAGTTCATCATAAAGAGATCCTAAAGCACCACCTAAGTTATTTCCTACTTGGCAGTTTTGAGCATCACACTCTGGTTGGGAGCCCGGGGGTTAAGAGGGGTGGGGAGGGAGCAGCAGGCATCTGTGTTGAGGATGCCCTGCTTGAGAAAAAACTAGGAACAGGGTGGTGATACAATGACTACTACAATCCATGCAAAATAATATCACCAAGGCAGCTATCTGTAAACAATAAACGTCCATAAAAATGACAAAAGTAGTTTCTTATCTTAAACAATAGCAGACACAGTAAATAAAGCGTTCACTTGTAATATATCTGTGGTTCAGTGCTCATTTCCTCTCTTTCCAAAATATATTTTATCTTGAACAATTACAAAAGCAGTAATAAAGAGTCCACTTGTGATATACCAGTGGTTCAGTGCTCAGACGTCATTCCGGTAATCCGACGTTTCATTGCTAAAGAGCATAGTCATCGAGCTGTCAAAATCAATTGTAACAGAATTGCACTGAATTATCTAGTGTCAATTGAGAAAAAACTAGAACACAATATTCCAAGGTGATGTTCACGCTTCATGGTTTTCGCAAATCCGTCTTTGCCGCCTTGGTGCCTTCTGCTCTTAGATGCTTGGGACTACAATTCCCATCAGCCCCAGCCAGCACAAAGATGATGTCTGAAGCATCTGGAGGGCACCAGATTGGTGAGGTCTGTTGCGTTTATGTAAAAATGGAAAGTCTGCTGGTCAGTTAATCCAGTTAAATCCTTTAACTCAAAAGGATTTGCTCTAGCAGATAGGTGGGCTAAAAGTTGTAGCTGTGGTCCCAGGCTCTTTCCATCTCAAGATGATTCCTCCGTCTGTGAAAAACTGACTAGTCCCAGTTCACTTCTGTGGCCTGCTGTGCCTGGGAGCTAATTCATGGCGCATCCCCTCCCTCCCCTCATCCAGGAGTCCAAGATTGATCTCTTGGATCGAAAGGAGGATGTGAAGAAGAAGCTCAAGAAGGCCTTTTGTGAGCCAGGGAATGTAGAGAACAATGGGGTCTTGTCCTTCATCAAGCATGTGCTCTTCCCACTCAGATCAGGTAAGTGTCTCCAAACAGCAAAAAGGGGGAGGAGCTAGGGGATTTTATTATGGGGAGTAGCAGGCAACCTGATTGGCTGAAAGGCCAATCTAGAGGTGAAGAGCTGGGTCACATCCCTTCATCTTCCACCTGTGTCCCCTCCCTGCTTACCTGAAGCCCCAAGTATGTAGCAGAGCCTGAATATTAGGGCATGTCATTTTAGGGGGTGAAACTGGTTGGTTTTTTTTCAAATTTCTTCAATGAGGGGTCATAAAACTATGTTCTTGGTATGAGGAATTAGAATCTACCGTATTTTTCGGCCTATAGGACACACTTTTTCCCATTCAAAAATGAAGGGGAAATGTGTGTGCGTCCTATGGGGCGAATACAGGCTTTCGCTGAAGCCTGGAAAGCGAGAGGGGTCGGTGCGCACTGACCCCTCTCGCTCTCCAGGCTTCACGAAGCCCTGCGCGGGCTCCGGAGGGTTGCTCAGAACTGCCTGCACTCCCGGGCGGCGCGCAGCTCTGCGCAACCTTCGGGAGCCCGGCGCGGCTTTGCTCCGGGCTCCAGAGGGGCGCGCAGAGCTGCCTGCACTCCGAAGCCTGGGGCGCGCTGAAGAGCGCTCCTGGGCTTCGCGCAGCTCTCCGCAAGCCTGGGGAGACCGGCGCAGCTCCCTAGGCTTGCGGATAGCAGGCTGTTCTGGGGGCTGGGGTCGGGGGAAGCTCGGGCTTCCCCCGCACCAGCCCCGTGCCTGTGGGGGAAATAATTTTTTTTTCTTTATTCCCCCCCCCCCCCAAAAAAAACTAGGTGCGTCCTATGGGGCGGTGCGTCCTATGGGGTGAAAAATACGGTATTCTTTTTCGCTTGGTAAGTCTACATTTGACGATGAAGCACATAAACTGTTTTTGGAAAATCAAATTATTTTAATTTTGCCTTCTGAAAACATCAGGTAATGCTTAATATTAATAACAGCAAGTAGATTGGCCATCATTTTTAATGATTTCTATGCAATTTTACACACATTTTACATACCAGGCAAAACTAAATTCTATTCATTTAACCAAAATATCTTTTGAATTCTCAAGTCATGTTACAACATTTTAGCACCCTTCCTTTTTGGAATTTGAAAGTTGAAAAATTCAGCATCCCCTGCTGGTTACGTCTGACGGTTTCGCTTCTCTAATGGGTGGGATGGAAAGGCTCCCTTTTAATCACTAAAAGGGCATTTTAGTGGCACCATGGAGGGTCTGTGTGGTGCTTGAATGCAGGCCAGTTCCTTTCCTGTGAAGGGAAGCCGTAGCATCACAGAGCTGGAGGGACCCTGGATGCCAGCTGGTCCATCCCTTGCTCCATACCAGAATGTCCAAGCTAGGCAGACGGCCTCTGTCTGAAGACCTCTTGGCCAGGGAAATCCACCCATCCCTCTAGCTCTTTGGCTCCATTCTCAAAATGCTCTTTATCCTAGCATGCTACCCAAACCCTCCCCTCCTGCAACATGAGCTCTGGCTTCTGGGCAGCAGCAAAGAACAAACCTTTGCCTCTGCTCTGCATGTGTGTGAGAAATACATCATAGGTGTTTGAAAGGGCTGTCGCATCCCCACTCAAATCTCCTCCAGGCTAAACATGCCCAGGGTTTTTTTGCCCTTTCCTTGTAGGGCTTGTCTTCCCTGCCCATGACCATCGTCCCTGCCCCCCTAACAGCCCATACCAATTTGTTCTGCTGAACATGCATCATCCAGAACTGGAACGTACATGAGGGTGACCAGTCCAGCCTGACATTCGGGGCCTCATACCCTTTCTAGACCCACTTATATTTGGGAGTAAGTCAGCCAGACAGAGGATCCATCTACTTCGCCATCAGCTCCATTGAAATACTTTTTGTGGGCATGTGCTCAAGGAAGAACAGGGATTTACCTAGCTGCTGCTAGGGGGGAGGGCAGGGAAGGGAACATGATGTCCTTGGTCTTGGCCTCCTTCGTCGTCATCAGTGTGTCCCCTGCAACCTGAAGGACTTTGAAGCTTTTTGAAAAACTGACATTTTGAGGACCTTGGATACTAACCCCCCACATCTGCAGTGTTGTTGTGACTCCTCAAATGTACACCACTCTGTTAACTTCAAATCTTTCTTTTTCCCTGCTGCAGAGTTTGTGATTCTTCGAGATGAGAAGTGGGGAGGGAATAAAACTTACACCCACTACGGAGACCTCGAGAAAGACTTTGCTGACCAGGTGACACACTGGGATGCGGGTGGGGTAGGGAGGTGGCCAGCTGCCGGGGGGGGGGCTCCTGGGGTCCTTGCTGTTGGTTTGTATGTGGGAAGCACCTCCTCATGGAACAGCTCTGCTGAACTTGCATGAAGGGCTTGGGCTATCCTGCCAGGCAGATTCTGAGACCTGGCAGCAGTTGTGTGTTGGTGGTGGGAGACCCCGACCTTTTGCTCTGCATGCCCACCCGGGGGGTTGCATCAGAGGCCCGTGAGGGGAAGCTGAGTCACAGGGAGGGGCTCTAGACTGACAAAGAATTGTGTTGCACATCCCCTAAAGTAACAACTCTGCAGTCGTAATGAATTCAAACCAGACATTCTCACAGAATTTGCATAGGTCGGATGTACAGAAACATTGCTGTTCTGCATAAATCAGACTCTCTGCCTCTTTTAATTTCTGTCTTACCAACTGAGCAATATGTGGAATGTTTTTCCCATGAAGCCCCATTGGCTTTCATTTTACACCACTCTCATCCATTCTGCTGGGTCCTGCCCACCAGATTGTGCTTTGGGATTTGCACCCACTGTTCGGAACGGCGCAGGGGACTGGTGGGAACCCTCTAGGGAGAGTAGGACTAACTGGGTCTCCATCTTCCTCCGTGGGTGCAGGTTGTCCACCCTGGGGACTTGAAGAACTCTGTGGAGGTGGCCTTGAACAAGCTCCTTGAGCCCATCAGAGAAAAGTTCAGCAGCTCACAAATGAAGAAACTGGCCAGCTCTGCGTATCCTGATCCATCCAAAGCAAGTAAGGGCTGAAAGGCATCTGCCGTTGGTCCATCTAGTTCAGTACTGTTGACCCTGGCTAGCAGAGGTTCTCCGGGGTTTTAAGCAGGGGCTGGCATTCCCAGCCCTCCCTGGAGGAGATGCTGCTTGGGATTGAACCTGGGATCTTCTGCATGGAAAGCAGGGGCTCCACCCCTGAGGCTCCAGAGCTTCCCACAGATGCCCTGGCACTCTCTGAGACCAAGAGCCCTGCAAGTTCTTTTTGGCAGGCTGATGCAGATGCTGCTCTGCCCCCACTAGGCCCTGCCCAGGTCTGGAAGATCTGACTTGCCTCCTTCGCTGTCTGCAAAGCAAGTGGGCCTGCTAAGCGCCTCTCCTGTGGCGTGGCTCGTTCCTGGGTTCACTTTGATTGGCCAGACCCCCTTGTCTGTCTTGGTCCTTTTTGGCATATGCAAACACTGGACGTGAGTCTGAGTTCTCTCTGAAATAGACTCCTGCTCAGTTACTTGGGTCGTTTGCACCACTCGGTTTCCCATGCCTTCATGTTGCTTTAATTCTCCTCCCCATCCCACCCTCATCTCCTCTTGCTCATGCAAGAGGATACCAGCATCTTTTTTAAAAAATCAATTTTTATTGCAAGTTTCCCACATAAAATACAATAAAAGCCAAGCTAATCTAAAGAGAAAAGATTTTTAAAAACAAAGAATAAGAAAGAAAATAAAGAGGAAAAAGCAAATAAAAAGCCCTCTGTCACAACTGGATCCTACCCCATATTCTACCCACAAAAGAGTGAACCCTCCCAGCTCCGACCTGGGAGCTTGCCCCTCTTCTCCCAGCCTCCTACACCAGGAAGATCCTCTCTACCCTGCTTTTCTCACAGGGCTGTCCATTTCCCATCTATCAGTCTTCTGTCCAACACCGTTTTTGAGGCCTAGTCTTTCCAGGCTGCTGCCAGTCTTTGCAACTGCAGCTCCCCTAAAAACCTCCCTTCCCTTCCCTGTCTGCAGAGCCTTCAGCGAAAGGCCCCATGAAGAACTCTGACCCGGAGGAAGTGGTGCCATCTCGGGTGGACCTTCGTGTTGGCAGAGTGCTCAGCGTAGAGAAGGTAAGCCTGCCAGAGGGCTTCCTAGAGGCAATTGGTTGGCCTCTGGGAGAGCAAGATACAGGACTAAGCGGGCTCTTCTTGACAGAAGGGTGCTGGCATCAGGACTCTTGAGAGCGCGTGCAGAGGTCTCCATCACGCTCCCTGGGCTTCTGTACTGGGCTTGGGGTGCGTGGGAGATTGTGGGATGCCTGCAACCCTGGAGGGGGCCATTCAGCTTTTCACAAAAGGGCTGTGACGCCGCCCTTCTCCCTTTGCAGCATCCTGATGCCAACACGCTGTACGTGGAGAAGATTGATGTGGGGGAGCCTGAGCCGCGGACGGTGGTCAGTGGGCTGGTGGAGCACGTGCCCAAAGAGGAGCTGCAGGACAGGCTGGTGGTCTTGGTGTGCAACCTGAAGCCTCAGAAGATGCGGGGACTGGAGTCCCAGGCCATGCTGCTCTGCGCTTGCAGGTGTGTGCAGTGGACAGTAGGGCAGGCAGACTTTGGCTCATGCAGAGGGGGCTGCAAATGGATCAACGTTCCACTTACTGGGGGCATAAGCAGGCATTAGTTATCCCTTGGCTATGTTTTCCTGTTAGGCGAAGCAAGAGGCCGACTGAAGCCTGCTTGCCGCTAACATGATTATCCTCTTCTTCCAGTGCTGGGGAGCCCTGCCAAATAGAGCCCCTGGACCCCCCGGCCGGCTCCTGCCCCGGTGAGCGGGTGTTTGTGGAGGGCTACGAAGAAGGCCAGCCTGATGAGGAGCTGAAACCCAAGAAAAAGGTCTTTGAGAAGCTGCAGGTGAGCAGGGCAGAGGCTCCTCCGAGTGGCAGATACCTCCATATTGGGCAGCTGAGCAACTGTGTGCCCTCCAGGTGTTTTGGGGACTACTACTCCTGTTGGCTCCAACCAGCATGAGGCACACTGGCTTAAAGCAAAGCCAGACATTCCTTAGTCCAGGAATTGCTCTGCAATCCTAAATCACCGCCCTTGCAGGAGGGCAGAGTTTCTGCTGCAGGGCAGGTAGAAAAGGCTTCAGAGCTGTGTGCCGTGCCTGCAGAGGGTTGTCTCGTACTATTAGGGAGCAGCACAGATTCTGCAAAAAGGGCAAGTCGACCCTGATCTTCTTAAATATGGAGAACTGAGCCTTCCAACTGGTGCAAAATTTGGGGGCTCTGATTAACCTATTCCTGCAACTTCTTTTCATAAAACAAAACGCTGGTGCCCCATTAGGCATTTTTAAACTGGAGAGAGAATCTAATACATTTTTTTAAATGTAAGAATAAAAGCAGTCCCAAGCAGTTAATGAAGGAGTGGCCGGTGTGTTGGTTAGCTTGATAATATATGGCTGTAGTATGTGAATATTTTAGAATGAAAATAACATTTGCTCAAAAGGATCAAGGAGGTTGTCACCTCCTCCTCCTCCTCTAAGCTAGTAAGGTCTGGCTTCCCTTGTCCACCATGTTTAACTAAGGTAGACAAGCCTGTGTGAACCTGGTGCCCTCCAGTTGTTTTAAACTACAAGTTCCCTCAGCTGCCTGGAACTCTTGTAGTCTGGAACATCTGAAGAGCACCAGGCCAGCCAAAGCCGATGTCAACATAGGAGGCTGTTCCTGCTATTCCTCCTATTGTATCAAACATTTGGTACATCCTACTCACTATTGCCTATACTGGCTGACAGCAGTTCTGCAGGATTCCTGATTAGAAGTCTTTTCTGGACCTGCCAGGGATTGAACCTGGGACCTTCTGCACTGTCAAGTATTCTGCCACAAAGCTGTGGCCCCTCAGCATGACAGGACTGGAGAAATACCCTGCCTGTTCTTTCTCTTCTCAGGCGGACTTCCAGATTTCTGAGGCTTCTGTGGCCCAGTGGAAGGGGAAGAACTTAATGACCAAACTGGGGAACCTCACCTGCAAAACTCTGAAAAGTGGCAGCATCCGCTAGCTGCCTCTGCCTCGCACTTTCAGCTTATGCGTGCCAGTTATTGCCCGACAAACATCCTCCATACTTACATTGCACTCCCAGCCATGAGATTCCAACCCAGCTGGACCTGACCCATGAAAAAATTGACATGGCTTCCATCTTTTGACATGGACAGAATGGGGAAGGGCACCTAGAAGCAGGTGGCCAGTGCAATGAGGCCCTCTCTCCAGGCACGTCTTATTTATAATGAGGAGAAAAGAGCCAATGGCCTCGTCCTTCTGACAGTGATGGAAACCTCTCCAGATGTTGTAGGAGAAAAAGGAAATGCTGCTGGCACAGATCTGCCCTCTTATGATGGGTTGGTCCACATGCCTTCCAGGATGTTTGTCATACTCTGCTTAAAACAGAAGGTCTATGATGTTGAGCTCGGACTCAGGCTGGCAAAATTTGGACAGGATCTCTTACCAGATTGGCAACGGTTAGGTCCATCAGGCATAAACACTGAATTCCAAATCATCTGTCATTTCCCCAAATAAAATGGTCACACCATGTGGTTCCTGGTGCTTTTCTGTGGTAGCAGGTGCATTCAGCCCAAGATGACTTGCTTTCTAACATGCTTGGTAACGGATCAAATAGTTCATTTTTCACAGGGAAATGGCACAAGGTGATAAATACCCCATGTAGTTGTAGTTAAACTGGTTGTTTAACTAGCAGAGGGATGGGCATGTTTTATAGCTAAGAGTCTTGTAGTACTTTAAGTCGGACTCCCCCATCCTGGTGCCTCTAGATGTTTTGGACGATTTTGATTGGGCTGATGGATGTTGTAGGTTAGAATATCTGCAGGTTACCAGGTTGGCAAAGGCAGATAGCGTGTGTGAGAGAGAGACGTGAGGAGCTGGAGTAGCTGCCATAAAAAGCAAACCAGGAACACTTTTTTCCTGGTAGAAGTGTCCAAACTCAAGGCCATCTGTCTCTACCTTTTACCATGAATCTATCTGCACAAGGAGAACATTTTGTGCATGTAGGTTATAGAAGCTGATGTAGGGATATCGCGGAGTGGGGAGTGGGGTCCGGAGGGAGCACACTTCCCCACCAGCAGGCAGCCACAATCTGCCTGCATGCGTGACCTTGGGGTGCAGGGAAACCCCCCCCCCCAGACAAGCCACAGCTGTCTGGTACATCGTTCCACCCATGTCTGACCTTTTGCGGTCTCAGAGTCAGCGGTGTCCTGTCTGTAAGTTTTTCCCTGAGACCTTTTGTCTCCTACGTCATACACTGTGCAAGGGGAAAATGACGCTGTGGAACAGGTGCCAAAATAGCTCTGTACCACCCCACGATTTCGGGACGGAAGATGTGTAAAGGTCACAGCCCAAAAATGTATTTGCCTAGCTTGCATGTTTGTCTCAATAAAAGGAGGCTCCACAGGAATGGTGGTAGCTCGCTCGCTCGCTACAGCCCACCTGTGCGCAGCTCACATTATGATCAACACCTGTCTTGGGCCTTCACTTCAGCTTATTCCATAAGAAATATTTACTGTGGTAGCACTCGGAGACTTTGCTTTTATTGTGAGTGAGCCTGTACATGCTTAATGAGAGGGATTTGAGCAAACCTCCGTTTGCTGTAACCGGCACACTTGCATTTTTTATGCTTACGGAGGTTTGTTCTGGACTACAACCACCATTAGCTCCAGCCGGCATGATGTGCATTCATGCACTCAGCTGCAAACTCTGTTCACTTGGGGGGGGGATAACATTGCTTGGACTGGAATAGGCTGCAAAGCCGCCTTCCCATCCCCACCAGATGGAAGACAGAGAAACTTCTGCTTGATCAGGCAGGATGGTCGGCAAGTGGGTTGATCACTTGCGGATGGTTGCACACACTTACTGCATCCCCTCAGCCTCAGGCCTCTGGCAGGATGTGCTGGTTAGACTAAGGTTACCAGACATTCCCCTTTCCTGGGGACAGTCCCCGGATTTACAAATCAGTCCCCTGACAAAATCCATCTATTTAGTAGGAAGTTGTAAAGTGTCCCCGGATTCATTGGGGGGGGGGGAATGTGGTAAACTTAGGTTAGACCTCACTTGCCCTGGCTGCTCTTGGGATTCCTCCATTGCACCCCAGCACCTTCCGCACGGACACACTCCAGACTCTTCCCTTTTTCTTGTTGGTAATAAAATCTCTCATCCTCCCACAGCAAATATATTCACACCACAGCGAAAAGGTAAGAGAGACAGCAAGCAAGCAAGCAAGCTTTAATTTATCTTTACAAAGACAGTCTTTAAAAATGTATTTCACCATCTTTCCCCCCTCTCATCCCTTTCTCAAAGGTAGCTCCCTCCCCCACTCCTGTTTTACAATCATGAGGGAAAAAATCAAAAGCAAATGACCCAAGATTTTCTTCTTCTTCTTCAAAAGTCTATATAAATCAGTTGTCTAATGTTCCTAAAGAATAGAAAACAAAGGCATTGAGGGTGGGGGACAAATTCAGGTGCTTGGTGTCATTTCTAAATGCTGTGCCCAGCCCCACTGGGGCACCCCCACCCCCACCAAACTCCTCTTCTGATTTGTCTGTTCTCCTGCCTTCAAAGTGCTGTGTTGGCTCTTGGCAGAACAATCTGGGAGGAGGTTGCAGCCTTGGGGTAAGAGTAACTTGAGGTTCAGAGGGAAATTACGATATTCCCACCCCCACCCCACCCCGCTTGAGGGGTGAGAAGGAAAGCCTCTTAGCTAGGCGTGAGCTCCTGACAGCTGATGTAGCCTGGAGAAGGTGTTCAGGGGAGGGGGGGTCTCCAGCAGAGGAAAAGAGCGCTTCCTGGGAGAGGCTCACTGCTGGGGTTTGTAACATCAGGCACACACGGTCGTAAGTACAGCACCAGGAAAAGGAGGCAGGTTGGTGGGGGCAGGGGGTATCGGTATGGTGGCAACACACAGCTGAGTCTCCCACCTTGCCACCTAATAATGGCCCTAGGCTGGGGGGGGGGGAGGCAAAATGAATGAACAGCCACAAGTTTGGGGTACCTAAAAACCATCACCTGCCATCACATTTCGGAGCAGGGCTTTTCAAACGCAGGCAACTACTTCAGACCATGTTGCCTGGTCAGCTCAGTGCTCTATTCCAGCCCTTTCCTAACTTACATTCTGGGTGTTTTGGATCACAATTCCCAGCAGCAGAGGCAGCTGCTCTGGCAGGGGCTGGTGGGAGTTGCCATTCCTGAACATCTGGAAGGCAGCAACTTGGCAAAGATGGCTCGGTCTACCCTGGCCGGCAGCAACCATCCAACGCCCTTTTGCCATCAAAGATTATGCGCACTCAGAGCACTTAGTCACCCTACAAACCCTTTGAATGAATTATTGTGTTCCTCAGAGGTTTAGTAGTGCCCCTGGGATGCCCAGCCCTTCTTGGTAGCTTCATGTAGCAACTGGGAGTAGAGAGGTACTGTCCTGCCCCTGGCACCACTTGCAGAGTTTGCACCTTTCCGTGGCCAACATGAGGGCAACATGCCACTGACGACAAGAGGGGGGCAACCATATCCACTTCAACACACTTATTTGCCTGCAGCAGGAGGCGTGCCCTGGGTGAAGCTGGGCTTCTAGCAAGTGATGCACACACACCCCTGACCCAGGCTGGCTCTCAAAGCTGCCTTAATACTTACCTGATGACCTCCTGCCATCCCTTCCCCTCCAGGAAGTTTCAAATTCACCAAAGAAAATGATACTGCCAAAGCCAGAATCACACCACATCCACCATGCTGAATGGGAAGGAGGAGGAGAGCTTTGCTTGCCGAATGGAGGAGCCTTTGCCCACCCTACCCCACCCCAAATCACCCATTCAATCCCCTTGCTCCAAGGTAGGATGCTCTAGGCCTGGAATGTTTTGCTGCAAAATGCCCCGGACCTTTAGTGTTTTGGCAGTGAAGAGCTAAGCTCCAGGGGGCTCTGGCTGCCCCTCCCACCAAGTCTCCCCCCACCCCAGCTGTTTGCTAAAGGCACCAACCAGCTAGACCAGCACACACCTCTTGCACATGCCCTGCTAGGCAGTTTAGGTCTTGTGAGCCTCTCAAAAGGTTTCTCGTACCTGGACCCTCAAGGAGACAACCCACCCTTGGGGGACAGTTCTAGGCACAAAGAAGGTAACATAAGTGGCGTCTGAAAAAGGAGAAAGAGTAGAACAGTTATGTGTCCCTATTTGTGCTATGGTGGAATTATACTAGGTCCCCTCCTAGCTGTCTCCCACGGGAAGGGTGCAGCTCACCCTCCACCCAGAATCAGCTGTTGCCTGATAGGGACCAGTTTGCACCAAGGAACCCTACCTGGGCTAGCCAGGTACATCACCACATGGCCCGCCACTAGAACGGCAAGGCTAACTTGCAGGGTCCCTTCAGTGCAAGCTCTTCGCAGGAGCACACAGGAGAGAAGCAGAAAGGATCTGGGCCCCAGCAGCATTTGGGAAGCCTACGCAGCTCTCCATAAGCAGCCGTCCTTGCAGTCTCCAGCCTCGATCTGAGAAAGTGCTTGTTTTGTACAATTCCAGGGGTGCAAAAGCAGGCGATGCTCCCAACCCCACCACAAAGAGAAAAGAAGGGAGGGGGCTCTTCTGGGGGACACACACACACACACGCACACACACACACACACGCGCGCACACACACACACTCACACACACTCACACACACACACTCACATACACAGCCCAGGTTGGTTCGACTGCCAGCTTCTCCTTGGGATGGGGCAGGGGGAGCAGGAAGCGCAAACCGTCCTCATTGTCCATTGTTCTTAAAAGCCATTTTCCTTATGCACCAAAAAAACAACCACCCCACAATGGGAAAAGTAAAACCCCAGCTGAGAAAAGCTGCCCCATTGAGGGAGGAGGCGGCAGCAAGGAAGGGTGTTGTGCTACTTTTGTCTCTGTATGTAAAATAAAGCCGTATTACTGAAGAAAAAGTGAAACCAACACAATTTTTGCATAAATATCAAGGCCATCAGAGGCTAAGGCTGTTTTGTCTTCCTTTTCATCGCATCCAGGACCTCCTCTGGCCTGCTCAGGTCCCTGAGATTTTTTTCTTTCTTTCTGTGTGTGTTAATTATTTTCAATTCCTGTATTTCAGGGGCAACCACGCTGCAGGGTCTCCCTTCACGCCATCTCCTCCTGTAAATCTGCAAGGAGAAAAGCAGAGGCAATGGGTTTCAGAGCTGGAATCCAGCGCCTTGCGATGGGACTACCCCCGCCCCCAAAGCCTACAACCCTCCCTCAACCTCAGTTCCTCAGCTGTGGAGAAAGGAAGCAAGAGAGCTATGTAGAATCCACACCAGAGACAAAAACTTAAAAGCTCTCTGCTTTGTTTGGGGGTGGGGGTAAAAGCTACGAGGTGGGTCGTTTTACGTATATGCAGCACCCCCAGAACATAACCCCTGTGCAAGATGAAATTGTACTATATTTTAAGAAGGATAACACTGTAACAAACAGCAGTAATGCTGCACTTACATCACTGGGCAACTGTAAAACAAAATACATAATTAGATTTTTAAAAAATTCTCTAACATAGCATTCCCTTTCCTACTAGGAGCCCCCAAGCAGGGCATGATGGCAACCCACCCCCTCCTGTTCTTGCCCAGGAAAAAGCTGGAGACATAGTCAACATGACTGGCAGAAAAAGGGCAAGAAATCAGGGCATGCATTGGTCAAACGGTGTGAGTGTAAAGCACCATGGTCAGTCAGTAACGGTTGCCCAACAACCCCCAGGGCAGACCTTCCAATATCAAGTGTGTTGCCACAGCTGAAACGGGACCACTCAATCCCCACCCTGCTCAGCCCCTTACCTTGTGCTGGGGGGCTCTGCAGTGGTGTCGCAGGCCCTGCCGGGGGGCTGTCACTGCTATCCCCAAGGAGAGCGGCCTGGTGACCAGACCCCTCACTCTTAGTCCTGTCCCCAGCCACTGGCAGGGTGGAGCTCAACTCCTCAGCTCCTGCTGGCTTGGGGCTCTGGGGAGACGGCAGCTGGCCTGGCCCTAGCGAGGGCTTCCTGGCTATGGGCGGAGGGATCTTCCGGGCCTGGGGCTTTCCTGAGCCCTGCTGGGGGAGCCCCAGGGCTGCCGTGGACCGCTGACCAGAGACGTTCATCAGTTCCGCAACCAGGTTCTTCTTCAGGTTGGCCTGGGCCTCTGGGGAGGCCGAGGTGTCGATGACCAGCTTCTTGGGGCTCTTGGCGAAGATGAAGCTGGCCGTCGAAGCCGGGGACTTGTGGTGGGGGGACACTTGGTCCTCTTTCGCCTCGCCGGCGGGAGCAGCTACTGCGGTGGGGAAAGCCGGCATCGTCAGCCGGTGGCCAGCCTTCCTCTCAGCCCCTCTGAGGCCTGGCGCGTCTCTGGAAGACAGTGTGGAGGCCTTCAGGCGCACGGCATCGTGCAGGGGGTTTGAAGATGGACCGCTGCTGTCCTTCGGGGCCCTCAAAGAGAGCGACTTGCGGACAGGCTTCTGTGGGGCAGGCTGCCCCAACTTCCTGCTGACCCCAGTGCTCGGCCCGTTCTGCTCCACCACGGGGTTGGCTGCCGCTGGGCTCGCAGCAGGGGCGTGGGTATCCATGTGGACCGAGCGCAGGCGGACCATCTGCAGCAGGGAAGGGGTCACAATGGGGAGGCTGGCGTCCTCCTTTGGCGTGGAGTTGCTCTTGCTGCGAGACGCCGGCTCTTTCTTGAGGTCGGGGTGGGCGCTGGAGGCAGGCTTCTTAAGGCTGGGCTGGGCTTGGAGGCTGGAGGTTGTTGCCGCCGGGCCAGTGGGCTTCCAGTGGAGGGAAGTTTCTCCTGCCGCGGGGAACTTGGGAGGTGGCGGCGGCTCTGCTTGAGGAGCTGGCAGTGGTGCGGCGTCCGGCGCCCCCTGCTGCTGGATCTTGGAGGACACTCTTGTGGAGAAGGAGGGCGAAGAGGCGGGCGCTTGGCCCTCCTCCGCAAGGGCTGCTCTTTGGTTGGCCGGCTGCTCCTTCTCCGCAGGAGCTGCCACAGTGACTTGAAGCGAGGGTGTCCCCACAGCCTGCAGCTGGGGCTCTGGCAGGGGTGGCACAAAGTAGGCCTCGTCCGGGGGAGGAAAGTCAGCCATGGAAAGGTCATGGGCGTCGGGCACGGGTGGGGGTGGAGGGGGCCACAGAGGATCTGCGGGAGCGTCCGGCACGGTCTCAGAAGGTGTAGGGGCAGCTGGGGCCTCCGGAATGGCACTGGCCTTCTTCGCTGGGGGTGGTGGTGGGTGGTAGGCCGGAGGGGGAGACGGAGGAGGCGACCCGCAACTAGCTTTCGTAAGGACAGCGGGCTGTTGGTGAGGTTGGCCCGTGGGGGCCGGGGCATTGGCAGGTTTGGGTTCCGCCAGTTGGCCCTGGGTGGGTGGAGGGGAGAAAGGAGCTGGCACCTTGGGGTGAGGAGGGATAAGGAACCTGTCCATTTTATTCAGAGCGGGGGCAGCGTTGGCAGAGGGTCCTGCTGAAGGCGGGGCCGTCCCCTCCACAGCGGCTGGATCCGAGGCAGAGGAGGACAAGGATGTCAGGGAGGAGGAGACGGAGGGCCCTGGGGATTGCAGAGAGCAGACCCGCTCCGGCTTCTTTGGTTGGGGCCTCTTCTTCCCGGAGGGCGAGGCGTGGGCCACGAGGCTCTTGGTGTGGAGGGTGGGCGTGCCGCTCTGACTCGAGTACCCGCTGGAGGGCGACATCGTGCGGCCAAAGTGGTCGGGGGAGCTGTGCTTCGAGGGGACTTCCGACATTTCATCCACTTGCCCCTCCTCTCGGATGGTCGGGCTCCGGTGAGAGATGTTGGAAGAGCAGGCCAGGCTGTCAGAACGGAGGCTGCTGGTCTCGCTCTGCGAGGAGGGGGAGAACACTTCGTCGTCCCCGGTTAGGCTGGGGCTCCCTAGCCGCCCCGCAGCCCACGCCTCGCTGCCTTCCCGTGGGGGCCTGCGCTCTGGCATGGGGGGCAGGCCCATTGCTCTGGGTGCCCCCTCGGCCTCCAGCTGCTGAGCCTTCTTGTGCAGGGAGTACGTCCTGCGCGGGGGTGCGGGGGCTCTCTTCATCTTCCTGAGGGAGACGCTGCGGGTGGAGGAACGGTCGCTCCGCACGCTCATGCTGTCTGAGCCCTCCGCTGCACTGCCGGTGCTGTAGGCGGGGGAGGCCCGCCCGCTGCTTCCAGGGGGCCGCACCCCGAGGAGGTGGGGGGAGGCAGGGGCGGCCTTGCTGCCATGGCAGTTTGAGCTGGTGCCGCTCATGGAGCTGAAGGTACTGAGCTGGTCCAAGTCAGGCCTAGCCGCCGCCCGGACCTGTCCGTCGGGCCTGGCCTCGCCTTTCCTGCTGTCGGTTCCCCCGTGTGAGGAGATGGTGGAGGTGTTCGAAACGATGGTTTCCGTGGACTGGGAATGGCTCCAGTTGTCACTGGAGGAGGAGTGCTCGCGGCTGCGGGGGCCAGAAGGGAAGCGTCCCACCGAGCGCACGGAGGCCGGGCTGGCAGTTGAGAGGCTGCAGCGGCTCAGCGTGCGCACCTTGTTACGCGAGAGGGCGATGACGTCCACCATGGGAGGCATGACGGCGTTGGGGATGATCTTCGACAGGTAGGTGCCCTGCGGAGAGATGGACATGACGGGGCCCAGCAGCTCGGGGGAGCCTGGCTGCGTGGTCATCCAGGGCACAGCCAGAGACTTGGGCCTGGCCAAGGGGGACAGCTTCGCCGCCGTCTTGCGCCCCAGGAGTGAGTCGTCGTAGTAGACGCAGTTGATGTGGCGCTGGAGGGCAGTGTCGGCCTCCAGGGCCTGCAGGGAGATGCGGGCACCGCCCTTGGGGATGGCGGTGGGCCGTAGTTTCCCATCCACGGTGGGGATGTGGATGGCATTGCCGTGGACCTCGCCGCCATTCGAGAGGGCCGGAGGGGTGGCATCAGGTCGGACAGCAATGCTGCCCGGGCGTTTCTTCGCCTCATATCCGTTGCTCAGGCCTGAAGCAGATAACACAAAGGAGATAAGGAATGAGGGGCCAGTGGGAAAAAACTATATAGCGCAAGCAGAAGAAATGAACCTCAGTGCTCTCAAGTCCCATAAATGCTTCTCAGTCACCTTATTGGGTAACTGATAAGGTGGAGAAGGAAGTCCCAGTGGTCGGACACCAAAACTGCATGCTGAAGCTCCTGGGTTCAGGTCTTACCAGCCAGGAGAAGAGAATGGGAGGAAAAGGAAGGGTCTGTCCTGGTGCTGGAAGGGTCCCAGGACCAAGTGAGCCATCAGCTCAGTGGATGACCAGGAACATGTCAACTCCCTCTCAATTTCCAGTCTCCACCTTGCAAAATATAGCATGGTGGCATCTTATGCGCAGTTAACGTGTGTCATTTAAACCTTGCACAGTTGAAGGCAGGCCGGTTCAAATTGCACAAGTTAAATGCTTGCAATGCAGAGAGCTTAAAAGCTCTATTGTGCCTCGTTTTCACAGCGCAGGAAGGGCTTTTAAGCTCTCAGCCTTGCTTGGAGGTCAAGGCCCGCTCAGCGCACAGGCTCTGGAACGGATGCTGACACAGGAGCATTTCCAAGTGTTTCGAGCATACACATTTTCAGAACCCTTGGAAGCAAACCCCCATAGTTACTAACTCACATAGTGGTGCTGCTGAGGTTTAATATTTAACTCATTTTGCCTGTTAAGAGTACAAAGCAGATGCTTTGCATATATTTAACCAGACATCTGTGTTTCCCGTCAGACTTCTGCCCCAAAACAGCATCCAGCTTCCTGAGCCTCTCCCTGCTCCCACCTCTCATCCCACCTCAAGTGTGCACAAATCACTTTTCCAAACCCAGCCAAGCCTAACAATCCACAAGTTTGGCCAAAGCAGTTTCCCAGCTTACACCACCAGACTCAAGTGTGCACTTAAGTCCATGCATGCTTATCCGGTTTCCATCAGTCACCCTGATTGCGGTTTTTCCACTTTTCAAATTCAGATTTTGCAGAGAAAAGGCAGATCCCCCCCCCTCCTTTGCAGCCAAACTGTTTTTACATTTTAAGTTGCCAAGCTGACTGGGCTTACCCAGCTCTTTCTGCACATGTTGGGGGAGACCCAGAACAGTAGTCCTCCGCTCTTTCTTCCTCTTCTCGCCCTTTGCTGAGGATTTGGGGAACGAATCATGTGGCCGAAAGGTGGAGCCTAAAATGGAGGGGGAGAATGAATTAAAGGAAGGAATAGAGACCTTATATCCAACCTTGCATGCTCTGTCAAATGGCTCATGTCTGCCAATGTGGAGGACCTTAATGTGCAAAGTTTCTCATCTCTGCTTATTCCCAACACAGGCATATTTCACAGCTCAACTTTGCATTTGACCCTTCCTAGAAGCAGACCCTCTGAATTTTTGCGAGGGGTTGTGGTGGTCTCTGGAAAAAACAGCTGCAGTTTCCCTCCCTGCACCAAGCCCAGCTCCTGAACCCAAGGCTTCTGGCAGTAGTACCTTTCCTCTGGATCATCTCTGAGCGCACCGAGAGGGCATCCTCGGAGGTGCTTTCCGTGGCACATGATGGGGTCTGACTCCGGATCGAGAGGTCGTCACCCTCTGTGGATGAGCGGGAAGACTGCATGCCGAGAGGGGAGGAAATGAAGGCAAGAGGGTAAATTCCCCACCAAGTCCTGTTCACCCATAGAAGCTAAGGTTACCAGATGTTCCCGTTTCCCAGGGACAGTCCCTGGATTTATAATCAGTCCCCATACAAAATCCATTGAAGTTGGAAAGTGTCCCCAGATTCATTGAAAAAAATCTGGTAACCTTAATAGAAGGTCCCCCCCTTGGAGCCCAGAGATGGGTCTCACAGGCATGGATATCCAACCTACCCAGGATCCTTCCAAAGGCAAGGAGGCGGCAGCCCCTAGGAGTCTGCCTGCTGTGCCCCCCTCTTGCCTCAGTAAAAAAACAGAAGCATTAATTGCTCAGTCAGTAAAGCATGAGACTCTTCTAATCTCAGTGCTGTGGGTTCAAGCCCCACATTGGGCAAAAGATTCCTGCATTGCAGGGAGTTGGACCAGATGACCCTTGATGGTCCCTTACAACTCTACAGTTCTCTGATTCTATGAAATGAGCGAGGGAGCAAGTTGCAGACAGGACCATCCTTCCTGTCCACCAGGTGGCGCTGCTTGACAGAAGCCAAGCCATTGGGCTTGCCTTGGCATTGCTTTCAAGGGCACAAACTCCTTTCTGATTAAAGGACCATGAAATCAGTGTAAAAGGGCACATCAGAAGTTGCCTTGGTTTTGCACATTTGTAAAAACAGTCGGTGGAGCTCCAACTGCAGGCATGCTCTCCGACAATGACAAAGCCTGGGTGCTTGTTTCCCACTTAAGTCAGTATTCCTCAGCTATATGATCAGGACATTGTACACCCTGCCATTCCATGTAAACAAAGGATGTGGCATGGGGCACAGCATGAAACTAAGAGTCTCGTGCCCTTTTTAAAGCTTCTAGGCCTTGTGGCAGTGTGGAAATGCTTGACAGTGCTCTGGAAAGCCTGCTGAAATCTCAAAAGCCAGAGGAATGGGGGCTGAGCACAATGGGGGACTTCAGAGCCCTGCAGAACCCAAGAGGAGCAGATGCAATCGGATGCACATTTGCTTCCCTTACATACTTCATGCAGATTGCAGAATTCGCTTTGTTTGTTTGTTTGCTTGTTTTACTGTCAAGTTACAGAATTTCAATTTAGCACCAGCTGTTCGCTTGAACACTGAAATGGCCAGAACATGCAGGAGATTGTTTGCTGCTTCAAATTCCTTTGCACAACCAAATATATTTTTGAGAAGAAAAAGGGATATTCCAATATGGTTTGCCAATCAGCCAGAACATTGTTTCTTTTTTAAAAAAAAGAAAGAAAAAGATTTAAAGCTTTTGCTGATTAATAATCACAGATTTGGTACTGCTGTGTGCAACACACAGAGAGGAGTTTCTCAACCATTCTGCATAACCTAGAACACAAGGAACAAAGAGGTCAGAAGAGTCTTCTCTGCTGAAGTCTGGCTTCCTCTTTCTGACCTGTCTAGTTTTATTCCCTGAACTCCAAAAGGGCTACATGAGCAAGAAGCAAAGACCCCTTCAGGAAGGGTCATCTGCGAGGAAAGCAGAGCTGAAGGCAGGATTTGCGGGAATCAGCAGCCAGGAGGAGGGAAGTGCAGCTGCAGGGAAGTGCCGGGGACAAAGTCCACCAGGCTGCAGCCAAGATAAACAGAAGAGGAGAAGCTGTGGAGAAGAGGCCAGCTTTCACCCCACCCGAGTTCGGTGCTGGTGGAGGCTCCGCATTTGCTGGCTCCTTCCACAAGAAAACCTTCTTGAGTCCTCCCAGGTCCCACTCCAGGGTCCATCAGCTGCCAGACTCCCTCATCCACCTCTGGGCAATTTCAAGAAGGCACAAGATCAGCTCTTGATCTCATATTGTGCAAAATCAGGATCATTTTATAAAAAGGAAACAGCGGCTGGAGGAACACAGCACAAATGCTTTTCTGTTTGCAGCAGAGGGGAGAGGGGTATGGGAAAACAACCCCAAGGCTTCCCAGGTATCTTATCCTCAGGGCGGCAGGTGTGGTGATGAAGACGCTGCAAGTTAACAGAACACAAGCCAATGGAAAATACGCAATGGCACTGCAAGGGTGTGATGTGCACGTGGGGGTTGTGGAGGAAAGGGGGCAACGCAAGCTGCTGCCTGACATGCAACTGGCTTACCTGGATGCTGCTGGTGTCGCTGTGGTCCCAGACCCTCTTGCTCTGCTTGTGTTTCTCTGAAAGGCAACAGCAAAAAAACCATCGTCTGCCAGCCCGGGGAGGGCTGGAGGCCACTAAGCGCTGATCCAGAGTGCCGGGAGCGGAGAGCAGAGAATAGAACGCAGGAAGGAATAGTCTCCCACCTGCTTGCCTCTCCTGCTGCCCTGGGAGGGAAGAGGCTTCTCAAGCTCCCTCCTAGAGATCCTGCTCATGACCCAGCCCAGCCTCAGAGGAAGAGAGCAGGCAGCCGCTCTCCCTGGCAGGCAGGCCACTGGCCTCACAGGCACTGGACTCTGCTCTGAGATGGCAACCTGCCCATCCGGCACTGCGCAGCTGCAACTGCCTTTCCATGCTTGGCAGGTGCTGTTTGATCTCTGGCATGGGCAGAACCTCAATCAGGGGCAGAGGGAGGAACCCCACCCAGGAGTATAAGGAGGCAGATGGGACTCCTCACAGCCACAGTTCTAAACATGATGTACCATGCCTGGAGCATTCTCAGGTGTGCTCATGAAGGGTGCAGTTCTTCCGCAGTTACGGAAATCAGAAATGTACTTTGCAGGTACACAGAGGAGGTTGCTTTCTTGGTGGCAAATTCCAGGCCTAAGCCCAGACCATATAAATCAGCTCAGGGCACAAAGCTTGATTCAGATTCAGCTGGGACAGGATGATAATCCATTTTGAGAAGCCCACACAAAGCTATTCTGCACCACTCAAACTTTCAAGTTACACATTAGGCCAAATGGTTGCTAGTTTGTATTTAATTAAAAAAGGGGGAGGTATCTGTGTTAAGAGATTTCTTCTCTTTTCCCCTTGTATTCCACCCCACAACACACACACACACACACACACACACACACAGCCTGTGGTAGAGTTCTGTGCATGGTTAATTTTGAGGGATGATGGGATTTGTAGTCTAGCAACACCTGGCGGCCACTACATCGGTGACCCTGCTCTACAGTTTGCATCCTGCATTTTGAGCCAGGCACAATTTTAACTGTCTCTGCAGTTTTTTTCCTATCAGGCCAACACAGCTACTTGTTTCTGACCGAACTAGGATGCGGTTCCGCAACTGCCCAGTCCCAGGCTGTTCTGAACATGAGTACCATTTAACGTGAGGGAGGGGTGATGCTATAGTTTAGCATCCCAAGTGACAACAGAGAGCAAAGAAGCAACTGCTCCCCACCCAGAGGACCCTGGGCCAGGGAAGTTTTGTGCCAAGAGTATTGTGAAAGGAAAACAGAGCAAATGGCTTAATCAGTAGAGCATGAGACTCTTAATCTCATGGGTCCGAGCCTCACGTTGGACCAATGATTTCTGCACTGCAAGAGGTTGAATGAGACGACCCTTGTGGTCCCTTCCAACTCTATGATTCTATGAGAGCTCAGAGGGCTCAGAGACAAAATGGCCTAAGTATCCATCCTAACACATCCGTTCCCATTCACTCCCTCCTGCCAACCCCGCAACCCAGTACCTTGGTTCTGCAACGACTTGAGCCCAGCCTGGGCCTGGATATGTAGCTCCTCAAGGTGTGGAGGTCGGTTGCTGGGGAAGAAAACATTGTCAGGCCGCTCGTCCCTTGCCTTGTACTGGACACTCAGACGCTTCTCGTTTTCAGCCTTGGCAGCCCCTGGAAAGAGAAAGGGGAGAATCCTGGAATCCCTGATGTAACAAGAACGATGGGTGGATTTCTGTTCCACCAAGATCTGCCACCACAACACAATTCAAAAAGGAGGTGTATCAGGCTGGGCTACTTGCCCACATAGTCCTGCATGGCTCGCTCTAAGTGGCAGTGGTTCTCCATGGCATCAGGCAGAGTCTTGCCCATCAACTGCGAGCTGAGTCTCTTAGCCAGCAGTGCCAGGAAGTCAAACCTTCTGGGACCTTCTGAATGCAAGGCAGGTGTGCTACCACTGAGATCTGGTTCCACCAACTGAAACCTTCCCAGGTTAGAAACTAAATCCAAGCACTGTAAGTGCCAAATCCTGAGCACCAGGAAGAAAGGCTTTCCATTTTAGATGGATTCTCAACCACACACACACACCATGCACTTCATCACTGCTGGTGGAGCACCCTGTCCATAAGGCAGGGGCAAGTCTTAGACTCAGTTGCCCCGCAGTAAAATGTGGATAGCCATGATCCCACAAAGGCAAGGAATGGTGCCGCTAACCCAGAGACATGGGAATGTGGACATCTAATCTTTTTATCAATACATAATCATTGTCACAAAGATTACACTGTCACAACACCACAGTTATGTCATAACACCAAAGTTATAAACAGCTAATTACTATCAGCTGTCACAACTTCTGCAATTATGGTTGAGACCATTGTCATCGCTACCAAGGCAGTATTAGCCACTGTTCATCTAACTCTTTTGTATTTTAATGCCTGAGCTATGCATAATTAGTGACATGCATTTTAACCAAGCACATACAAGCCGGGGGCTGGGGAGTTTTGCAGAAACATCAGGAGTGGTACCTGTGCTGATTGTGCCCCCCACCCCGCCTCATCCCAGCCATTGCATGGAACTCTTGTGAGAGTCAAGGGTTCAAGAACAGCCAGTGACCAGTCAAGCAGACACCAGCTTTGCAGAGCTTTGCTGTGCATTACTCAGAGGCAAGTCCAACAGAGTTCAGAGAGACTTACTCCCAAGTAAAAGTGCACTCAGGATTGCAGCCATTGGCCTCTTGCTCTTGTCATGCATGATTTCGCTAATCTATTGTGGATGTTTATATTCCAATGATGAGCCACTTTGCCTAGCGGAGAAACAGGATAAACTGGAGGGATATTTTAAGCAATACAGTTGTACCTCAGGTTAAGTACTTAATTCGTTCTGGAGGTCCGTTCTTAACCTGAAACTGTTCTTAATCTGAAGCACCACTTTAGCTAATGGGGCCTCCTGCTGCTGCCAGAGCCCGATTTCTGTTCTTATCCTGAAGCAAAGTTCTTAACCTGAAGCACTATTTCTGGGTTAGTAGAGTGTGTAACCTGAAGTGTATGTAACCTGAAGCGTATGTAACCTGAGGTACCACTGTACAGTCATACCTCAGGTTGAAGTTGCTTCAGGTTGAGCATTTTCGGGTTGCGCTCTGCGGCGACCCGGAAGTAACGGAACACGTTAGTTCTGGGTTTTGCCACTCATGCATGTGCAGACGCTCAAAGTGACGTCACACGCGTGCACAGAAGCGGCGAGTCGCGACCCGCGCAGACGGAGGTTGCGTTCGCTTCAGGATGTGAATGGGGCTCCAGAACAGATCCCGTTCGCATCCAGAGGTACCACTGTACCTCAATACTTTGCTGGGAGGAATCACTAGTGACTTCTGCATCTCTGCTGCAGGAGAGCCACCCCCTGCCCAGTGTAACCATGACAGCCCCTGGGATCTCTTTACAACCCTTCTCCACTGACAGAGGTGATCTGACACCAGCATTCACTGCCCTTGCTCTCAGCAGTGGGAGGCTGCAGGCTCTGCATGTCCAAAGCCTGAGCCTTTAAAGCCAGTGCTCTGAATAAGCGAAAGCACCCCAGGGCAGGATCACATGACTGATACCAGAAATATCTGTGCACCTTGCACACACACACACACACACAGACAGAGCACCAGCGAGGCAGTCCAGCTTAAAGGGGCAGTGCTCAGCACATTTTGCCACACACCAAAACAACAGCAGCCACCTTCCAGAAGAAGGGGGGGGTAAGTTCAGAGGGACGGGAGGACAGAGAACCAGATATCGGGTGTATTCCCGAACAAGCCTATTGAAAGAGGAACAGTTTGCTCCTGTGTGCCAGTCGCCATAGGAACACAGGATGCTGCCTTATTTGGAGTCAGCCCATTGGTCCATCAAACACAGGACCATCTACACTGATTCGCAGCAGCTCTTGGGAATTTCAGGGAGGGGTCCTTGCCCAGCCCTACCTGAAGATGCTGGGGATTGAAGCTGGTACCTGCATGGAAAACGTTTCCCTGGGGTTTGAGTAGGGAATTAAGCTGCTGGTGGTTCTCTCTGTTTTTTATTTCCTGACCTGCCTCCTGAGAAAGGAACTGCACGTAAGCATAAAAACAGCCCCCTGCCCTTTCTGCCCAGGCAAAAGTTACTCTCCCAAACCACCCAGATTGTTTCTTTAGTCCAATCAAGGCAAAAATCACGACTTTTAAGTCTGGACAACCACTGACTAGTCAGAACCCCACAATCTGGGATTCTTTTAGAAATAAAGCAACTATACAGTGGTACCTCGGGTTACATACGCTTCAGGTTACATACGCTTCAGGTTACAGACTCCACTAACCCAGAAATAGTACCTCGGGTTAAGAACTTTGCTTCAGGATGAGAACAGAAATCGTGCTCCGCCAGCACGGCAGCAGAAGGCCCCTTTAGCTAAAGTGGTGCTTCAGGTTAAGAACAGTTTCAGGTTAAGAACGGACCTCCAGAACGAATTAAGTACTTAACCTGAGGTACCACTTTATTATTATTGGCCAGCTAAAGCAGGATGCCACAAAGGGAACAACTTTGTCTTTTTAGACTACAGTATGATGCCAAGAATATCAGCTGCTGATCTTTTACCAAAATAAAAGCAAGTATCTAGTTTTGATGGATGATTATTCCCATGACTCTTTTATTGAACACACAACTCTGTTCCTGTACAGAGCACTTATTTACAGCCAAGGACACACTGGCCAAAAGTTATGTGTGGAAGAGCCAAAAGCAGACGATGGAATAGCTTGTTAAAAAGGCATATTTAGGAAGAGGTATGGTAGGGAGAACTGACAGCAGGCACCATCATTTAGACAGGAGAGGCCGACTGAAAAGGAAGCTCTTTCCTTTCACAGGATGGCTGGTGAGAACAACACACTCCTTACTGACAGTTTGGGGATTAAATGGAATATCCTACACCAGGACAGAATGAAGCCGTGCAAAAAGTCCTGCCTTTCCATTTACTATTGAAAAGACAGACAATATGTTCCACTCCATTTCTTAACCTTTTATATGAAAATGATTTGAAAGACAGAAACACCATTACCCTGCCTGAGTCTTCAGAGTGGGGGGTGGAATCTAGCTGCCAAGGGAAACTGTGCCAAGAGGAAAGCCCTCGTGCAAAACTCTTCACTGTCTCCAAACAATTATAGGAGGCTTTTGCATGCCTCTACCCTGGCAAGTCAAAACACACCCCGGGAACTCCCCAGGCATTTCTGCCCACCCACTCAGCTCTTAAGAGGTATTTAGATAGTTATATATAACCCAACTTGCTGGCTGATACTCTGGGAACGCCTAACTAGAGCCCAGCCATCACCTGGCTGATAGGAACTGTCATCCGAATATCTGGTGGGCACCAGAATGGCAACGGCCACACAGCTTGCATAGGGGAGGTGTTGCAAAACATGGAGATATATGGAAAAACGTGCAGCACTTCCAACAACATCCCCCAACTCAGTCTGCCACTCTAGTCTCTGTGTATCTAGGCCCATCACAAAGGGTGGTGGGTTGTAAACCAACACAATTTCCCTCTCTGGCTAATAGCAGCTCCAAGGGAGGCAAATTTAGACTGGGGGCCTCTGATTAGACCCCTCCTCCACAGTCCTGATTCAAATCAGGGCCCCTCACAACTGCTTGTACAAAAATATTTATTATTTTCAGTGTGCCAAACATGGAACTCCAACACAGCATTCAGAATGGCGTTTAAACACAGGGCAACCAGGTAAGGGGCTTGCCCCAAGTGGAGATGAACCAAATTAAGAGATTGCCCTTTGGTGGAAGCGACTATTCCTCTCTTCCAATACTGGTTGTACACTCGCTACACCTTTTTTCACACTTAGGGCTGCCTGGAAAAGGTGCAGTTGGGACTATCCTAGAAGAGCTATGTGTGGTGTTAGAGCACCTTAAAACCACATTACAAATTGGACCACTTGTCTAAGTAACCCAGTCCTGTTTATTCCTGCCCAAGGTCCCAGGTAGAGAGAAGCAGTGTTGCTATGTACTTAAAGAGAGTGGAGGCACTTGCATAGGACATGCATGTGCTCATTGATACGTACAGATTTCCATTTGTTGTAGGATGAAAACCAAAGAATTTCCTATGCAAATCACCCCAAATAAATTCATTTGCACCTCATCCCAAGCCATTCAAATCAGGTCCAATTCAATTAATCTACCCAGTTAAGTTCCCCACCAGATCTTGCTACAAATCTACTCAACGGTTCCTATATATCGCTCCCTAGATAAATTTATCTGACTTTTTGAGCAACAAATATCCCACCGAGTAACCCAGATCATGCATACACATTCAATTTCTCCCCAAGTTCGTTACCCACAAGAACCACTTGGGCCATTCAGAAAAAGATTTGTGGCCCATCTCCCCATGCCTGCCGTAGCCCACACCCGGCAGTATCCCTGAAGGGAAGTCCTTCCCAGCTCGCACCCCCAATATCCTTTCATATTTGGGATGCTGAAGACTGAACCTCTAAATATGGCAGCAATTATGTGCCTCTCAAGCGCTAAGCATCAATCAGAAACAAACACAAAGGTGGCAATTAGGCTACTTAACATTCCTCTGCGTCTTGATGATGAGAGGTTCAACCTTAACACAGAAAGTTCATTCCAAGCCCACAGGAAAGAGACTGCTTCATTGCTGGAGAGCCTGAAGTCATCAGGAGAGACAACAAGCAGAAAAGTGCCTGCCGGATATGAGCTACCAGGATCTGCCCCTTGGCTAAGGACTCAGTGGACTGGGCTATGGAATGGGAGCAGGGAACTCCACACACCAACCCCTAAAAGACCACCAACATCACAAGATTTCAACAGGAGCTAAGAAAAGCTTTGAGCACCTGTGGCCCTTCGGGAGTTGCTCCCACCATCCCTGCCCACTGGTCATGTCAGAAGATGGAGTCCAACAACATCTGGAGGGCCACAGCTTCGCCATCCCCGACACACAGAAAACCCAGACAAAATAAAGAATGGGAGAATCTCCCTGCCTGCACAAGGCCCCCAGCCCCATGCCGAGATGAGAGAGAAGTGAACTGTTTTTCTCCAAGGTCACCTCAATCCCTGCAGGCCTGGAGATGCTGACTCTGCACTGGATTTGGTTCTGCCACTCGCCCCCCCCCCAGCTCCATCTTTGTTCTCTGTGTTAAGAGCAAGATCAATACTGATGGAGCCTCTTTGCTAAAGTATTGCTCATACATCCATTCTCTTCCCTGGGCAAATGCAAAGCAAAGCAAATAAAGCAGGTTATTCGCACCAACCTCTCTCTGGAAAGCAAAAGGAACCTGTCTAGGGTGCCTGACCCATAGAGAACCACACAGCTGGGGAACAGAATGGGGAGGGGCTCTGAGGTCAAAAGGATACCAGAGAAAGGATGCCAAACAGCAACCAGGAACTGCACAGCACTTGATCTCATCATCTAAACTGAGACTTAGCAGCGCTGTAGTGTTCTGTGAGAGCAGATATGGGCAGCAGGTGAATCAGGATCTGCACATCAAAGCACATAAAAGCATGCAAAGGTCTAATATGTGCCTAAACCTCCTTATTCAGTGAAGCCCATAGAAGCTGGGGTTGTTCCAAGGCTGTTCAGATTGCTGTGGGGATGCTTCACCAAAAATGGTTTCAGTTTCAAGAGAGGCATGGGCGTAGCCAGGGGGGAAGGGAGGGGCAGCTGCCCCCCCAAAAAATCAATAAAAATACACAGTGGGGGTTCTGCCCCCCCTCCACACAAGCAAAAGGCCTGTCCCCCCAACAAAAATCCTGGCTATGCCCATGAAGAGAGGTACTCCTCACTTCTAAGTAATGCTCTTAGTTCGCAAAAGTCCCTCCAGTCTTTTGTTAAATGTTGCCTCACCTTACAATGAGAAGAACTTCTGAACCGAGGTCAACTGGATTCCTGCAACTTTCTCCCACAAGTAGAATACTTGGTGCTTTAAAATGTTGGATCTTCTCCAACCTGGTGCCCCTCCAGCTGTTTTGAACTATAACTCATGCAGGCTGGGGCTAATGGGAGTTGTAGTCTCAAAAACCCACAAAACAGTAGATTGGGGTGGGGAAGATGAACATAAATTATCTCTGTGTCTCTTCAGACAGCCACATATTTAATGTACGGCCAGCATTGTGATAAAGAAAAGCCGTGTGGAACTGGGAGACCACACTAGGTTACACCTGCGCTAACCACTGGGCTAGGCTGCTTCTCAAAGTGCACCTTGAGATGCTTCAGGACGGCTGCGTTGACCTTGCAATTTCTACCCCTCGGCCAGCGAGAGGGAAAAAAGAGCAAAGGGAGGGGAGCTCCCGCCGCCGCCACACGCGCAACTGTTCAGTTCCTGCCGAATCAGATTTAACTCATCCTCCTCTCTTGCTTCCAGCATCCAAAGAGGAGAAAAACAAAATCTGAGCGGAGAAAGGTGGGGGGAGAGGCAGGAGGCTGCAGAATCGCTGCAGAGATGGGCAAACAAGCCCTGCTTCCTAAAAGCTTGGATGCTGCTGGCTTCAACAAGGCAGCTGAGAACAACCGGGGAGGGGGGAACTTCCACCCTGTTGGAAAAGAACACAGGAGAGACACGCTGGGTGGGGTGGGGGATGCTGTTTCCAGTCACCCCCCTTCCTCCATCACCACGCAGATTCCCCACCGCTGGCTGGGACAGAGGCAGGCAGCGGATCCCAAGGACGCCGTGCAGAGGGGCCTCGGGTGGCACACACCTCCCCCCCGGCCCCCTCCCCAAAGCTCCACAGACACAAGCCCCCTTTGCAATGCCAACCCCGGGCGGAACATCCCGACGGTGACAAAGGGCAAGCTCCGCCGCCCAGAGTTTCCGGTCTTTCAGCTGCACCCCCAAGTCAGCCGCCTCCCCGAGTTTACCCCCCACCCCAAAGTCCCGATTCCAAAGAAGCGCGTGGGGCTTACTCCCGAGTAGACCCGTAAGGATTGCACTGCATGGGTGCGATCCTAAGCGCGCGCGCAGCGGGGGGGGTGGGGAGACTTACTCTCGAGTAAATCTACACACCCTTGCGCGGGGGTGGGGGTCGGGGCTTAACGGGAAATCCCCGGGCAAGCCCGATCCTGCGCTCGGCGGCAGACCCCGAAGAAGTTCACAAAGACTGAGGAGGGTGGGGGTCTCGGGCTCGCTCGCCTCCCTCCCCGATGCCCAGCCCGCCGGCGGGACGCCTCCAAGCCCCGGCCGCGCCCGGCTCACCCTTCTTCTTGAAGAGCTTCAGCAGCGACGGGAGGTTCCTCCCGAGGAAGACCACCATCCCGACCCCCGGCCCGGTCCGCTCCGGGCGGCTGCTGCAGCTGCTCCGGCGGCGTCCTCTTCCTCCTCAGCCAACCCTCGACGGTGAGGCGAGGCGCCTCTTCGTCCCTTTCTCCTTCAGCATCCCTCGTCGGCCGCCTCCCTCGCCGGGGCGGGACCAGCGCAGCCGCTGCCGCCGCTTCGCCCCGGGAGGGTTTGGGCGCCGAAGGGGAGAGAGCGCCGCTCCTGCCGCCGCCGCCGCCAGCGCCGTCGGGGTCCTCAGAAGGCGGCGCGGGCAACAATGGAGGGAGGGGGGGGGCTTCTCCGCTTCCCAGCCCCTCCCCCCGCAATATCTGGGCGGGAGGAAGGGATGCGGTCCCTCCAGGCTTAGAGCCGAGTCTTGCAGGCCCAATTCCCTCCTCCCAGGGTACCCCATTCAAAACCGCTTTTGCTTGAGGCTGCGCAAGCACTCGGGAAACCGCTCACCTGTAAAGGCTTGCCTTTTGGAGCATAAGAACAAAAAGGCTTTAAGAATAGGTTTGGAAATGTAAAAACAGTAACAACTAGTGAGTAGCGAACACGTGAACTGTACTCAACTTGGGCAGCTTCGCAGCAGCAACCATTCCTCACCTGTTGACTGGAGGTGGGGGGCAAAAGGACCACAGTAAGAGGGGGCATTGTCTCAGGCAGCCCCCTCACAGGGGCCTCACTCCAGGCTCCTCTGCAACAGCCAGAAAGTGAGGAAGCAGCAGCAAATGTGCACACATGAATCCCCTCAGGGAGCCTTAGGAAGACCGGCTTAGAAAGTTAGGCTTTCTTCTTTGCATCCAGAAGGTCCCAGAGTCAATCGCTGGCATCTCTGGGTACAGATGCCTGCTGGAACCCCTGGAGAGATGCTTGCTGCCAGTCAGTGTAGACCACTGGTCTTCAACAGATGGGTGGGGCAGGGCCTGATTCAAGGTGGGTTGCAACAGGAGCACTATGCAAACATATGGCAAAAGATTTTTAAAAATGGGTTCCCAAATGCACATTTGGGTTAGCTCTGAAAAGGTTGAAGTCCCCTGACGTACACAACACAGAGCAGGATGGACCAGTGAGTCTGACTCAGTATAAGGCAGCTTCCTATGATCCTCTTGCTACAAAGTTGGAACTGCTGCGACTCTCTCTCTCCTCCTGTTCCTCTTTGCCATGTGTGAACATTGCATTGTGCCTGGACTCCATTGCACTAACACACGTCCCCCACACCCATAGCAAGGTGCAGCTTCCCCACACAGGAGAGCCCCTCATCCCCATGTGCAGCTGAGGGCATGCAGAGTAAATTTCCCCCACAGACAGATTTCAGGCACCAGGACTGAAGAGCCAGAAGTTCCAAATGCAGAAATGTGTGCCATCAATGCAAGCTCCTTTCTCTGCAGCAGTTTTCTCCAGCTGGGGATGCCTGCCTCTCCCAGACTCTGTTTCTTAAACTCCGCTCAGCCTCAGATCTTCCTCTTCCTCTCTTTTCAGAGCAAATTGGTGCGGCAAAGCATAAAGTTGGGGGATCAAAATTAACTTAATCCTGATCTTCAATCAGCACTTCGTCCTGTAGCTCATTATGATGAAATTCCAGTGCCTATATTTGGAGAACTTCCTGACATTAGTGACGAAGATGCCTCCAGTGTTGAAGGACATGAAGAAGAAGAAGTGGTTCTTGAAGATGATGCTCCACATCCATTTTCCCAAAAGGAGTTGAATGATCTAGTTCAGCTCTGGAACAGCTCTGTCTTGCAGGCCCTGCAGAAAGATGTCAGGTCCCGCAGGGCCCTAGTCTCTTGTGACAGAGCGTTCCACCAGATTGGAGCTGCAGCCGAGAAAGCCCTGGCTCTAGTTGAGGCCAGCCTAACCTCTCTGTGGCCTGGGATCTTCAGGATGTTTTTATTTGCAGACTGTAAGTTCCTCTGTGGGACATACCAGGAGAGGCGGTCCCGTAGGTTTATTTGTGTTGACCTGAAGATGGTGAACTTTTTGTTGGGACAACAGTCTGCCTACACCAAGTACCCATGTTTTCTGTGCATGTGGGATAGTAGGGACCGTGCTCAGCATTACACGAAGAAGGACTGGCCTGTGCGGGAGGAATTGGTGCCTTGCAAAGAAAGGAACGTCATCAATGACCCTCTCGTGGACAGAGACAGAATACTCTTCCCACCGCTGCACATCAAGCTCGGCTTAATCAAGCAGTTCACCAAGGCTCTGGACAAGGATGGTGACTGCTTCACTTACTTGTACCAGGCTTTTCCAGGATTGACCATGGAGAAGTTGAAAGCTGGCACCATTGACGGTCCTCAGATCCGTCAGCTCATCAGAGATCCAGAGTTCGGAAACTCAATGAACGAAGTGGAACTGGAAGCATGGAAGGCATTTGTTCTGGTAGTGAAGAACTTTCTTGGCAACAATAAGGCCAGAAACTATGCAGAACTTGTCAACAACATGCTGACTGCTTTCAGAAACCTGGGCTGCAACATGAGCCTCAAGATGCACTACCTATTTTCACATATGGACCGGTTTCCTGAGAAACTGGGTTCAATGAGTGATGAGCAGAGGGAGAGATTCCATCAGGACATGAAAGAGATGGAGACCAGGTATCAGGGTCGCTGGGACGCAGTCATGATGGCTGACTACTGTTGGACTCTGAAGAGAGACCTCCGTGCCGCTGAGCATTCCAGGAGTTCCAAAAAACAGAAGTTCAAGCCCTGAAGTTTGAAAAATGGTGAAGCAACATGCAATTTACGTGTACTTACCTTTATCAATGCCCACCATTCAGTTTACAGTAAACCTGACCTGATAGAGAGAAACGGATGCCATTTCCTGATTCAGCAGTGCAAAAATACCCTAAATCAGTTGTAGAAATCTAGACAACATTCAAAAAGTAAAAAATTGTTGCCCAGTGTAATCAACAGGGCCTTTCAGGCCACACCACTGAAGTTACGGCCCCAGCAATACTGGACACCCTTGCAAGGCTGTTACTGAGAGAATGGATGTAGAGCACTTTGTGCCCTGCGTTCTGGGGGAGAGGGAGCAATACAGAAAAGCAAGTGCATTTTGGACTATTGATGATATGGCACAGTCACACTAGGGGTTGCACTATAAAACATCCTCACTGCGACCTTTCAGGCATCTCTTAGGAGGCCTTTTTATGCTAACAGGCCTATTTAATCGTTTACATTTTTAAAAGATGAGCCAATCATTTCTGGGAGGAAAACTTTCCTCTACTCACTTTCTCCGTGTCACCTCTTACTCACCTTTTCTCTAAAGAGAAACTGAACTAAACAAAACAAAATCCCAAACATGCAATGTTGTGGTTGTCATATAACAAGACATGCAAGTGTGATCCAGCCAGCTGTTTGACGTTGCCAATTGGTGTCCCAAAGTCAACATTGTCCTACAGAACAAGCTCACACACATGCAACCACCATTCCAGTGGAAAATGCCACTGCATTCAGTAAAATTCACTGTCAGGGTAGGGACATGTGTGACCCACCCATATAATTCAGAGTTCCTGATCACTTTCTTTCTTGCACCAAAAATATTGCTCTTGTTGGCCCTCCCACCTCATTTTCTCTGCTCTTACTTCAGTTATAGTATATTATTTCCTGTCCATTCTGTACCCTGCATGATGAACAACACTATTAAGCCCTTGTCCAGAGGGTTTTGCACAGGCCATGAAGTGGCAAGATCATCCCTCATACACATGCTTCTCCTCTGCAAATGAAAGTGGAACCCTTGATTGTTCAAGGGAAGGTCTTTAGTTCCAATAAGCACTGGCATAATTTTTTTGCACATGCTTCTTTCTTACATTCCCATTTGCTCAAGCGTGTGTCGCCGAAATGAAGAATAACGTGCATATTGCCGCCTGAACTCTGTAACCCCAGCTCCGTCACTCTCCCCAAACACATTCCAATTTTCATACATCACAAAACGCAGGCCCGGCTTGGAGCAGCAGCAGGAGATTCCTGGGGCCAAATTCGTCATGTGCGAGGAAAGCAGCAAGCATGAGGAGGAAACGGCCAGAAGGAGACAACTGAGCATAGATGAGATCATAGCTATGGACTTCCGCGCATGCCAAAAAGTGCTCTAGAAAATGATTTATGAATAATGGCATCAAGAGATCCAGGGTTGGTTTTGAGGCATGGATGTCCCTGCATTGCAAAGAGAGGGGAATGGTTCTCTGAGGTTCCCACATGACACCCAAAATGCTACAATCGCCACAAGCGTCCTGAAGACGCAAAGTTCAGATGGCCTCTGTAGACGGCTTCAGCGCCCACGGAAGCCAAGCAGGTTGCACCATGGAATATAATAATTATATCCACTTTGATCTCGGTTTCTCCTCCTGCTTTGTGCCCAGCCTCTTTTCTTATACCACAACAGTAATTTTCCCTGCCTTTCTTTCTCCCAGAAGTAATCCAATGAGCTGTCCGTCCAGGTACCTGCACAGCCTTCATATCTGTTGGCAACCACTTTGCATACTTATTTTAATCACTTTCTGTTTCATAATATATATAAACCTCCAGTTTGTACTACAAACCCCCCTGTTGACTACAATGAATGGCTTCTTTCTCAAGCCTAATTTCAGCCAGAGAGGGGGAGGCTGTGGGCACCACCAGGGAACACACTCATGGGCACTGCACTGGCACTTCGCAACTGCAAAGAGAGCCAGGGAAAGGGGTGGTTTTCTTGTTGTGCCACAGTGCACAACAAGGGCAGCACATCTCCACGCCCTGGAGAGTTAAGGCAGGATGTGCTTTTGACCCTTGGCTAAAGGAGAGCTGGGCACTATAGCATTAGCACCTGCATGGCAGCCTGCCACATCATCACCCCCTGCTCCTCCCTGGGTCAGCCCGTCTGCCTCCCTGCCTTCCCCTCCATTCTTAGAAAAGCTACCAAACAGGTTTATGTCTAAACGCAGACTTCCCAGGTTGAACAGGAAGAGCTGGAGAGGCAGCAAAAGGCAGGAGGTTGCCTGCCTGCCTGCCTGCCTGCCTGCCTGCCTTCGTGTTGCGATGCCACTTGAGAAGGCAGGCTAGGCCACAGAAGGGCGGCATCCAAGGAGAAGGAACCCCAGGAGCAACACAGCATGTGGAACTCTTCCTGCTGCAGGAACTGAGCCTGTTCATGCAGCAGCCCAGGGCCAGATGATATTTCCTGGGCACATGGGAAGCAGAGGTCACCATCTGAGAGGGAAAGGATGTCCCAGTCCCTTCTCGGTCTTCCCATGCCACATAAGCTCAATTTCAGGCAGGACAAGTGATCTCCTTTCCCTACCAGGGAGTCACAGAATCATAGAAATTAAATAAACAATAATACTGGCGGGGGATATGGTTTTTGTCTATTACTTTGGTATGCATTTTTGTGTTTCTCTATTGTAAACCGCCCTGTAATCCTCAGATGAAGGGCGGTATAGAAATTTAATAATAGAACTGTTGAGTTGGAAGAGGCCCAAAGGGTTATCGAGTGCAATCCCCTCCAGTGTAGGAATCACAGCTAAATCACACTCTGCTGTGGGATTTCCGTGGGCAGTGTATCATGTTCACAGCAAAACTCAAAAGAAATGCTCTTGTGCAGCCTTCCTCAACCGGAGGCTTTCCAGCTGTTTTGGACTACAATTCCCATCAGTCCCTGCATGATGCTGCTGGACTGATGGGAACTGGAGGTTGCTCTTGGATATATTCAGGATTAAACTGCAACAAAACAAAGAATATATTTTGAATATATAATGAATATATTCATATATATATATATATAAAATAATATGGCAAATTCCAGATGGATAGATAGATAGATAGATAGATAGACAGACAGACAGACAGACAGATATCACATTCAGACCACACATCACGCAGGGAGCTATGGGAAGGGGCTGCATCACAACTGCCTCTCCTAAACTAGATATGCAAGAGTCCCAAGGAACAAAAAGCCTAGAACACAACTGATGCTTTGGTAATACAGTGGTACCTCGGGTTACATACGCTTCAGGTTACAGACTCCACTAACCCAGAAATATTATCTCGGGTTAAGAACTTTGCTTCAGGATGAGAACAGAAATCATGCAGCAGTGGCGCAGCGGCAACAGGAGGCCCCATTAGCTAAAGTGGTGCTTCAGCTTAAAAAGGTTAAGAACAGACCTCCAGAACGAATTAAGTTCTTAACCCAAGGTATCACTGTAGCTCTGTTTGAGTGTTATTGGAGCGGAGCAGAATCTAAAAGGTACAGGTGCCCTAGGATCCCTTACAACGTCACAAATAGGGCAATGGGGTGCAATCCTGCCACATGGAGGTACCCTGTGTCGAGTCAGCCCACTGCGGCATTTAGCTCACTACTCAGCCTTTGCCATCCTGGTGCCCCTGGCAACTGGCATGCACAGTTTATGCCTTGGATGACACAGCTGTGCTGGCAGGTGCTGATGGGAGTTGTAGTCCAAAATATATGGAGGGCACTGTGTTGGAGAAGGGCTGGCTCTACCTCAGCTATCAGCCCCTTAATGGAACCCTCCTCCTCCCCACAGAGGTAGGTGCAGCCGGCAGCTTTCGGGGAATGCCGAAGATGCACTGTTTTCACCCTGTCCTTTGACACGTGAGATGTATGTTTTCAGGGCCCACCCTATTCCAGTGGCTGCAATTTGTTTTAATTGTTTTTAATTCTGACTTTTAAATGGCTATGACCTGCCCTAGGACCTGCTGGTGAAGGGCAAGTAAAAAATTTAACAACAACAGCAACAAACAATAACAGGAACTGCCTTTCCCAGCCTTGCTACCCTTTTGACAGGAGATGCCACTGGCTTGACCTTGGGACATTTTACCTGCCAAGCAGGTACTGTTCTGCTGCCCATCAGCTGGGGCTCTTCCTCTCAAACTGTACACCTCATTCTGGAAACTGCCTTAGATGAAAAAGAAGAAGTTCCTTCTGCACCCCCCTCTTCTAAATCAAAGAGGATTAACAGCTGAGGAGACAGAGAGGGGATATGATAGCTACCTTCAAATATCTGAAGGGCTGTCACATGGAAGACTGAGCAAGCTTGCTTTCTGCTGCTCCAGAAGGGATGACCCAAACCAATGGATTCAAATGACAAGAATGGAGATTCCAACTAAATCCTAGGAATAACTTTCTGGTGCTAAGAGTGGAACGGACTCCCTAGGAAGGTGGTGGACACATTCCTTCAGTAGAGGTTTTTAAGCAGAGTTTGGATGGCCATCTGTCAGGGATTCTTTGGCAGTGATTCCTGCACTGCAGGGAGTTGGACTAGACACTTCTACAGTCCTGTGAATTTGCCTGGGTAGGACTACACATGTTTGAATGGCACAATAGTGATGGCTCTCCCAGAAAAATGCCCAGTGGTGCTTCTCTGTGCCTGCGAAGGGACATGGTGCAAGTCACCTTCAAAGGTCCTGGAGGAAACAGTCCAAAGAGGCTGGTGGCTTTCAGGTGGGGTCAGTCAATCTACTCCCCAGCCCTACACTAGCCCCTCGAAGCACTTCCAGACAGGGACTTCCAGACAGGGAAACCCCTCCCCCTCTGTGCTTCAAGTCACATAAGCATATAGGATGCTGCCTTGCCACAAGTTAGACCCACTGGTCCACAGGATTCAACACTCTCTATACCGACTGGCATAAGGTCTCTAAGTTCCAGGCAAGGGATATTCCGAGCCCTACTTGGAGATGCCATCAGATCAGGGATTGAACCTGGGACCTTCCGGATGCACTGAGCAGGAGCCCTTCCTGTAAACCAGATGTTCCTCCCCCCCAACACACACACCTTGTTCCCAATGGGTGGCATCTGGCCACAGGCTGCATTCCACCAGGATGACTCAGTGGCATGCCTGGTGTGCCCATCCCCCATAAGGGCGTGATCCTGCTCTTCTATCTCCATAGCCTCCAAGGCCTTCCTAGCAGGGATTCCAGCTAATGTGATAGCAGAAGTCAAAAGGGGCAGGAGGGAGCTACATCCCAGCTCAGATTGGGCAACAGAAGTTCCTAAAGGCAACTGGGCAGTTTCCAAGGCAATGCACTGCAGTGCAATATTTGGGGCACCAAACCAGGGTGGTACTGAAAGAGAAACTGAACATTCAAGGGCTAAGACTTCAGCCCAACCTGAGATCTCATTTTAGTTACCTGAAAATACACACATATACCCCCTGATTAACTCTCCAAATTAATTCTGGGCTTAACTTGTGCCAGGGCTCAGTCTATGAATAATTTTTTTAAAAGGGTGCCACAAGGCCTGTGCTGAGTGCCTTTCTGTCGTTACTAAATAACTGAACCAGGTCCCTCAATCTTAGGGATTGGGGTCAAAGCGATGCCCAGTGAATGGCAGAACCAAAATATTCAGTGGGTGTTTGCTTGAATACCACCCCCACCCCTCGGTTCAGAGTTTGCTTCTGCCCCCTTCTGGCCACCTAGGGGAGATGCAGCAGCCAAAGGCATAGCGGAAGACGTCTTGGACCATCGCTCAGATCAAAGGCTGCTTAATGCATCCAAGCACCTAATTGCTAAGGTCCTGGTATGAGGAAGAAGAAACATTGCAAGCTTCCTGGAACAAAGGAAAAACCAGCTGGGCAAATGAACAACCCTACAGTCTGCATTCAGTGCCAGGGCTCAGCCAACAAAACAAAGAAGGGAACACCGCTAAACATGTGCAGAGTTCACCAGCCTGTCCAGTGACATTTCCTGGTGAAATCTATTGTTTTGAACATGACACAATTTCACAGATGTACTTCTGTAAACATAGTTGATCTGGGGCGAGGGAATCAAATCTAACTTATTTAATGCATTTTTATGTAATATTTCCTCCAAAATGGCTCTAACCCTCCCCCTACCCACATTTTTATTCCCATAATAGTCCTACACATATAAGCCCTACACACGAGGAACCAAGGCACAGTCATGGGCATTGAGCGCATGCACACACACACCTCTATTTCCTCTCCCTCATTTCAAGGATGCCCTGGTGGATTGTGTCCCACAATGACAACACCTTCCCCAATTAATTCACTGTTTTGAGGCAACGACTTCTCCTGCCCGCTTTTCAGCCAAGACTCTCCCATTTCTCAGAGACTGGAAGTACAGGGAGCCAACCGCACCACTGCCCCTCCTTTTTTTGCTACACACGGAGAATTGGGGGGCCCCCAGGCAGCCTTGGACCATCCTGCAGGGGCAGACACACCCCGGCCCCCACCAATCGATCCCAGCTGAACGCCTGAAAAACCGCTGAAGCAACACAATGCACATTCTTTTGCTCTGCGGCCTCCGATGATCGGTTGCTATGGCGCTAGCACTGAGAACAGACCAAAATGCGCTCCACGTTTTCCAGACAATCGCCTGCCCCACCGCCACCACTCCCTGCTATCGCCCTCTCTCTGTTCACACATGTGGCCGACTCTTCTGCCACAATATGCCTTATCAGCAGAGGCCCCGTCTCCTCCTTTGTCAGGGGATGAATGTGGCATTCAAAGGAAGGGCCTCTGTCTGGCCTTGCCCACATCTCGCTGGATTGCTATGGGGACTGACAACACACAGGCCTACCTGAGATAAAAGACTGCTCTCTTCTGATGCACTGGCAAGATTTAAACTTCTCTTTCTTACCCTAACCCCAGGAAAGGTTTAGGTACAGTGCTGTGGCCCCATGCCCTCATGTTCTATCTTGACAGCAAACCCCTGCTGTAAGCCAATGGCAGCCGTGAACTTATTCAGCTGTGAGGAGATTTGCTTGGGGATTTTTTTAAAGGAGGGTTCTGTTTGCCACCCTGGGCTCCTTTAGGGAAACAGAAACAATAACAACAACAACAACAACAATTATCATCATCATCATCATTCTCATTACTGTCTGGGATCATGCCACTCATCCCATTCTATACAGGATGTGAAATGCTTTAGTACAGCCTTGTTGGCTGGCTGGGGCTGATGGGAGTTGTTGTCCAACAACATCTGGAGGGTACCAGGTTGGCAAAGTCTGCTTTAGGAACACAGGAAGCTGTTGCCTTATGACCATTGGTCCACTTAGCTCAGAATTGTGCCAGATGTCCTTGAACTCAAATTCCCATCAGACTCAACCAGCATGCTCAATAGGCAAGGATGATGGGAGCTGGAGTCCAGCTGCATCTCATGAGCAACAAGTTCAACATGAAAGGTGATGGCCACACCAACTTGGATGGGTTTAAAAGAGGATTAGGCTGAGGGCAAGGCTATCAACAGCTAATGCTCTGCTTCCACAGCTGGGGGCCATAATGCTTATGAATCCCAGTCTCTGGAAGCCACAACACAATAAGCAGGAAAGTTTTCCAATCGCTGCATTTGTTTGCAGAATTCCTGCTTGTTGCCGTGCTGCTTAATGCACGGGCTAACCCCAGATTAAGTCCCACTCTTTTAAAAAATGACATTTTAAAATTATTTCCCTTCCCTTTCTTCTGCCCAGCATCTGCATGCACAAGCTTCCTAGGTCACTTCTAAACTGCGTGGATTCCCTGTATGTCCTGGAGAGTGTTTGAAACCTGGGCCCACTGTGTATACCTTGTATGCCACTTCAGCAAGCAACCTCAGCTTCGGCCATGCACTACAAGATATTTACAGTCAACCCTGAGAAATCAGAAGGAAGGCGCTGGGACAAGCAACAAGCTGAGCCCAATGCAAACCTCAAACCATCTGCTGCAGAGCAGTCTCACCCACTTCACAGAGTATCGCGAAGGTCAAGGTCAAAGGACTCCACATACTAGACATGACACCATTCATGCAATTAGCAATTTGTGGATGGTGTTGGCTTGTCTGTACTAAACTGCAGATTAGGATGCTGCTGGAAGCAGGGGAAGGGGGCCTTTAACACTTTGCCAGATCCATCCTCCTGCATTCCCAATCCCAATGCCGTATCTGCTATTCAGTTTTTAAAATATAAAAAAGCACTTGCACAATTGCTCATTGCTCAAATGGTGTCATGTCTAGTTTGGCCCTCTGCCTGTTCCTTTATGTAATCATAGTTCCAAAACGGGGAAATTTCGCAGACTGCACATGTGGAATGGGAAGGGCAGGCGATTTAAGAGGAGCACAGAATAGGGATTTGTGCCGGCACCTGTTTGTCTCAAGTCCCTGCAAGACAGAAAGGCCACATCTGCCCAGATTCCTTTTTCAATGGAAAGTACAAAAGTTCAGCTCTCCTCCTTGGCATCTGATCACCCAAAGAGCAGCGTCAAGGGTACTCCTGCAATGCCAACTTTGGGGGATGACTCAGCCACCACTCCATCCATCCATGCCCAGGGCTTTCTCCCTCTCTTCAGCAAGGCCTGGTACAGTGCCAAGAGCCAAAACGTTGGCATTGCAATAGGTGTTCTTCCACCACTATTACTGCTACACGTGTCACACAGTGTTTTTCCAACGACATCTTGCAAAATACCTTGCCTGGAAAGTCTGACGCACCAGCAGGCAAATAAGCAGGGCTGTCTTGGCCAAGGTCACTTCACAGAAGGGTTTCAGAAATCAGCCCAGGAAGCCTGCAAAATCCATGTCTGACTCTCAGCAACCTTTCTTCTGCCAAGACATCGGGCCAAGTCAGGTGCCATCCCATATCCCAAATGAAACTCATTAAGGTGCTTCTCATACTTGGCTACAAGTGGCAACTCTGAGTTAGGGCCGCCAACTATTTTTATTGGTTCTGCTCCCCCTGGGCCTTTCACTGAAGCCTCGCATGCAGAAATCAATCAAATAAGTTGCGGAGGAAGTTTCACTTGCTAGGTTTTTGCATGTCAGGTGGCTTTTAGAGGCACATGACCAGGTGACCACACGGCTTTGAATTCAGCCAGGAAAGCAGGACTTAATCTGAGTCAATCATGCTCAAGCCAACCCTGGGCTGTGCTATTGGTGCCAAGGCTCAGCATGGGAAGCGGAAGATTTTATTATTTTAAAAACCCAGTGCTTCTGCCTTTCCATCACCAACAAGCAACTCACAAACTTAAGAGTCTCACATTTTAGAGATGAATTACAATTTATTCATACTAAAAGGGTGGGTGAAGAACGAGGCAAGGTCCTTATCCTAGCACAGATTTAATGAACATTAAAAAGTTTCATTTCTCACTTCTTCAGTACAGTTTCTTTTAGCAGACATATTGATCAGGAACCCAAGGGCGCCTGGAGGGGGAAAAACATCATCCCTGTACAATAACATTATCATCATCATCATCAGGGAAGATCCTTTAACATTTGCCTGTTTTGTCTAAGGGGAAATGCATTTGCAACAACCTGGCCTCTAAAAAAACAGTAAGCTTTGTTGTTAAACAGAGAAGGGGAGAGGGGGCTTTAGTGCAGGGGAATAAACTAACAGCACCTTACGGTAAAAAATTAAGGAACTGAACTTTCCTGTTTACGGGGATTATCACCCCATTTGTGTCAAGGTTTTCATTTGGGGAAAAAAAAAACATCAGCTAAACAGAAATTCCTGTTTTGTGGGGGTGGGGGTAAGAGGCCTTGGCTTCCCTGAATCAGCAGCAACACCAAAAACAAAAACTCAGGCGTCCTGACCTCTCCATCACATGCTATAACCACAAGCGCATCAACAGACTGAAAAATAAAGTGAACTTTTGAGTCCCTAATCCAGCGGCTGTTAATTAGGCAAACAACATTTATACTACCAGCCTGCTAGGGGGGAAAAGTACAAAGTGTATTCACAGCCACAGTCTCTCCTTATGCTCCAAAAGACCAGCGCTCAGCACACTCAAGGACACCTGATCACCAATTAGCTGCTTCTTAATATCCTTGAAACAAGCTGGGGAATTTTTATCCCGTCTTTCTACACACAGGAGCACCCAAGGCGGCATTAAAAAAATGTATCAAGATATTAACATAAAATTATTATTATTATTGTAATCCATCAATGTATCTGACACTTTGCAAGGTGGCATAAGCAAATAAGAGGGGTGTCAGCTGCTCTGTATGTTTAATCTATACTTTGACAATGGGGAGGGAGACTAAGAGGCGGGGCAAGGAGAACAAGCAACGAATAGAGCAGCCGTCCTCAACCTGGGTACCCTCTAGTTGTTTTGGACCACAACTCTCATTAGCCCCAGCCAGGAGGGCATTCAGATTGGGGGAGACTGAAACACAGAGAAACAGCTGGATGAAAATATAAATGTCTGCTGGCAGAGGCGGTTTTAGGGTTCGGCCACACAGGGCGCCACACTGCAAGGGGCGCCACATTAATGCTGTAGAACGGAGCGTGAGAGGTGGGGGGCAGGGTGCCGAATTTTTGCGTCACACAGGGCACTGCTGAAATTTGAGACTCCAGTGTCCACCACTGCTGCTGGATCAGGCCAATAGCCCATCTAGCCCAGTGGCCAACCAGCTACCCATGGGAAGAATGCAAGCAGGACCTGAGCACAGCAGCACTGTCCCCTCCTGCAGTTTCCAGCAACTGGTATTCAGAAGTTTACTCCCTCTGACAGCAGTGGCAGAGCACAGCTATCATGGCGAGGAGCCACGGATAGCTTTCTCCTCCATGAATCTCTCCATTCCTCTTTTAAAGCCATCCAACTCGGTGGCCATCACTGCCTCCCACAGGAGGGAACTCCACAGTTAACTGTGTACTATATGAAGAAATACTGGTACTTTCTTATTATCTGTCCCGAATCTTCACATTTAGCTTCACTGAATGCCCACGAGTTCTAGTGCTATGAGAGGGGGAGGGAAACTTTCCTCTCTCCACTTTCTCCTTGCCACGCATCATTTTATGAACTTATATCATGTCGCCTCTTATTTGCCCTTTCCTCTGAACTAAAAAATCCCAGATGTTGCAACCGTTCCTCATGGAGGAGTTGCTCCATTGCCTTGAATGTTTTGGTTGCCCTTTTCTGAATCAACTCTACAATGTCCTTGTAGAGGCGAGGTGACCAGAACTGAAACAGTACTCCAAGTATAAAACTGTGGAATGAAAATATAAAATTTACGGCATGTACTGCGTTAAAGGAAAATGTTATGAAAATGATTTATAGATGGTACATCACACCTGTGAAACTGGCAAAAATGTATAAAACATGTAATAAGTGTTGGAAATGTAAAGAAAAAGAAGGAACATTTTATCATATGTGGTGGGATTGTAAGAAGGTGAAGGGCTTCTGGGAAATGATATATAATAAGATGAAAAAGATGTTGAAATATACGTTTGTTAAGAAACCAGAGGCTTTTCTTCTAGGAATAGTAGGAAATGAAATAAATAGAATGGACTGTAAACTTTTCCAATATGCAGTAACAGCAGCGAGAATATTATTGGCCCAAAAATGGAAACAGGAACAACTGCCGACGCTCGAAGAATGGAGAATGAAACTGATGGAGTATGCTGAACTGGACAAACTAACAGGAAAGATCAGATATATACGAGATCAAAAGTTCATTGAAGACTGGGGAAAATTTTCAGACTATCTGAAATGTGTATGTGATGAGCAAATAACACTAGTGGGATTTCAAGAAGTTCTGTAAATGATAGAGGACTATTGTATTGATGAAAACTAAGTGTGTGAAGGTTTATAAAATGCAATATAAAATTAGGAAATGCGTATTTAAAAATTTGAATAATGGATGATTGTCAGAGAGGTTGAAGGAAGTCTAAAAGAGAAAATATGTGATACATTTAGATTGGATACTATAAATGTATGTTGGAAAATTTAATTAAAAAAAAACTAAAAAAAAACAAAACAGTACTCCAAGTGCAGTCAAACCTGGATTTGTACAATGGGCCTTGGGATATTGGCTGGTAATATTGGATGTGAATGAGAAGGGGGATACTGGGGTTACAAGCTGACCTGGGTGGGGTGGGGGAGCCCTGCTCCATTGCCTTTAATATCAGAATAATCTGCAGAAACCTATAGACTGAGCTCTTCACAACATGGAGATAAGCTTTCTATTCTGCTAATACCTATAAGGCTTCTTTTAGAGGTGCAGGCACAGAGGCTGGAAAAACAGTTGGCAACCTTAGTTTTGAGGATGGCATTCACACTCCAAGTAGTAAAAGGGTGGAAGGCTCTAAAAGATTTTAAGCAAGAGGAAGAGCTTGCGTTTCCCTGGCCTTCTGATTTTTTCCTAATGGATGGAGAGGATATTCTAATCCAGGCCACTGACTCTACAGAAGAACAGTCCTTCCAGATTAGTTAGGCTGATTCCAGGGGAGTGATCTCCTCTGTGGGGTGCTTATATTAGCAAAGCACCAGCCCTAGAAACCCACAAAGCAGCCTCAGGGCTGGTTGCAACACCAGAGATGGCCCAAGGACAGCCCCCAGGTTTCTCAGAACATGGCAGGGAAGCAGCTCTTTTGAAACAGCAAAGGAGCTCCAACAACAAGGAGAAACCACCACAACAACCCAAAGTTTGCCACTCAATGCACAATCAAACCAAAAGCCACAGCCCAAGCTGGCTGTCTGTTCAGTGTTCCTATATGACACATGTGTTGGCAAATGCACGATTGTTACATTCATCATTTTTTAAAATTATTGCTGGATCTTTTCTGGTGCTTTCGTAGCTGCCTTACAAATCTGGCAACGGACAAGTGTTATGCAGATCTTGTGATAAATAAAATAAAAACTGAGCCCTGGTTTAATTTCAGATTTGGTTCCTTCAGGACTGCAGAGCACCTTCGCAAATTGCTTTTTCAATGAAACCGGGAGACAGTCTCCCTTGCGTTTTGACGTGAGGATCTTGCAATGGTGAAGTGTATTTCCCAGCTGCAATTTCCTAGCTGGGTCCCCAAGCAAGAGGCGCCAGGGACTCTGGGACAGCAGGGTAAAGAGCCAGGTGCGGAAGAGCATCTCTGGACCTCAGATTTCAGAACCGCCAGAGAAATGAGAGCTCCGATTCAACCCTAGAATCTGACTTCATAGCTAGGCCACGGCTCCCTGTTTTGGACTACAACTCCCAGCAGCCACAGGAAGCTGCTCTGGATCATGTGAAGACAGGAATGCCTCTAAGCACATGCCAGGTTAGGTTTCCCTCATACCTGAGAAAAGCCAGAGTCTGCCCCCACCGTATCTGCCACTTTGAGGAGGGATGAACCTGGAAGTTAAGGGCCCACGGAGGAGTTTTGTACTCTGGAGATTTGGGCAGGGGCGAGGGTAAGTCATGGGGATATTTGCCCCTTTTGGTCCCTTCCCCAAAGTGGCTGCCCCACAGCGACTCCCCAGCCACACCCTCCCTGCCAGGCCTCCCGCAGGCTCCCCACCTGACAAGCCCGTACCTGTCTTCAGCCCTGCGGAGCGGCCAAAGTTCCAGAGAGACCAGCCCTTGGCGTTTGGGGGGCTCCACTTGTGGTACGAGTTGCCCATGGTGCCCGTAGGTGCAACAGGCACCTTTCCCCGTCTCTTCCTCCTCACCCTGCCCCACCCACCCCCTTGTTGCTGGGAGGAGGAGGAGGAGGAGGAGGAGGAGGAACAGGGTGCTTACATGACTGAGCCAGGCAAGCCTTCTTTCTCCTTGGCTGGGTTTCCGTGGCGCAGAGAGAGAGAGAGAGAAAGAGGGAGAGGCGCACAGGGCTCAGCTCTGCCTTCCCATCCCTGTGTCTCTGGGCCGCTGCCTGCTTTCAGCACCCACTCGCTCCCTCCCTTGCTTGGTCACGGAGCCAATCGCAGCAGGCAAAGGGGAGGGGCGCGTGGGGGGGGTTGGCCTCTTGTCTTCTTCCTGCCCTGACAGCTTTGCTGCCTCCTAGCTCCATCTCTCGATCTCACTCCTCCAGTGTCACCAGAAGGGTTTTGTTTCCAAAAAGTGAGGGGTGGCCCAGCTAAAAGTTTGCCTGAATATTGCACCCCCCTGACTTGGGGGTGCTCACTGGAGCAGGAAAGAGATATTGCACATGCTCCAAATCCCTCTTTCTGATTGACATGTTCTGGGGGCCTGCCCGGGCACAGGTGGACGCCTTGGCTGACAGAGTCCACAAGGCGGCAGCATTTTAGGGGGAGGACAAAAAAGTGACTCAGAATCTAGCTATCCTTCACCATACCTGTGGAAGTCCTTTAACAGTCAAAAGCATTATAATTTTACTTGTCTGAAGCTTATCTATCTATCCATCCATCCATCCATCCATCCATCCACCTCAATTCCCTTCTTCACCCATGCACATTCATTTGTTCTCTTTCCCCAACATTCTGTCCCACTTTAATTTTCTGTCACCTTTTGATTTCCTTGGCAATTTCCCCACAAAACTGCCAAACTGCTAAGGCACAAAGCAAGAGCAGCTGGGAAACAAAACAGACTTTGGACAAACAAGCTATGGTTTGGTTAATTGTTGCTGGGACAACTCATGGTTTCTTCAACCACAATTTAATGTAATGTGCAAACCAGGCCATTATTTATCACCTATGACAAACAGTTCTGTGAAGCTTACAAGTTTGCACATTCTGGCCCATGCAAGTGCCAGTGCCATGCATAAGAGGGCCTTAGGTAGGCTGTCCTCTGCCGCTACCTTCCCCTCAAAATGAAAATGGTGGCAGCTGCTTCATTCAGCCCATCTCTGGTGGGCACCAGGTTAAATATCCCCCCGTTTGCAGCCGCCTTCGCTTAAGTTGACCAGTGAAGGTGTAGCAACATCCACCAGAGAACCCCCTGAGCATAAGAGTGGAACTTGTACGGTTGCTGGTACCTCATAATCCTCATTCTGCAGTTGTAATATATCAATCTTTCAGTGTGGCAGCACCTACACTTTGGAACTCCCTGCCTATTGATATGAGGCAGGCAAGCACCTTCACTTCTTTTCAGTGCCTACTAAAAACTTTTCTTTTCAGGCAAGCTTGCCCCGATATGTAGAATGCTGACTTGTGTTTTAATCAGTTTTTAGCTTATTGTTTAATTATCTTTTGAACGTTTTAAACAGCTGCTTTAACCGTTTTTATTGACAATTTTATTGTTTTATTCTTTTGTGAACTGCTCTAAGGTTTTTCCCTCAAAATCTAGCAGTACATACATTTTATGGCATGGTCTAACATTTGCTCACAGTTTGGAGCAAGGCTGAAGATCCTGGTGTGATTAGGGGTTCCCAAATATATCCCATGGTCTTCTGTGGTACTAGGCCAGGGGGTTCCAGATGTAGATGGACTCAAACTCCCGTCAGCCCTGACCACTGGCCATACTGCCTGCCAGAGGCATACCTAGGGGTTGGTGAAACCAAACTCTGCCGGAACACAGGGCTGGGATGAGTATGGGTGCAAAAAATCACCTAGCAGACTATGGAGTGCATGGTGTAAATGTGTGTGCTGACGTGACGCTCCTGTTGCAGCAAGTTGAAATGTGGGAGAAACTTCCCATTCTTCTCACAGCATAAACACATGCACTTTTATTTTTATTTTTTGCCCTTCACCCTCGCACTCACTCTGGATGCTTCGAGTATTTGGGTCAAGTAAAATGTAGTCACTTCTAATGTGGCTATTGCAGTAAAGTCTTTGGGGGGGGCTGGCTGGGGGGGGTGCCAATACAGCTCCTTGCCAAGGGCACAAGAGATCCCAATCTGCCGACTACAGCTGATTGCTGAACATCTGGAGGGCACCACATTGTCTATCCCTGATCGAGGCAGATTGGCAGGTGGAAAATACTCAAATTACATATCACATCACAAGCGCTTTTAAAGAAATGTCAGCATCCAGGAAGGGCCTTTGGCAAGTCTTTCAGAGAATACAGGAAACTGCCTTGTACTACTGAGCCAGGCCTAGCATCAGGCCAGCAGTGGGACTGTAAGGTCTCAGAAAAATGGGGGGGGCGGGCGGGCAGTATTTCTTTCCCAGCAGCCCTATTCAAAAAATTATTTTAAAATGCCATAGATTCTAATCTTTGGGCTTTCGGCATGCCAAAAAGGGATAGATCTTCTGACTATCTCAAGAGATTCCCTACCCCAAACCCCAACTTGCTCCTTAATCTTGACTAGAAGTGAGGTCCCCTGTTCTGCTACAAATACAAGGAAATCTCACAAATTATATTATTATGCGTACAATACTATACACAAGTTATAAAGCAGAAAGTAACCAGGACATATACAGATGCATATTACTTTATAAAACTCATATGTAGCAATATACTGGTAACATTCTTCTGCACAAAATATTGTACATCATATGGCTCTTTTTTATACATTTATATGTATAACCTATGTTTTAAAAAATGAGTCATTTTCTATGTAATTAGTCAGGCTTACAAAACAAAAGAAAGGACACCAGACATTGCACAGGCAGATGGCATAAAAGCGGGTCCTGAATATGAGAGGCAATCCATTGCAAGCGAAGCCCAATTGGATCGGACCCAGCAAAATCCATGTGTAAATCTATTTCAAATGGATTTCTCCTTCACCCAAATGCAAATTCTGCTCTACCATCACTGACCTACGGCCCCACCCAATGGTCATAGGACACCCCTGCAGCTGTTATTTTTTGCCCTATGGCCCACCCTGTCCTTTAAGATGCCATGAAAGGGAGTGGGTGGCGCTGTGGTCTAAACCAATGAGCCTCTTGGGCTTGCCGATCAGAAGGTTGGTGGTTCGAATCCGCGTGATGGGGTGAGCTCTCTTTGTTCTGTCCCAGCAGTTCAAAAGCATACCAATACAAGTAGATAAATAGGTACCACTGCAGTGGGAAGGTGCCGGTAAACGGCATTTCCGTGCGCTGCTCTGGCACTCGTCACTGTGTCCCGTTGCACCAGAAGCAGTTTAGTCATGCTGGCTACATGACCCAGAAAGCTGTCTGTGGACAAACGCTGGCTCCCTTGGCCTGAAGCGAGATGAGCTCCACACCCCATAGTCAAATTCGACTGGACTTAACGGTCCAGGGGTCCTTTACCTTTGCCTAAGATGCCATGGCAGCATCTGTCCTGCCCCTTGCCAATAATTCAAAATTCAAAGAAAACAGAATGTATGAAAAGCAGATGTATGCAAACTGGCAGCCTTGCAGTGCCCTAAAAATGGGCACCAAATCTGGAATTTACTTCAGCAGGACGCCCCCTCCCTGCCAAGGGCTGAAATCTGTAAAAGGGAATGGAAGGAAAGCTTAATGAGTAAAGCTGATTAAATGAAACTCCTGAGTATGTTATGGGTCATTGGGGGTTAGCGGGTGAAACCAAGTTTTGGGAGAGTCTAAGCAGTTTACAGAAAGGCACTTGAGTTTCTGGGTCCCTCAAGAAGGAAACAAAAACCCTTCTGGGTGAAAACAAAAGCCTAACACCAAAAAGCCTAAGTTAAGATCTGAAATCATTAACAGAAATAAGCTAAGCGTTTGCCAGCTATTTCCTGCTGAGACCTGATTTCGGTCCCTGCTGCTTGTGCCTTCCTCCTGCTGAAACCAAGATCCAAATCGATGGAAAGAAATGTTTCCCATTCCACCTGCTCCCGTGCAGTCAGCTCACTGGGTTCCATGGGACTTGCACCCAGGCAAGGGTGCCTAAGATGGCAGCCCTCACTGAAGTGCCCCTGACTTCCTCACCTGAAGCTGGAGAAATACAGAAACTCAAAGGCACCTACACCGGTTTGACAAGTCAAATCCGTTCTAATTCATATTTGTTCAGCTCTTCACCTTCATTTCTCACCCTCTCCTGTGCCAGAGACCATGTCAATGATCATATTGTCTTAAGAAAGAGCACGTTCCTCATACACAGAAATCTGACTCCAAAACAATTTGGTGAGTTTTAAAAATCAGATCTCAGATTATGCTGTTTGCAAAAGCATTTCTTGCACTTCCCCCTCCCCTCCAGGTGGAAGAGGCACACCTCTCTTTGTTCAGTCTGAGAAGCTCACCCTGGTTTCCAGCTCAAACCAGACACTGGATTCCTGTTGCCCACATTTTCAGAAATGTCACTCTTGGCCTTCTGCGCCCTGCAGATTAACAAAATTATTTCACAAACACTTGGAAACTATTTAAGCAATTAAGGTTGAGGCCAGCAACAGTGTGCTTAGTAACAGCTGAAGGACCCAGGGAGCCTTTCTAGCACAGCATGCAATTGAACCCTACAAAATAAATGGCATCTTGTCACACATCACCTTGTCACCAACATCTCACATCTCTGCATTCTTCCTATGCGTCCTGGTTGCTTTGTAGACTGATGCAGCTAGAGACAGTGTCAGGTAGGAGTGCAGTCTCCATTACAGGCTCATCTCAGCCTCATTGGGTGGTTTCATTTGGGAAAGCCACTGCTATCTTAGGAATTTAGCATGCTGTCTTATGCCTAGCCAAGCCAATGGTCCCTCTGAACCCAGAATTGTTCTCTACCTCTGAGCCAGGATCCCTTTAGCACTGTTACCTGAGGACCAAATTAGATGTGACTTAATTGGGCAATTAATGACTTAATAGTGCAATTAACATGCACTACAGTGGTACTTCGGGTTACATATGCTTCAGGTTACATACGCTTCAGATTACAGACTCTGCTAACCCAGAAATATTACCTCAGGTTAAGAACTTTGCTTCAGAATGAGAACAGAAATCGTGCTCCGGCAACGCGGCGGCAGCAGGAGGTCCCATTAGCTAAAGTGGTGCTTCAGGTTAAGAACAGTTTCAGGTTAAGTACGGACCTCTGGAACGAATTAAGTACTTAACCCGAGGTACCACTGTATTGAGGTTTTTTTTCAGAAAAGTAAACAGCAGCCAAGCAATGCAGGGTGGGAGAAGAAATTGCAGCATCCGGCCCTTGCAAATCAGGGAGAGTTAAACCCTTTCTCCTTGAAACAGTCTCAGTGAAAATGCTCCCTCTCCACATTTTCCGACTTAATGCTAAAAGATACAACTCTTTTCCCCCAGCCTTTGACAGCTAAAACATTCTGTTTTGTGGGACTCACCTATTTCTGCTGAATGTATACTCTTCTGTTCATCTGGAATGGTTTTCCTTGTTTTTTATCCTTGTAATGGTTTTATAGTAAATGTTTTTTGAACTGCAAGTTATATTGTTGTGACCAACCCTGCAGCTTCATAGCAGGTAAGACATCTGATAGATAGATAGATAGATAGATAGATAGATAGATAGATAGATGCTGATTTATTATATCCTGCTCTCACCTGCTGTTTCATGTTCACCTGAAGCCACAGCTGGCCCAAGACATTTTGCCGCACTTTGCCTAACGACCAGGCCGGCTCTGCTTCAGGCTGCCTTGGAATGAAGGGGAGCACTGATCCATCTGTCGTTCCCTGCTCCGCTTAGGGAAGACTCTCTAGGCTCCCTAGCAGGACTCTTCCCCTTTCCCAGGGGACTCTGCCACTGAGCTGTGCCCTCTACCACTTTGTGCCCAGCTCTGATGGATTTTCCCCAGCCCTGCTGCTAGGCATCATTTGGTCTGGGAATGGCCTGGAAACCAGGCCAAGTGTGCTGTGCTGCTCCCCTGCCCCACTGATATTACACAGTAAAAACAAGGGGTCCACAACTGATGCAGGCGGTGCCACTGTGCCAGGCAGATCAAGAAGCAGGAGCCTACCTAGAAAAACTGAAAAAAGAGCCCTAGTAGATTAAGGGGGTTAGGGTTTCTAGTTCAGCATCCTGTTCTTTCAGTGGTCAGCCAGATGCCCTAATGGGAAGCCAAAAAGCAGGACTTGAGAGCAAGGGTACTCTCCCAACTTGTACATCATAGCAACTGGCATTCAGAAGCATGCTGCCTCCACAGAACGATCATCAGCGCTCGAAATTCACCAGACACCTGGTGCATTTTGCACCTGGCTATTGGCCACTTGCGACCAAGTGAAGATGTTTGGTTGCCAGGATGGCGCCTGACGTCTCCACCATCTGGAGTTGCATGCCTGGGGATCCTTGGGTCTTGACTGTTTTCAGATACTGACAACACATCCTGTAGAATTCTATTTGTTATATTTGATCAGAAAGAATTTCAGAAGCCAAAAAGTCGTATTGAAAAATACGACTTTCGAGATGTCTGGCCCAAAAATGACAACTAGGCATTCCGTTTTGGCAACTGCAACCCTGGTTTAATGAGCCATTTGGCGCCTAGCTAATATATCTGAGTTTCTAACACTGGGTAGCTTGGCCAGTGTTCCTCAGAAGAGGAACTGTATGGAAGCAGAATGGCCCTTTTCTCTACAGTACTGAACTGGACTCGCTTGCTTGAGTCATCTGGATCTAGTTGCTTTGCAGATGCCTTGGTATGCCATTTGTGGCCGGGATTATGGGAGTCAAATCTTGGGGCGGAGGGGGTGGCGTTGATGCCCATAGGCATCCTGCCTTTGGACCAAGCTTACAGGTCTCTTTCATCCCTTGTGATTCAACGAAGTAACCTCAAACTCTCTTTAAATTTCACACCCACTCAAATTCCCAGGCATTCCTAGTACAGGAAAAGAGACATGAGCTTCAAACTAGCGCTGCTCTGTGATGAAAATGAAGTGTACACAAGACCACGTATTTCAGCGCTTGCAGGTTTCGCAGCAATGCAATGTCAGATCCTGTGTGTGTAAATGCACAGCTGGGGTCGGAGGAGAAGGAGAATAATCCCATTTGTTGGGAAAGTCATTTTTCAAAGTAGGCTGAATTTTAACTTCCGGGTTGCGTAACCTGTCATTCATGAAAGGGTTAAGTGGACTGTACCCTTCCTTTTTGAGGAGCCAAGAGATGGCAAGGATACTGTTTATTAACAGAAGAGAGGAACTCAGCCAGGTAGCTGTAGGGGGAAATGCAGTTTAAAAGCAGCAGTTGGGATGGATGTTTGTATAAACAGGGAGGGTCCCCGACTGTTTCAGACTTTTAAAAATAAAAGTTACCAGGAGCCTGCCTAAAGGAGGGAAGAGAAGATACTTCAACAGCACAATGTTATGCATTCTCTCATCTTGTGCGCACCATATGAGACACACACTTAAACCACAGGGATCCCACAAAAGAACCCCGGGAAATGAAGTTTGCGAAGTGTGTTGGGAATTGTAACTCTGAGCAGAAACTACAGTTCTCTGGATTCTGTTATGGAAGCTTTCTGCTTACTTGTTTCCAGGTAAGGATGCCCAGGCCAAGGAAGGAATGGGGAAAAAACAGGGAGCAGCTTTTCTTCCCACCAACTGACTTGTGGAACTCCTTGCCACAAAATAACAGCCAAGCCAAGAGCTCCGCTTGCTTTTAAAACAAAAAAGAACCCAAACACAGATATAAGCACCAACAGCCTCAGTCTGGGCTCCCTATTATAACCCAGGGTTGAGCTGTGGAAGGGAGAGGCATCTGTGCACACACATGTTTTCTGTTTATTAAAACAAACCCACTCTGCCTTGCAATTGCAGCCCATGAGGACAAATAAATATGCAGTTGCAAGCTGCTAAAACGACAAAAACCACAGTGAAGACTTTGGGAAATATTAACAATGGCTCTTCTCTTTGGTCACAGAAGCCCACTTCCAGCTGACAGGCACAAAGAGGAACTCCTTCCTTGTGGACAAGTTTGTTTCATTATGACAACTCTGCACTGCACAAATGCAGCCTGCTTTTCCTTTTCTGACAGCTGGCACCTGTGTGAAATCCCTAGCTGGTCTCCAGAGCACAGAGAAATCAGATATAGTTTGAGGCAGTCACGCAGAAATCTTTTTCTTTAATTGCCCCTGTCCTTGCCAACCCAGCACCCTCCAAATGTTGTTGGGCTACAACTCTCATCAGCCCCAGGTCTGCACACCAGCTTGCAGTCCAACAACATCTGGAGGGCGCCAGGTTGGCAGAGGCTGCTTTCACACTCTGTGCAACATGACGGCGAGGAATTCTTTTTAAGGAGTTTTCCAGCTCTGGCCTTCCCCCAATCTCAGCTCGCAGTGGGTAGAGAGGTCAAGAAAAGATTCTGTAATCAGCCTGGCCTTTAATCAATGGCATCTATATAAATATACAAATTACAAAATTACAGTGAAGGTGCCTTTTAAACCATCCGTTGACAAATTGCACCAATTAATTTGTTAAAGCTTGCAGGCACAGTCAGAATGGATGGATGTGTGGATAACACAGGATGCTGGAGCAATCATTAAGGAGGAGGCGGCAATTCAAGAGCCCTCATATGGTGGTAGGGAGAAGACTTAATGCAGCCTTTCAGATGCTTTTGGACTACAACTCCCATTAGTCCCAGCCAGCCATTGGAAAGGCTGTTTTAACATACGAAGCAAGGGAGATGTCTGTGTGAGGCTCTGGGGGTCCTACTGCAGTAGATAAAGGTAAAGGGACCCCTGACCATTAGGTCCAGTCGTGACCGACTTTGGGGTTGCGGCACTCATCTCGCTTTATTGGCCGAGGGAGCCGGTGTACAGCTTCTGGGTCATGTGACCAGCATGACTAAGCTGCTTCTGGCGAACCAGAGCAGCACACGGAAACGCCGTTTACCTTCCCGCCGGAGCGGTACCTATTTATCTACTTGCACTTTGACGTGTTTTCGAACTGCTAGGTTGGCAGGGGCAGGGACTGAGCAACGGGAGCTCACCCCGTCACGGGGATTCGAACCGTCGACCTTCTGATCAGCAAGTCCTAGGCTCTGTGGTTTAACCCACAGCGCCACCCGCGTCCCTACTGCAGTAGATAGGTGGGAACAAACTGGTCCCAGGAAATCACCTGGCCCAGCACTTGAGAGTTTTCTTCTTAAGAAAAAAGAAAGAACACAAGCACCAGGCAAAATTTCACCAAGCACTTCATGCGTGAACACGCCCTGCGAGTCTTCAGAATGGGCAGCTTAGCCAAGAAATCCTGTTTCATGCCTGGCCTGTGGGCAGACGGCCTTGCTGGGATATTTTTGTGGCTTTGTGCCACATACCTGCACTTACCCCCCTGCCTGCTGTATTCATTAGTCCAGAATAGGAGGCATTGCACAGCCAAGGAGAGTGGGCTGTCCTTCAACTGGACGCCAAGCCCCACCAAGCCAGGAAGCTCACTGGGTGACTTCAGCCCCGCTCTCCCCCTGCCTAAGCCTACTCCATGGAGTAGATGTGAGGAGGATACAATAAGGAAACCCAAGTATGTTGGAAAGCGAGAGAGGATTCTTTCGCCAGCTTCGGCTAGTATCCCAACTATGACCATTCCTTGACCACATGCACTGCTAATATCAAAGCTGGATTACTGCAAGGCACTCTATGTGGGGCTGCCCTTAAGGTGGGTCCAGAGGCTGCAGCTGCTGCAGATTGCTTAACGCAGCACCCTAAGCCCCAACATGTAATGCCTTTGCTAAACAAATTGCACTGGCTCCCAATATGCCACTGGGCCGAGTTTAATTATTTGCTTTTGGTATACAAAACCTCTATTGCCACAGTACATATATTAAGCCCTTGGAAAACACCTTAACTGCCCTGAATCTCAGCCAGGGAGCTATAGTTCTAGGCCGGCCTTCCCCAACCTGGCGCTCTCCAGATGGACTGGACTACAACTCCCATCAGCCTCAGCCAAGGCTGGGGGAGGCTGTTCAGTGCAGAGGGTCCTGTCCTGGTGGCCTGAGTGGGGGATTGAGCCTGTGCACCAGCAATACAGCTCCAGGCGGTGCCCTGCCCTCCCTGCACAAAGCTAAACATAACACCAGTACATGTGGGTGGAGGGAGGCAGGGAGATGTGACATCTAAATCGCTTTCAAACTGGTTTGAATTTCAGCATAGAGGCCCTTTACATATTTGTGGAGCCAAGGCCCTTTGCGATGATCCCTCTTGGGTGCCTAGAGCAACAGGTGTCTGGTCTTGGCTGACCCACAGTGGTGGGGTCTGGTTCACAAAGGGAAAAAACAAACAGAGTTGAGCATAGATTTTTCAACACCTGGAAGGCCCAGCTCCATCCGGGAAAATCCACACCCCAGCCTGTAAAAAGGGAGCAAGAGGGGCATGCCTTGCAGAGTATCCTGCAAACTAGATGCAATATACAGAAAGGAGGAACAGAAGCAATTAGAAGGGGCAAAGCAGCTGCCCTTTCCTTAGCAGTGCTGGTGACAAGCTGAATGGTGTGCAAGGATCCGAGTTCAGTTCAAGGTTGAACAGCAAACCAAGGTTGCTGTCAGCAAGCTCAGCCAGACCGTCACTCTGCAAGCAGGCAAAGTTGTTGCCTGGGGAAGCAGCACATGGCAACATCAGCGGCAGGGAAGCAGCAGATGGTCCAAGACGTGCAGGATCCCTTGCAATGCTGCAGAGCGTGCCAGGCATGCAACCTTTGGATTGCACAAGTGGTGATGTGCAATCCTGGCACAGAGAAAGACCTGGTTTCAATCCCAGTTAAAAAGGATCCAAGGTCCAGGACAGGGAAAGAGCCAGCACTTCTGAGGGCAGACAATTTTGGGCTAAATGGCAGAGTGGTCTGACTCAGGGCTTATCCACACTTCCTCTTGTCCCGCTGCTTTCCTCTGGGAAAAACAACTCTTTAGTGCTCAATTGGAGCAAACAGCCATTGGGTTTCTGCAGATTGTTGTTGTTGTGAGCTTAAGGGCAGGCTTTCCTTGGGAAAGGAGCAGAGCAAGGAGAACACCACTCAGACCCATACTTTCTAGGCATAGGACAAGAGGAAGTGTCAATACCTCCTCTCATTAAATGTATATCCTGGGAAGGGATGCTACTTTTGCAGTGAGTCAATCCTAGGTCCATTCAATGTGGGCCAAATTGATTTCTCTTCCCTTCCATACATTTCAGACACGTCTCTTACTGTGGATACATACCTAGTTCCTGTCTTGCCAGACAGAAGACTGAGAACAGAAGAGATATCAAATCAAGGCGCGGGAACAGAAATGTACGCACTAGCATCATTTCAAGAGCAGAAAAGTCAGCATGGAGCCGAAATTCTCTCTCTGCCAACCTTTCCCAACCTGGTTCCCTCCAGACGTTTCAGACTCTCATCAGCCTCATCCAGCATAGTCATAAAATGCTAGGGGCTGGTGAGAGGTGAGAGTTGTAGTCTGAAAGATCTGGAGGGCACCAGGTTGGGGAAGGCTGGTCTACAGCCTCAGCTGGAAACTTAATGGTCCTCTTGCCATCTGGGCCATCAGCTGCCTCCTGCTGTAACTGCTGGCAGTGGCCAGCCTGACCGCCATCCACATGGGGCAGATCCAGTCCCCACCTGAGCATAGGCAGCTTCAGCCACGCTGCCCAATAGTGGAATGCGCTGCAGCACCCCAAATTACATGAAAGAAACTAGTAAAAACCTAATAATAACCATCTCAATTTTTATAGGTCTTTCACTCTACTGTCAGAAGGCGCTATAAACCAGTCCCCAAGTTCCTGCCCAGCTGGAATTGCACCGGAAGGCCTTGCCACCCACCACAACACAGAACGTGACCAACCCAAGGCCACGTGGCTGGCAGTCACCATCGCCCTGCGAAGCTCATCTCCTAACTAGGCCATGGCAGCTTCTGAGCCCTGCCTGGTAGGAGGTGAGCGGCTTCAGCAGCCGGAGCTGAAAGGGTTGAACAGGGTGTGGCTCTTCCGCGTTATGCTTCTTGAAACCAGAGAGTATGTTGTGATGACAGACTTTGGTGATTTCATCCAGCAGCAGCAGCTCATGGGAATCGTAACAAGCCATCTTGCGTGGCTGAAAGAGGGCAAGGAAAGAACCCCGATGGCTGTGTCCCTCTCGCCTACGTAATCCTAAATATTTCCACCGGCAGATCCTTCTGCCCACAAGTTTCAAGCACTTTTGGTTGTTCAGGAGGCACCCAATTTGAACCTTGTTTTCAAGCAGTTGTCCCTCTTTATTTTTCATCTAACAGATTTGTAGACCACTTTTCAGGAATCCACCCTTCCCCCCACACACAAAATGGCTTGTGAAAAAATATAAGCCAAAATAAAATCAAAAATACAATACTAAAATCAACTAAAACCAACATTTGTTTCAGGGCACTACTAAAAATAACTTTGGCCTTTTCTTTTCTTTTCTTTTCTTTTCTTTCTTTCTTTCTTCTTCTTCTTCTTCTTCCTTTTTTTTTTTTTTTTTTTGCATTTCCTTGCCAAGAGGTCCAACAGTTCTAGAGACCATTTGTGGTCATATTGACCTTTAAAACCTCTCTAAGCCTGGGGTCTTTAGGATCCCCTCCTTTCACATGTGCCACTGAGCCAGTAAATAACAGCTTCAGGATCCCAGCCTTGAGTTCCATCGCTTCAGGAGGCCAGGTCAGTCTCAGGAAGCCTTTCTTCCAGTGGCCTCAGGGCTTTGGAATGGTCTCCCAGAGGCTGATGTATGGAAAGGTACATATTTTGAGAAACTAGTGTGGTTATTTGCCCCCACCTAGAACAGCCATGATTCTGAATTTGTGGCCTGTGCAACATACAGCCCTGCTCCCCATTGCAAAGCTATGCTCCAGTCACTTACTCTATCCAAACCAACAGTCTAACCACTGGAGCAGCATCCCTCTGTCCCACCAAAGAGGTATGCTTACATCTTCAAAGATGCAAGAAGAGCCTGGATGAGGCCGTAGCCCAGGCATAGGCAAACTCAGCCCTCCAGATGTTTTGGGACTACAACTCCCATCATCCCTCGCTAACAGGTCATGGAGGAGGGCGAGTTTGCCTATGCCTGCCCTAGCCCTATCCAGCCCAGCATCCTTTTTCCACAGTGGCCAACCAGATGCTTCTGCTTTTATGAAGGAACTGATCAATAAGTAATCCCTGAATCTGCAGGATATTCTGGCTTCACTTCTAAGCATTGGGCAGGTGGCGTATTGCCTTTCTTTTTTACCAACAATCTGCAGTTAAATAAACCAAAGTGTCAATAGTACTCTCCTTTCCCCCAGAATCTGAAAAACAAAACTTGCCCTGCACAAAAGCTGCTCCAACTTGTGATTGCCTGCTAGAGATACCCATGTGAAGCAGAGTGCACATCAAATTATAAATTGCAATATAAGGGTTATAGTAAGCCTAGTCCTTACATTGCAGGGGGGAGGCAGTCAGGCAGGGGGCTGGATGCCTTAAGTCATAGAATCATAGCTGGAAGGGTTCTATGAACCCTGAGGGTCATTGAATCATAGACTCATAGAATTGTAGAATCGGAAGGGATCCTGAGGATCTAGTCCAACCCCTTGCAATGCAGGAATCCTGCCCACAGCTATCCCTGGGTAGACTCGAACCACCAACCTATAGACCCACAAGCAGAGACATAAGCTGTTTTCCCTAGTATTAGACCAATCTGATCCCCTCCAGATGTTTTGGATTACAGCTCACATAGCCTGTGGCAGATAAAAATGAAACATCTGGAGGGCACCAGGTTGGGGAAGGCTGGATTAGACTCAGGATCAGAGTGAAATTCATGGGTCCCTCTTCAGGGTAGGACTTGGGGGGGACCAATGTTTTCTGCACTGACTGGACAGTGAGCCCCTTCAGCATGCTTCCCTGTTACTCTAAGCCCTCCAGTGCCCATGTACAAATATTGAAGAGGGCACCAGCTGTAAAGAAATGAGAGGTCTGTACATGTGCATTTGCTATCATGCAATAGCACTGAATCTTAAGGGCTGTGACTTCTCTGGCCTTTTCTTGGGGGAAACTCTAGCAAAAGTGCTGAGAATTGATATTTGGAAATTGTGCCTGTAAGAGGGTAGAGAAGCAGAACCCAGAAGAAGAGGCAGAGGCAGGAATTGTGCGGATGGGTGGTGAACTGCCATAGAAAGCGAAACTGAAGCCAACTCACTTTGAGGTTTCTAAGCTGATCCAGAGAAAAGTACACCTGTCTTGAGAAGATCAAACGCACATCGGGGCAAGTCTGCACGTCATGGTAAGCCCTGGTGTATGGCTTATTGGGATCAAGCAGGCAGATGGTGTCCACTGCCCAATCCCTCCTTCCAGTCACAAGCAAGAGCAACAGGCAGGAAGTCCTGGTGTGGTGTTACTTCCCAACAGAGTAAGACTGTGGTTTCTGTCTCCCCAAAGCAGCTTTCTTGGGACCCCAGATGTTGCTGGACTTCAACTCCCATAAAATTATCTTATTTATTTTTTATTTAACAAAATTTATATACTGACTGATCATAACAAAACCTCTGAGGGGTCCTAGTCTGACACTCTAACCACTACACTACACTACAACGCAGCTGAACCCCAAGACACCAAAAGCCAAGGTATGTTCTGAAGGCAGCACCACCTTGCTGAAGTCTATCAGGTCTAGGTCTGGTCAGTGCCTGGATGGGAGACTGCCTGGGAACCCCATGTGCATATCAATGTAAGCTCTGCGGTGGGAGAAAGGCAGGATATGCATCTTAAGAAAAATAAATACTTGCAGTATTGCTATATTCAAATGAGGCCATTCATTCCCACCATGCTCACTGCCAACGAGAAGATCTGGCTTTCAAGAGGGTCTCCTCAAGAGAGCTCTTGGGAGCTGATGGAGACCTGTCAGAGGAAACTGCTGCTCACCTATGTTACTGTCCTGGAACGTCTTTACTCTTTGATTTACGAGGATCTGATGTGTGCTGTTTTTATATACTGTAGTGAGTTGCCTCAAGCACAAGAGAGACAGGAGCCATAAAAAGATAAATTTAAGGCACTTAAAGTTACTATCTGCCTTTTCTAGGGGATGTTCACAAAAGTATCTCATTTCAGACTTTTCCTCAGTAAAGCCTCATGGATCCCACACACAAATGTCAGATTCCCAAATTCTTGCAAATACAACCAGAAGACAAGGGAAGAAACTGATCCTGGTCCTCTCAAGGTAACTCATTGTGTATTTTGAAAACAGCAATCAGATTCTCCTCTCAAGAGACTTATATTCTTCAAACTGAAGCAGCAACTGGGGTCCTAGGAGCTGAGCCAAAACAGCAAAGGGTGCCCATCACTTGTAAGCTTCCTGGGGCAGGGAGGAAGGGGGCATCTGGCTGCCCACTACTGGGAACATAAAGCTGCACTAGCTGGACTTTTGGCCTGACCTAGCAAGCCATCGCTTCTGCACTGCAGCCTTTCCCCATATTCTCCAGACCTCTGGTCATGGTAGATTCTCTTCTTTGGATTCTTTCCAGCTTCTCTCATGCCATTCTTGAGAGTTCAACAACGAGTATTCAGCTCAGTTCTGCATTCAGAGTTGAACATGGTACCCTGGTGCCAAGTGGAGGGGGACCAGGAGAGGACTTCCATGTCTCACTCATGTTCCACACCAAGATGGTGCCTGTTTGCTTTGGAAAGGTGCTATAACTCTGATTCGTGATCACCTTGTCCCTTGGGCTGCCCTGCCAGGGTTGAAAAGCACAAGCGCACCTGGACAAGGGGACAAAGGAGCAAGCAGCTCAAGGGCCAAGGCAGGTTGGACTCCTGCATTTTAGGGGGTTGGACTAGATGCTCCTTGGGGGACTCTTCCAAGTTCCAACTCTACAATTCTATGATTCTGTGAAAAGACTGGCATCTGGAGCAGGGGATGGGCAGCGCTGGAAATGGAATGGGCAGATAGTAGCGAAAGTTCACACTGAGAGCACATCGCAGGTCTCTTAACATGAGCAGACTACCACTACAAGAAAAGCAGTGTGGTTGGGGCTGAGTAAAACAAAGGACCACCAAGACAAGGCCAGAGTTCCTCTGAACCAAGCCGGTACCAAGAGAAGCTTCTGGGTCGGTGGGTCTAAAAAGTAGCTGCCCATCGCTCTTTGGCCAAAAGGCTTCCTGAGCTCTTTAGAATGCCAAATGCCACATCTGCCAGAGTGCCAGGACAAAAACAACGTCCAGCTGCTTATGATGTCATGGACACAGGGCAATCAGCATGCAGAGTCACAATTAGGCATGCCTCCCTGGGTCAGCACCACAGGTACACACCCATTTCCCAAAAGGTTTTCTTCTGATTCTAAAGGGTGGTGATGGCAGCAGCCCAGAGGATGCCCCCCCCCATCCTCAGAACAGTGGAGTCTCCTTTCACTTGCTTAAATGCTCCATTGGGACATTGCTTTAGGTTTATCAGTGTTGTGATTATTACTATTTATGCCACTTGTGGCATCTGTGACACAGATTGGCTACCCAGGGATCTGGTTCACTCCAACTCAGCACAGGCATGTTCACAAAGACCAACCATGGCAACACATCGTGTGGAGTTTTTCTGCACCTCTTCACTCCACATCAAAGTAAATTGGGGAGGAGGTGCTTCCAACAACAGTACAGCAGCCTCCTTCCTTTGTTTCCCACCAACTTGGGTGTACATCACAGTGTGCACAGGGGAGAAACCGTTTGGATGTATGGAGAGAGGAAAGAGCTTCGCCGATAGTGGAAACCTTAGAAAACATCAACAAACATGCACAGGGGAGAAACTATGTTGAGATTCCTGCATTGCAGGGAGTTGGACTAGATGACCCTTCCAACTCTACAATTCTATTATTCTAAAAAAAACCCATAGTGGAGACAGGCTCAGGGTGGGGCCAGAGCCGCAGTTCAGCTTGTGCAAAACAGTGGTGCGGACTGGGGAAGCATCTGGAGCTGCTCCAGATTTCTCTCAGGATCTCTGACCTCATGAGTCAGAGGGAGAAGGAACATGCCCACTGAACCAGCAACAGCCTTGGGTAGAAATGGAATTTGCAATGGGGGGGTAGGTGGGGGCGGGTAGGAAGGAGAGGAGCTGGCTGCAATTGCCCGAGCCCCAGAAGAACCAAATGCAGCTCTCTCCCTGCAAATACACACACAGGTTACCCAAAACTAGGACCTGCTGCACTCCGTGCTGACAGAAAGACACGTTTGCTGCTGAAGAGGAAAGTCAAAATGATGACCCACAGCTCCAAACAGGCACTCTTTAAAATAAAAAGATGGAGATGGGGACAGGAAAATCCCCCTGGGAGGTAGCACAGGGGGCCACGTCTCAGATTGTTTTGTGCCATGCTGCAGATTCCATGCCCCTTTCCTCCTTCTTCTGAACTTAAAAACACACACATTTCCTCTCAGTCATGGTGCTGAGTGCCAGGCAGGTGAGAGCCCAGCCACTGGCCATCTTAACTTGCCCAGGGGCACTCTGCACATTTATGCAACTTTGTGCCCTGAGCCTGTGCCCCAGCCCTCGAAGCGCCACCCACACCTGTTTCAAGCAAGGCAAGGAGGGAATGGGTTAAGTTGGCATGAGGAAGTAAGTCAAGGAATGGCGGAAGGCTGGTCGGAATGGCGTTATAACGGCTTGCCTGGGGATTTGTTGGCAGCCCACTCAGCCATGGGCTATAAATGGGGCCTGGTTTCAGTAAGGTGGGGCAGAGTCATGGATCATGTGAAGGATTGATAAAGCAGGACAAATGTCTCAGGAAGGGAAAGCAACTTTAGGCAACTTGGGCTTCACCTTGGAATCGACTTTCAGTTACAAGGAGCGGACTTGGAATGGGCCATATATTCACTGTAACACTGTTCACGTGCAGAGCTAAAGCAGTTGAACCCAGCTCTATTCTCTAAGTACAACCTTTGGCAAAAATTCAGAGCTTCGTCTAGGCCAGGAAATCACAGGGGCCGAGTCCAAGTTAGCACGCGATTTCCGTCCCACGGCGTATCCCTTGAGCATGCGGAAATATTCATAAAACAGAGTCTAGCTAACCATGTGCAGAGCGCCTTCCCGCCGCCACCGTGGAAGCACGACCAGCCCCAGGCCAGGGCTTGGCTCGGGCTGGCACTCACTCCAGCTCCACCCTGGCAAGTGTGAAGCAAGACCACGGGAAGACCCGTTAAGCATGTGCAGAGCGCTCTCCAGACCCCTCCCGCCCCGCAGCTGGGATCCGGCTAGCGACCCCCGCTGCTGACGCGCCTTACCTTTGCCCTTGTGGCGCTCGTCGTGCTTCTTGCCCTCCGCAGGGGGCGCGCCAGGAGGGCCCTTCGGCTTCTTCTTCCGCCTGCCCCGCAGCCAGCTGAAGGCCCTGCGCAGGCTAGACGAGCCGGACTTGGGCTTCTTCTTCTTGGGGGGTGAGGCGGCGGGGGAACCGCCTCCATTCTCCGCGGGGATCCAGGTGTCCTCGGCGAGCGCCGCCGCAGGTGCGCTCTTCCCGGACATCTCCCTGGCGGGCGGCCAAACGTGCAGAGGACGCGGGGGGCGCACGACGGCCCCGCCGCGGCCGCCGCTTGCTTTCCGGGGGTCACTGGCGGCGGGGAGCCGGTGCCGCCGCCGGGCTGGCCATGGGAGGCCCCCGCTTCGCTACACAGGACGCCCTGCCTCTTTCTCGCCTCCGGAGGGGGGCCCAGCGGCTGCGCCCCGCGCTCCCGCGCCAAAGTTTCCCGGACGCGCCGCTTCTCCCGCTCTCGGGCCCCGGGGAGCCTCTCCCGGCTCCGCCGCGCCCCGATGCCCGCCCCTCGTGCGCGCGTCCCCCGCTCGGCAAGGCGCAAAGGCAGCCGCCGCCGGGGAAAGTTTCTCCCGGACGGGAGGGCGTGTGGGGTGGCCGGGCGGGGCCTGCCGAGCGCGCCGGGGTGTGGAGAGGCTCCCCCCTCCTCCGACACTCCGCCTCCGCGCCGCGCTCGTTGCAGCTCGCCGCCGCCGCTCCCGTCTCCAGCTCGGGGACACACGCGCCTTGGCGAGGATGGGGGCCCTCCCTTGTCTAGGTGAGTAAGAGAGGGAGACCCGAGAGGTTTGGACCTGGCAAAGGGCGTGGGGTATGCGGGGGGCTGGCCGGGCTTCTGCCTGAAAGAAGATCCCACGCTTCCATTAAGTCCCGGGACCTATTTTCCATACCAGAGTCTTAGCCTCTGCCTATGAGGAGTTTCCACGCCATTCAGCCCCGGAGTCTATTTTCCATACCAGAGTCCGGCTCTTAGATTCTGTAGGAATCAAGACGAAAGTGCAGTTGAGCATGTGCAGAGGTAAGCCCTGAGTTTTCACCGCAGTTCTAAAATGTTCCTAAAGATATCTGTCGTCTTAGACTAAAAGTTCTACTTTTTTGGCCTGTACTGTAATTAGAATACTGGGCACCCTCCATGGAAACTCTCTCTAATCCTGCACACACACCTCTGATGCAGCCAATTTGCTGCAAATTCCATGCTAGATGTCTGTAGCACCATGACAAAATAAAGGGGGGATTTCACAAAGTAATATTTCTGGTGATCACCAATGACCCAGGGACCCTTAAGGCACCCCAAGAGGAAATGATCCAAACTCTGCCTGCTCTGTTGCTGTGCCATTTGACTCCCATGTGCTCTAATTCCTCCATCAAAATGGTTGGATCCAGAAACATCTTATCTAGGGACACATAATGGGCCCACCTTGTGCTAGTGGAAACCATTTGTCCTCCTCATGCTTCCAACTACCATGCCAATTCCTTCTGGGTATGAAAGGAAAGCCCAGATAGCCAGTGACTGGCATAAGACGGCAGCTACTAGAGCCAATGTCTGTTCACCAGAAGAGAATGATGTGTGCCTGCCAGGGCCAGGTGTGCAGAAATGGCATCCTAGCCCATGAGGGGTCAACCTGTGGCACAGAGAGCGTGAAGGGGCACCAGCCTGGCTGGGACATAGTCTTTCCAGTCCTGCACTGCTGGTGCCTGTTTCTCATCTGGTCAATATGCAGGGGGTGCCTGTGTGCTGTGGGGAGCACTCTGTCTCCATCCCATGGGCAAGACTGGTAGAAAGACTGGCCCCTGTGGAGCAGAGCTGGTCTGTTAATCACAGGCAGCTGCACATGCCTTCAGTTGCAAAAGCTAAAGGGGCCATGAGTTAAACTGTTATGGCTCCAACCAAGGTGTCCTTAGGCTTGTGATCCTGACTCAAGCAGGGAAGTGGGCTAGATGGTATACCATACCCAAAAAAACCATTGATGATTCTGTTATCTTTAACAAAGAATTCCTACCACCCTCAGCAAGCAACAACTCTCTACGTTCTTTGAAGAAAACCATGGACTTTGGACCACTCCTTTAGTTGTCTACAGTAATCATGCCCTCCCTTTCCCACTCCTGTTCTTTGTCTAATCATTCAGGATAAAAAAATAAAATAGAACAGCTCCATTAAGCCAACTGGGTTATCTGTCTTTTTTGTGAACCCATCTATGGGGCTCACCACTCCTATCCTATTCTAAATCCACCTTTCCAGGTCAGACTTGCAGCTGCTCTTATCATGCTAACCACCCTGTGTGTTACACTTGCCTGATTCCAAGTCAGGCCATTGGTCTGCCTAGGTCAGTATTGTCATTTTATTGACACTGGCTGGCAGTGCTTTCGTTCCGGAGTCTCAGGCATGGCTCCTTCCCAGCCCTATTTGGAGATACAAGGGAATGAATCTGGGAGCTTCTACATGCAGATCTTGTGCTCTGCCACTGAGCGATGGCTGTTCCTGAAGGCAGGGCCAGCCCAAGGCATTTTGGCACCTGAGGCAAACCACAAAAAAGCACCTCCCTCCCAGCCAAGGAAGAAGGGATGAGCAAAGCTCTGCATCAGGAATATGGGGGGGGGGTTAAACATCTGCATGGGAGTCTGTTGCCCCCATGTACCCTGCCACCTGAGGCTGTGGCCTCACCTTGCGTCTTGGGTGAGCCAGCCCTGCCTGAAGGAAAACAGCAAGGACAGAGTAACGAGCATAATTGTGTAGAGTCAAAATATTGCAGAGTTGTGCAGAATACAATGAAAAACAACAGACAAAAGTGATCTTGTTTTGTTTATTTATAAATAACTTTTATGCCATTTTCATTGCTCTAGGGGTTCATGTGCTTTTGTCGGCTGCTTTTTCATATCTTTGGGGACCTTCTCCTTTGTTTCAGAATGCAACAATGAAGACCTGGTTCAATAGGCCAAGCTATGGTATAGTGAGAACAGGCAGACTCCCTGAAAGGAACTTGCAGTCACTTTGCTCTTCCCCAACCTTTTTCTGCTGCTGTGCCAAGGTGTGGCTTAGCATGTTGTCCAAACCAGGACTTGTGGTTTCTCCTCACTAACCATGAGCTGTAGCCAAGTACAAACCTTAACTACCAGTCCCAGTTCAGATGACTCACCACACTAAGCAGCAAAAAGTAGCATGGAGGACTCTGGGCACCTGCATGTTTGTGCAATTTGCCAAGTCATAGTTTGGCTTGCCATGTTGCATGAGCCAGCTTGGTCCTTCTATAGGGGGGAAGTCTGCCCTCTGGTTTTGGTGTCTTAACGCAACATATAGAAGTAGGAACCTCTTCCAGTGCAAGCAAATCTAAGCATGTGGACTGTGGCATAAGTTGGAATTTCTGCAAAACAGATTCATAGTTTCTCAAGTGTATCAACACATTTGCTAACAAACAAGCAAATTGCAAGCTGGCTGAGGAAGGCTGCCAAGAAGGGCTAGGAGTGAGAGCTGTTTGTATATGACTCAGCTTCTCTGAGCGTGTGGTTTGCTTCTTTGATGCATCCTAAAGATGCTGTTTTTAATGTTGTATTTCATATTGCTGCAACCTGTCCTGAGACCTATTGGTAAAGGGTAAGTAGCAATAATAATTACTAACAATAATAACTGGTGCACAGCAGTTCTTCTGTTTTTTTCACCCTACATTATTTTTCTGTTTCTGGAACTATTGCAATAAATCTCTGTAGCAGGAAGTGGAGAAGAAACCTAAGGCTACTGCTTATATATGCACACACCACCAGACAACAAATGAGGTTCCCCAATAATGCTCCGTGTTAAAAGAGTGCACCATGTATGTATGTTTGGATGCATGCACAACATTTCCCACACTTTTGAACTCCAAGACATATGTATAGGAAGCACCCCTGGAATGAACACATGTACTTACCATATAAGCACTATGTGAGGCACAGTCTAGATCTCTTTTTAAGCAAAAGCCTTTTATAGAGAAATCGCTGTTTCTGTACATACATAAAGCTCCTTTGTCCATTCCTTAATTGAGCAGGATGTTTGGGCTCCTCTTGAAAACAAAGCCATGTTTCTGAGGACTGACACAGCAGCCTGCCTAAATTACTGCAAACCCTTTGGTAAGTTCAAGGAATGGCCATAAAGTATTGTGTTTTAAAGGAGGCACTTTGGAAGAGGGACTTCAAGCATCGTCCCATGTCCATCTGCAGAGAGATGCTATTTGCAGCAACTGTCCTTCCTCCAACCTCACCTGTACAGAGTGTTGTGATAACAAACTGAATAGAGCATGCAAACCTTTTAAGACTGTTTCATGGACTTCAGGAAAGGCATGCTTCTGCCATTTGTCTCCAGTGCTCAGTGTGGGGCACTGTTGGGCATAACTGAGACAGGCTTAAATTTCCCACTTAATTGTTTACCTCCCACTTTGGGCACCATCGGCCTTGGCTTCCCTGGTCCAAATCTCGCCCATCACCAACCACCTGTTCACTACAGTCACATATGAACATTTGAAGCTGCCTTATACCACCACTGGTCCTAGCCAGCATTGCCTTCTCTGGCTAGCAGTGATTCTTCAGGTCTTTCCTAAGACCTAAGTGCATAAGGACCAGGGCCCAGCTTTGGGCCAAAACAGCTCCACATCAGCATAGTACACCAGGACTGAAAGGTCTGCACTGAGCGCGCAGCCTCACTTAACCTTTGTTCCACACTTTCTAGATACAGGCCTGTGCTTTAAAGCTCCATGTCTCTCTCTTATGCGCGCTCTCTCTTTAGCCATGGTGCTTTCCCCATGAAAACCCACTCTTTACTGCTGAATCAGAACAAACAGCAATTCAGGTTTTTCACAGATGGCCATTTGCTCCAATTCAGCCTTGAAAAGCGGGTTTTCGTGGGGAAGGCGCTGGAAGAAACAAACTAAAAGAGTGCTTGGACATGGAGCTTTAAAGTGTGGACCTGTGCTTAAAAATCCAGCAGAAAAGGAAGTCTGGATGCGACCAGATTGTCAGTACATTACCAAACTTGTTATGGCTGTGGGGGTTGTCTTAAGGAGCACCTGCACTTCAGAACTGACCACAACACGTTCCCAGAAGTACACATACAGAACCATAATTAGGCAGCAAACAGAAAAATAAGAAAAATAAGCTGTACTTTGAGCTCACTTCTTTGGGGTGGGGGAGCAGGATGGGGGGGGTCTCGACACTCCCACAAATACAATGAGTGTCCTTTGGTGAGGAGTGGACACACAGCTCACCTAGTTGCCTCCCTGTCCTTGGGAGTCTCTCCTTCCCTGGAATTTTATCTTCTTCTCTTCCTCCCACCTACCTATGGAATGCTTGTTTTATAGATCAAGGACCCTATTCAAAATACCTAAATTGAAGTATGATTCACAGTAAAAGAGTGACTACTGTTAAACCAAGCAGCAGCATTTTTTGAGGCTTCTGCCAAAGTGATCAATGGCCTCTTGTAGGCCCTTCCAAAACACTGGGGAGAATTTTCCTGGGTGATAAGATTTGGATGTCCAGCATGCAGGCAGCTTTGTATGCAGAATGGCAAAGCTCACAAACTTTCCCCCACCCCATCATGGAAACGGAGAGCAGAGTGGAAAGAGGCTCCGTGTCACTTTCCAGTGCCCAAAGTTATAGTCTTTTTTTCCTCCTTCTCTCCAACCCCCACCCCTTGCGAGTCACCAATCCAGCCACTCCAAAGATCAAAACTGGGAAAGGCTATTATTCACTGACTCTCAATTTCCACATGAGGATGAGGAGGACAGAGCCAAGTTTCATTTCAGATTTGCACTTTGAGCCAGTTTTAGTCCATTTTTAAGCCTCAGGCTCCAAGGCTTTTTGCTCTTAAGATGGCACAGCAGGAACAAGACAGGGAACTAGTTTTCTTCAGGAGCTCAGAAGGTGCTGTTCAGCTCATTTTCAGCTTCTCTGATAAACGCTTTGCCAATACTGTTTTTCTCAGGTAGAAACTCACACTGGAATTTGGGTGGGAGGGAAGTGCTGGTGAGGATCTCAGTGTTCACTTCCATGAGAAAATTGTGTCACTCCTCTAGATCATTTTTGCTTGCACTCTTAGCATGCAGATGCCTCTCTTGGTCCCCCTGACAAAATACCTCTGTGAGGTAGACCACTGTTTTGACATGTTACAGATGAAGCAGAGACTGAAACTTGCTCACAGTCCAGGCAGTAAATAAGCTATGGCAGCCTTCACAAACCAGCTCTTTTGGACTACAACTCCCATCAGCCTCAGCCATCACAGCCTGGGACCTCCTATAGCTTCCTATATAGTACTGTCTGGCTGTTTGCTGCTTCAGATAGGTCTGCTTTGTGATTCTGGAACTTTCCAGAGAGGTGAAACGCACAGAGCTTATCCTCATTACTCATTAACACTCACTTTGTGCTTTAGCTTGAGGGCAAGGCCTTTGCTGGAATTTTCTCTAGCCTGGACAGTCACACCTCTGCTAACCTGCACTTGACATCGCTGCTTTCCATCTCTCTGGTCACAGCAAACAACACCTTTCAGCTGTAATTTATGAGCTCCTGTTAGAGGGAGAGCCTTGAGGAGCTGGAAAAAAACCCTCCCCAAGGTTTCTGTTAATTTTTACCTCAACGGTGAGTGTGTCAAAGGCACTGCTCAATTTGTCTCTTGCCTGGGCACGTCCTGGCTCCCTCCCGGCTGAAGCAACTGCCTCAACATGGCGGCGGAATTGGTGGTGGTGCTTCTGTGCTTTTGTGAGCCACGCTGTGACTTATGGCCACTAATAAATAACAGCATTTGATACTGTGTGAACCACCTTGTTTGCTCCAAGTTCAGTGGGCACAAAGCAAAATGGCAGCCCTGAGCATGGTGACTAGCAGTAAATCTCAGGACTAGCAGGACTTATTTCTTCACCAATAGCTCCACCAATCCCAAGCCTCTATAATCATGAGGAAACGCCATTTGACTCTGTTGGAATTGCTTCTGACCACCAGCGAATCAGCTCTGGTTCCATGTCTGCTTCTGCAGCAAAATAACAATGAACAGTTTCCACAAGGAGTCCTGAGCATTGCAGTTCTGTGTTGGGTCAAAGTTAAGAGAATCCTAAAAGTGCTTCACATCATATCAGCTCTTGCAGGCCTGATTTTTGCAGCAGGTTTTGTGGTGTGTGCATATGTTCTAATGTACAAATTGCCATTTTTTAATTGAAGTATGACAGATTAGTTTGCCTACAGCTTCACTCATAATAAGTAGGAAATGGATTTTAAAGTTGTAAGAAACAGAAGGAAGCACTTCAGTGTCTTGCCATCTCTTTGGGGAACTGTGCATATGTAACAGCACTTATTTCCGTGTAATGCTGTTCTTGAGCTCTTGCACTCTCGTTGTTATGAAGTCATTGCTACTTAGTGATGCTCATCGGGAAGTCAGACCGCTCATTTCTCAAGCTAAGGGGTTTACAGCCTCCCTGCCCCCCAGTTTCTGCCTGAAGAATAGGGTGGCTCCTGAGAACACCAAAGGAAGCACGAGTACCAACCGCAGCCGTGTGAATGCATCAGTACCAACCGCAGCCCTTCAAGGTCATCTTTTTGGCATCTGTCTGTCTCTGTAGACAATGGAGGAGTGTGCCTTCAGTTTGAGGCCAAACTATTGGAGAGTTACAGAACCTGCTGTGGCTGTAGAGACCAATACAGGACAGACATGTTTTGTTGCTGCTGGGGCAGATAAAGGCGTCCAGTTGTGTTGCTACAGCTGCACCATGGTGTTTCTTTTCTCTGTGCTCCTCCCAGTGGTCATTCCTCCTCTGGTCATTTCTCATTTCAATATTCCAATTTTTTTTCTGGCACCAACACTGTAGCCAATGCTTCTGCCAGTCTAGCAGTTTGAAAGCATGCCAGTGCAAGTAGATAAATAGGCACCGCTATGGTGGGAAGGTAAAAAGCGTTTCTGTGTGCTCTGGTTTCCATCACGGTGTTCCGTTACGCCAGAAGCGGTTTAGTCATGCTGGCCACATGACCCGGAAGGCTGTGTGTGGACAAACACCGGCTCCCTCGGCCTGAAGCGAGATGAGGGCCGCACTCCCATAGTTGCCTTTGACTGGACTTCACCATCCAGGGGTTGTTTACTTTTTATCTTTTTACCTTACATTATCTATCAATTAAACACAGCGCATATGTTCAGTTGTACTTGCAATGTCTAAAATCTGCATTCTCCATTTTGAGTGTTGATGAACTGCAAAGGTCTTTTGCTCACATATTAGTCTAATGCCTAAACTCTAAATGGTTGAAATGGGTTTACATGCTCTTGCACAGCTCTGTGTAACTTCAATGAGGCTTACAGAGAACTTGCTGCTGGGTTATATTGCCCATAAGAATTTGTCCCCCTCATGCCTTTGTCAAAGGAGAACTGAGCTCTTTGCTTTATTGACTCATGTGACTAAGAAACCCCATATCAGTGTTACAAATCCTATTACTTCCTCTCCCTACTTCCAGCAATTACTCTGGGATGGGAATGTGTCAATGGACAGCCTCCCCTCTCTAATCAGCCTGCTCCATTCAGTGAGGAGCGATACACAAATCCAGGCCTGCTAGTGTCCCAGTTTATCACTGTGTAAGTGATTTTGTATTATCCTAGCTACTGAATACCCCAACCGGCAGTCTGAATCACCAGCTCAGACAGATTTGAAAGGAGGTGACTTGCATCTTTGTGCTTCAAAAAGGCATCACAAGAAATTTGCCTCCCTCCCCGCCCCCCCAAAAAGGTGACTGCCGCTCCTGCTGAGGTGATGCCAAGCAACTCCAGCATCCACCAAACTCACAGAAATAGATCAGTCTGCTTTTCCCCCGTTAGAGATGTTTGAGGCCGATCCCTCTCAACAAGAGATTTTGAAATACAGTAGATGAATTGCTGTAGATTCCACAGTATAAATCAACCTTCCCAAAACTGGTGCCCTCCAGATGTTTTAGGCTATGGCTGCCATCAACCTCAGCCAGCACATCTGTCAGATAGTGCGGCTGATGGGATCACAGCTGTGCTGGCAAGAGTCGCATTTGGAAACATCTCGAGGGCACCAGGTTGGGGAAGGCTGCCTTAAACTGAGCATAACGTGTGGTGTATGCTCATTCAAGGATACACCTGTAGGTTCTGCACCAGAACAAATAATCAATTGTTCCACAAGCTTCAAGCCACACACTTCTGTTTGTCTCGTGATTTCTAGGCATGGGTCTGTGAGGTTTTTCCTTCGTCCTGCCACTTTCCCCAGAAAATCCCACTGTTTACTACTGAATGGGGGGTTGTTACTGTTTTGTTGCTTCTGTTTTGAGTATTAATTTGTGCTTTTATTTTGTTAACCACCATGAGATCTTTTGATGAATGGTGGTATATAAAATCTTAACAACAGTTGCATTTTCTCTGGATTGACATTTGTTCAGTGGTAAGCAGTGGGTTTTCCCACGGAAGGCAATGAGACGAAACAAAAGCCTCTCAAACCCATTCCCAGAAATCAAAGGACAAAGGGAAGTAAACATGGGGCAAACAGACATGAGGATGAGCCTTAAGGCAGCAAACCTGTGCACACTTTCCTGGGACTAAGCTCCACTGAACCCAGTTGGATTGATTCCTAATAAAGTGACAGCATCGTAAGGCTGCAGTGTAATGCACACTTCCTTCATTGAACTCAGTGGCCCTTAATCTCTCATAAGCAAGTGTGTGTGTGTGTGTGTGTGTGTGTGTGTGGTGCAAAAGTGAGAGCTAAGCTTTTATCATGCTTCTTGCTCCCCTCCCCCTGCATAACACCAATGTTCAAATGAATAAATGAAAATAAAATATATGAACAGTGCTGATGTTACTTCTTTATTGTCTGTAAATAACTCACTTTTGCAAATGGGAGGTTTCCCCAGGCATTCCCCCATCCCAGCATGCAAAGCACAGTGATATCTCACTGGTCGCCCTGGAATTCAAAGGGCCCGGAATTGATAAGGGCAGCTGCTCTGTTTGCATGTGAAACAGTGCTGAACTTTCTTAAGAGTTTATAGCTATCTTGAAACTGGGTGGAGATGCAGATTGCAGGGGAAAGTAGTGGATTGCATTGCCCAGCTCAATCTCTAAACTGACCTTCAATGTGCTAAAAGGCTTAGGTG